GCGCTTATGTTTAATTTGTGTTTACTTTGCGTACATCACTTTGATCAGTGTAAGAGTTGTCCACATGCATTTTCACTAATGTTATTTCCTTTTTCTTTTCCACCATTTTTTCAGATGTAGACGAGTGTAAGAATGCGACACTAAATAATTGTGGTGAAGGGTATGATTGTGTCAATCTTCTCGGCTCATATAAATGTGAATGCAATGGGGAGAAAAAAGGTGCAAAATGTATTGATCCAGGTAGAGCAGCAATTAAAACAATCTTGATTTTAGCATTAAGTCCAAAATGTGAAGGATCGCAAAGCAAACGAGTGAGTATGCGATCCTTGACAACGAGTGCAAAATAAAAATCGTAGAAACGAGCTAACCATTAAGTAATTTGTTTATTTGTATACAGATCAATTTGGCAACGACGCGTTTTTGATACACAAAAAAACAGCGACAACAAAAATAAACAAATTGTACTTCAAAACATATTTCTTACCGATTAGTTTGTTTGTTATTTTTTTCAATAGAAGTTAGATATTCCTTCCGAAATATTTGATAATGTGCCGAATGTGAAAATGGATTGTCTTGAATTTGAGAATAATGTTTTAAATCACACTCCTATAAGCTATTTTGACGCTATCTTAAAAAAATATAAACAAATTGCCGCCAAAATGTACGACATTTTTAACGCGTGAAGAATATCTTATGTCCAATCAAAAGCCGTGTAAAGCATTTTTCAGCCGTGAAAAACATCGTACGTCGAATGAAAATGCTTGAAATTGATTTATCCAGTGAAATACGATTTTTATTTCGTCATTCTGCTGTGCATAAATCTCTATACACATATAATAAATACTTATATTCGTTGGCTTTATAATATAAGTATGATATAACGAGCAATTTGATTGGCTACCGCGCGTGCATTGTGAGGCCATAATGCACGCTTCTGGCTTTTGAAATTTTTGTTGCTAAGCAACATCTTAAATAACATGTAAGGAGAATTTCATTATTGATCAAATAAATAAATTTTGTTGTTGCCCTATAATTTCTTCTTATATTATAAAAGAATTAAAAAAGCTCGTCGTGTGCCTTTATGGTGTAATAATGCACTCGGAGAAATGTTGGAAGAATACTCGAGAAGCTTGTAAAACAATCGGCTGCGCCTCGTGTTTTACAAGCTTCTCTCGTATTCTCCCAACATTCCCCCATCGTGCATTATTACACCATAAAGGCACGCGACTTGTTTTTTAATTCTTACATAAAACATGACGAAAATATCTTTTTAATTTTTAGGAAGTATCACACGATATCGTGTTCAGTTGACAATAAAACAAAACTATATTGCGGCCCTTGGAAGTACAGCCTCTAAAGAGTTTGGAGACTTGAAAGAAAGGATAGAAAAAGCGGTTTGTTAAATAGTTTATATAATATATTTTTGCAACATTTTTAATAATGGTTTAGAAGCGAGGGAAAATACTTTTCTATCCAGACCAACTTTACAAATCAGCAGCGGACTGATTTCCAGGATTTCCGGCAGTCTGATTGGTTCATGCAGCGCTGAAATTTTGCACCGAAATCAAACGTCATGACACGCATGCCCGAAGCTCAGGGAGAGCGCAGAATTACAATTAAGGAGTGCGGACTGAATAAATACAAAGAGTAATAAGAAAAAAGCTATACAATGAAGGAAGATAAGTTGTGATAATCTTCATTGAGGAAAGGAAACCCTCCCACCTGGGACTTTTCCCAGTCTCTTGTTTCTCATTCTGATACAAATTCATTGCGTGCATAGAATACAGAATATGTTATGCCGCGTTATAGATTGGTTGAACTGTTTTTGCAACTCTGTTATAGACCCGTATATCTAATGCTTAAGCGAAACTTTTATTTTTTAAAATTAAATAATTTATGTTGAATGGGGCAGTAATTATATACCTACCACAGTGAAATTGAATTTCTGTGGAATATTCTATTGAGGTCATAAATTCTAGGTCATAAATTTCTTCGCTCTGTGGCAATATCTTTCTAGACCTTTGACGGTAAAAGACAAAACATTTAAATTTTTCTGCTCGAGGCGTTAAAGAAGTAATCATTACAAACTGTAAATTTTAGTTGAAGACAGTATTCGACAAAGCAGACAACAAAGAATATGTGAGAGTTGAAATAAACAAATTTAGGTAAGATCATGATTTTAAATCTTTAGTGCAGTGGGGAAAGTTGATTTAAGTTTTAAAATAGGGAAAATTGAAAACATGAGATGTATGTTAATGAAATGCGTATTAGATGAAATATTCCTACAGCTTTACGGAAATATTTCATTCATTCAATTAAGATCACAATGATATTCTTCAGCCATTCATTCATTCTAACTTCAAGGCGTCATTGTGTGTCAATGAGCACAATTGTAAACTTCCACAATTGTGCCTGACAATGAGCGTAATTTTGAACATTTGTATTGGCATTTTCGTACGATAAGGAGGAAAGATGAGAAAACACGTGTTTTACATTCTGTATTCCGTTTTTTTTATCTACATTAGATTATCGTTTAATCATTTCATATTGAATATTTTCTACTTGGCCTAATTTTTTTTTCCTTTGTAAATTGCCCAAGCTAATTTAGTAAAAACTATGAAAAATTCCGGCTGCGCAGATTTCTCTTCATGGAAAATAGCCTTCATATAAAAAATTATCAAGGCCGATTTTTGAAAATTGAATATAGAAAATAAATGTTCAATATGAATGTTGTTTAATTTCGTCCGCTCTTTACTTACCTTCATATCACAGGCTAGTACAGTGATTCATTATTGAATATGAAGATTTAGTTATTCAGGCAAATCAGATTATATAAGAGAAGCTTTTTAAAATGTATTTATATTACGGTTCTTGTATTTTTATCTCTAGCTATATATTTGTTCCATAATAATTTTGCTTTTTCTTTCATCTCAACTCACCAGCTCTGGAAGCGTTATCGCAGATATGGACATGTTATTTAAAAAAGAAGATGAAACTGGCATCAGGGAGTTGATAGCTGCTGTACGAAATAACTCATTTGGTGATTTTGATCTGGATCGTGACGCTCTTCAAGTTGTTATAACGGGTACGGCATAAAATATCTCATCATGGATATATCAGTATTGTATGCATGAGTTGGGAACCCTAAAGTTATATTAGTTTTTTTCTTCATATTTCTAAAAATATTTCTTCATATTTCTATAAAGTGAAATTCAACTATCTATATCATTGCATGAGTGTGACCTAGAAATTTTGTTATTACTGATCAGTGAAAAAGTTATTTTAATCATTGGACAGATTTATGGTGACACACTAAAAATCAAACTCTTATTCAGGTAAAAATATTGTGATGAAAACATTATGAGAATATTGATTTTTCTCAGTCAATGACTTTAAAGAGTTTGAGTTAGCTTTTAAAATACAGCTGTTTTTAAGGTGGCTCGATACAGTTTTCAAGAATTCCATTGTTCATCACTTTGACACGTTCAAACAACGCATTTTTGTGATTTATTCTAGAGATATTCGGGTTTTTATATATTTTGATGTCTCTACTTGTGAATCGTATTAGTTTTAGTAACAGATTGTCCGTTGCTATGGTGAGATACGTGTACAAAATTCACTCCAAAATTACCAATTGCCTCGGATAGTTGGAAAAGAAGCACGGTGACCCCCAATTTTTTTTCGTCCATTATTTTACTTGGAAGAAAAACTAAAAATTGGCAAAATATAAAAAAATTCTATAATGCCACATTTTTGAAAAATGTAAAAATGAAATTTTTTTCGATAATTTTTTTTGGCGATTATAGAATTTTTTTATATTTTGCTAGTTGTTAGTTTTTCTTCCAAGTAAAATGATGCACGAAAAAAAATTGGGGGTCACCGTGCTTGTCTGAGGCAATTTGCCATTTTGGAGTGAATTTTGTACACGTGTGTCACCATAGCAACGGACTATTAGTTACTAAAACTAATACGATTCAAAAGTAGAAACATCAAAATATATAAAACCCCCAATATCTCCAGAATAAATAAAAAAGATGCGTTGTTTGAACATGTCAAAGTGATGAACGATGGAATTTTTGAAAACTGTTTCGAGCCACCTTTGTTTCAGCTTATATAATATTTTTAGTGTGAACTTATACCAACTTCTTGTGGCAATCAAAAGAGTAAAAAGAAAGTGTATCGGATTTGATATGAATGTCCCCCACCCCCTGACAAACTCTTGAACACTGTCGTGCGTCAAATTATAGTTAAAATCTATCTACATGGTGTTTTCGTCTCATTCTGTTTTTTGATCGTTTATAGGTGCATGTCCACCATATGGTCCTGACATCTGCCCCGGAAATTCAACATGTGCAGCGTTGACTGAGAGTACAATAAAATGCCCTTGCATTAAAGATTTTTACTTTGACGGTGTTAAATGCATAAGTAATTAATATATTAATTTAATATAACTAAGTATTTGTCTAATACTCTAGCTACGTGTTTTTATAAATCGGCCGTTTCAAATTCGTGTAGCAACCGAACAAACGGAACAATTTATCAAAAGGCAAACACCTTTGCATGAAACATTTACAGAACACATCTTTTTGCCAAACGCCTTTGTGCAACACATGCAGCAGCTTTTTATAATGATAACACATCTTTCCATAACTGATATTCTTTTATGACAAACCTTCTACGCATTTCTTAAAAATGCAATCATTAACCGTCGTTTTCTAAAAAACCATGCAGGTCTGATATTTCTTTGTAAAAAAGTGTGATTAACTTTGCCATATCATCTTTAAGCATATCTCAAGGAATTCGGACTAATCTGATTGGCAAATAGCCATTTGTGCGATCGTGATGTCCATATTTATTTCTTAATATTCTGAATCGTAAATAATTGAAACACATAATAATTAACGTTGGATTATTTCCACTTTAGGAAACGTCGTTGTAAAAGCTGCAATAGTCTTAGAAAGGAAGTTTACCCCATCGTTAAAGAACGAAAACTCAGAAGAATATATAGAGTTGAAAGAGAATATTACGAATAAGGTAAATCTGAATTCTCTTTACGGAAGTCGTATTTTCCTGTGCAAAAATTCTTTTTTTGTTAGACTTTTGTGATATCACAAACCTACCGCATAATAACCTTTTCGATTAGCCATAATTTAGTTGGGCGTAGCTACCAGTTGTAAATGTTTATAAATTGGTCTTTAATGCTTATGAACTTCTTATACTATAAAAGTATCGTCAGATAAATCGCTACTACAAGTTCGATGTTTTTCTACCTCGTGTTCGTTACTAAGCAACTAACATTGTTCTTGACTTCACGTGACAACTAGTCACGTGAGCATAACTATAAATAATGTCAACATTGCATCCCTCCTATGCTTTACATATGAACTCTACTAACTATAACAAAATATTAACATAATGTTTAAACTGTATCTTATCTATCTTAGTCCAGGTCAAACAGTCAATCATAAATGTTATTCCCATATCTGTTGATCCGTCGTCTTTCTCTTGCTGGATATCTCGGACAATCATCTTGCCTGGGACCAATTTCTTGTCTTGGACGATTATTCTGTCGCAATCGATTGTGCTGTTCATTCTCTACGCGAACATCTTCGTCTGAGAAATAATTTTCTTCATCAAGGTTATCTGTTGAATTCAGTGGTATTCCATGTTTTGGGTGAAACTTTTTAAAGAAGGAAATGTTCCGCGTTATATATTTCCCATTCCTCACTGCGGTGATCCTGTTGCCACGGCGATTTGTAACTTCATATGGTGTTGGATCATATTTTGTGGACATTTTGTTTGACTTAGATTGTCGCACCAAAACTAAATCTCTTTTTTTGATGTCAGCACGTTTCACTCTTCGTGTTGAATCAGCATAGTCCTTTTGTTTATTTTTCAACCTTTCATCTCTCTCTTTCAGCTCTTGATGAATTGGGGACTGGTTATTAAACAACACATGTGGTAATTTTGTTTGAAGCTGACGGTTGTATAGCAACTCTGCCGGTGACTTGCCAGTCGTGGCATGTGGGGTAGCTCTGTAGTTAAGCAAGAATTTGAACATTTCACGCTTCCAATCTTTGTTTTCATGATATGCGGATTTTACAGCCTTCACAAGTGGTTTCATGAAGTTTTCAGCTAGTCCATTTCCTTCAGGCCATAATGGTGAGCTTGGTTTATGTGTAATGCCAAGTTCTTTGAGGTGCACACTAAACTCATGGCTCTGAAATGGTGGGCCATTATCACTCTTTAGCACCTTTGGGATACCATGTGTGGCAAAAATTCGTTCAAGTTTCAATATTATGGATTTGGCAGAGGTCGAGCTTACAATTTCCACCTCCGGGAAACGTGATCGAATATTGATTAACATCAATGATTACTAACAGATAGGAACCACCAAGAAATGGTCCACAAAAGTCAATATTCACTGTGTGCCAGGGTTCGGGTGGTAGCGTTGTCATACGTAATGGTTCTTGGTGACTGTTTGGTCCATTTGCTTGACATAATAAACAAGTATCCATTGTATGTTTAGCTAGTTGGTCTATACCCGGATACCAAACCTTTTCTCGTAATAGCTGTTTGGTTTTGACAAGCCCTTGGTGGCCTTCATGGGCAATATGAATAGCCTTTAGTCTAAGGCTTTCGGGAAGGACAATTCGCGAACCTCGTAATATGACTCCATCCTGTTCATTGAGTGTAAGTTCTGTTTTAATTTTCTTGCACGCTTTCAAATCCGAGACTTTTATGTTGGGATTGGATTGCACATCCAGTGAGTTGATTAAATGCCACTGACCTGTTGATACGAGGGTACCCAGGAACTGTAATGTTGGATCAGCCAAAGTGGCTTGCTGTATTTCAGGCAGTGTCATTGCTCTTGGAACAGCATGTTGGGTTAGGAAGCAAACATAGTTGTCTGCCATTGTTTGAAAATGTCTGTCATCAGTGGTGTCAGGTAAATGTCGTGATAGAAAGTCTGATGGATTGTCAAGTCCCTTGGTGTAACTTACGTTAAAATCATAATCCTGTAATCGTAGATTCCATCTTTCAATTCTAGCCGGGGGTCGTGAATTTGGGTTGTTCAAGATCAACTCGACTGGTTTGCAATCAGTTAGCAGAGTGAAATGTCCTCCGTATAAATAAATATGTAAACGTTCAATCGCCCACACAATTGCAAGAGCTTCTCGCTCCGTTTGGCTATATCGTCTTTCGATGTCTGATAAGGACCGACTGATGTATGCGACAACATTTCTTTGTTCTGATCCGGAAGCTTTCTGCATCAGAATCGCTGATAGACCCACAGGTGATGCATCTGTAATGAGTTCTGTGTCTTTAGTTTGATCGAAATATGCCATGACTGTTGCGCTTGTAAGAGCAGCTTTCACTGAGATGAATGCCTGCTCATGTCTTGATGTCCAACAGAAAGGTATATTCTTTCGTGTTAGTTCCCGTAAAGGTTCTGTGAGCTCACTGATATTTGAAATGAATTTGGCACAATATGTTGCCATACCAAGAAAACTTCGAACAGCTTTGGCCTTTTTTTTGAGGTGGGCAGTCATGAATGGCTGAGACCTTGGCTGGATCTGGTGACATTCCTTCACCCGAGAAGACAAAACCAAAATATGTGAGCTGTGCTTGACTGAACTCGCATTTGTCCTGGTTTAAGGTGAGTCCAATGAGTGAAAACCGCTCAAATATGTCACGAAGGGCTTTGTCATGCTCTGCTTGTGTTGTGCCAAAGATGATTATGTCATCACTATTGCTAATGGCATTCGGTATGTCTCGGATCTGTTCGCTAATGACGTGTTGAAAAATCTCACTTGCCGAATTGGTACCAAAATTCAACCTCTTATAGCGGTAAAGCCCTTTGTGTGTTGTAAAGGTTATGTGTCGACTTTCCTCTGCGAGCGATAACTGATGGTATCCTGAACGAAGATCAAGCTTTGTGAACACGGTGGCACCATTTAGCTTGTGAATTAAATCATCCACAGTTGGAGTTGGATGTCGTTCACGCTGAATCGCTTCATTAGCTTTACGCATGTCAATACACAGTCTGACATCGCCATCTTTCTTTGGAATAACCACCAATGGGCTGACCCAATGAGTTGCTTCTGATGTTTTTTCAATAATTCCATCACTTTCTAGTTTGTCAAGTGCATCTGAGACCTTTTTCCGCATGTGGAAAGGAATACGGCGGGGGTTCTGTGCCACTGGAGGAACAGTATCATTAATGTGTAATTTAACTTCAAAATCTTTAAGGGTTCCAATTCCATTGAATATATGGGCATACTCTTTCAACAATTGGTCATGGGTGGACTGTCCAGATTTTACATTGTTGATCTTTAGCATAATTAGACCCAAAGCAGATGCCGTTTGATAGCTGAGCAAACAACCAAAATTTCCTTTGATAACATGAACTCGTGTGGTTGTTGTGCCTGTCGCGAATTTCAAGGTGGCATGAAATTGTCCCATAACAGGCAACTGGTGGGTGGCACCGTAGGCAAAAACACGTGTCTTGGAATGGCGTAGGGATAAGGGTCTCTGTTTCTGTAATATGTTGAAAGCAAGTTCATCGATGATGTTGATGGAGGCACCAGTGTCGATAACCATGTTAATAGGTGTGTTGTTGACCAAAATTTGGACCCGAGGTGTTGTTTTGTCTCTACATGATGGTTTTAGCGTGAAAAATTCATCCTCGCTGCTACTTTCATTGCTGGAGGGTTGGCGAGAAATCTTTTGGATTTTTTTTTGGTATTTTTTTGAAGAGTTTTGGTTTTCTCGTTGACTTATACGAGGCTTGCGGGCACTACGACAGACTTTCGCAAAATGATTGGTTTTCCCAAACTGAGTTCAAACAAGATTTTCCCTTTGCTGGACAAATATTGTTGTTATGGGGCCAGAGCCCCCCACAATTTCGACACTGTGATGAAGTGCGAAAAGCTTGACGATGAAACGATGTTGGTTGTTGATCATGATTACTTTGGTTGGCTGTCCCTTGAGGGCGCACGGCTTCAGCTACTTCGTCAGAAATATGTGTTGATTCCAGTGCGTTTTCAATGCCGGCTGCTTGTGATTCACTAAGTTCGAAAGCTCTGCCTTTAGCGAGAATCTTGGCTAAGGTAACCTCTGAATCGAGAAGGGCATAGCGTCGTAAACGTTTCGATGAACAGTGTTGAATTATGGCCGATTTCACTTCTTTATCAATATTTGCAAAGTCACAGTTTGTTGCCATTTTCCTAAGACGAGTTGAAAATTGATCTATGGTTTCATGGGACTGTTGTTTGGCTTCACGAAACTTAAAGATTTCAAAATCGAGGTGTTTTTGAGGTGAAAAATACGTATCAAGGGCAGCGATGGCGGAATCATAATCGTCATCTTCGCCGATTTCAGCGAGGGTGTCAAAAATATCCTGAGTCTCTTGGCCAGTTTGGTATAGCAAGAGAGCTCGCTTTTGTTTCTTCTCCGTAACATTTAGAGCCACAAATATGTTTCGAATCGTCGTTTCCACGTTTTCCATCGTTGGCTGAGAGAACTTGGATCTGCCAAGGGATCAAATGGCGCCATTGGGGTTAAATCGATTCGGCCACTTGCCATGACTTTCTGACTTTATTCGTCGATTATAGGTTTCAAAATCGTTGTTATTTATAAACGATATCTGCTTTTGTTTACCTCGTCGCCAATGTAATGTTTATAAATTGGTCTTTAATGCTTATGAACTTCTTATACTATAAAAGTATCGTTAGATAAATCGCTACTACAAGTTCCATGTTTTTCTACCTCGTGTTCGTTACTAAGCAACTAACATTGTTCTCGACTTCACGTGACAACTAGTCACGTGAGCATAACTATAAAATTAATAATGTCAACATTGCACCAGTAACCACATTTTCATGCGAAATTTTTGATGAATACACTTACGCCTCTATATTCTAAAAGCTCACTCACACTCAAACTCAGTGAGTGAGAGATCTTGTTCTTCTTATATCTTTCCATTGCTGTATTTTCAGTCAAACAAAGCTTGATATTTAATGTTTTACCTTAAATCTATTCTTTGAATAAGAAAAAACTTTCTCATTGATCGGTAATAACAAAATTTCTATGTCACACTCAAAGAGTGTGAGTGTGAATGTCAGTGAGCTTTTTGAATACAGGCGTTATATATAATATTAGAATAAACCATGGTAGTACAGTAAACGACAGTTATTATAATATATATGGCTTGGAGACAAGATGGAAGTACAATACAACTCATGTTATCTATGTTATTGTCCTGGGACCGGTTGTATCAAGCCCGTTTAGCTTAAACGGTGGATAAGTCAAAATTAAATAGCACTCTTACATCTCTCTTGAATGAGTCAACTTGAATATGCGCTGAATATGTAGTTGTAAAAAGTATATTTTATTAAGGTAAAAAACATTTAGTTTGCTTGTTGAATAAAACGGCAGACTTGCTTTCTATTTTGAACTTATCCACCGTTCAAACTAAACGGGCTTGATGCAACCGGCCCCAGGTTTCTTGAAAATGGTCCCTTATCCCGTCACATGTCTATATTGTATTTTTGCGCAACTAACCAATAGCAATGGCTTGGCTTAACTCCTCAACCGTAACTTGAACAACATGTTAATTCAGACCTTACTGTTGTTTATTTGTTCAAAATACAATAGACACGTGACGAAAAAGGAACAATTTTTTGCATAAATGTTCGCCGACATAGTTAATGAGTTCTATTGTACTTTTACGCAGTCTCTAAACAATGTATATTCTATTAACTGCGAGTAAACATACTACAGTATTGAACAATTATCTAAAATCTTAACCGGGTGTTACCCGTCGTTGTAGGGTATAACCACCAGGATTAGAAGATTATATTTTACCTTAATTGCATGTTATTGCAAACAAACAAACAAAATCGAACGTCATTCAATAGAATGGAATGGAACGTCAACAATCACTTACTAAAAAACAAGAAGTCTTTTAAACTGGAAATGCCGAGTAGAGAAATCGAATGGCAGGGGGACAAAAATAAAATGCTAGACCAGACATGCAATGTCATTTGGCAACGCGTAAAGAAAGTATATAAAATATATTTCGCAAGTCTAATTATGTTAACTGCTTTTTTATATTGTTTTATTATTATTTCTTTTATTGCACCGAAACTATCGTTTCCTAGGATAGATCAGATCTTTATTAAGGTTTAGTATTTTGATTGACATTTAGCTTGTGACAAAAATTTTAGTCGAGGGGAGGTGGTATTGCACCACATAATAATACCATGCAATGATCTGTTTTGTTAGCTAACGGAGACTTTTAAAGATACCCAAAACTTTGAACGCGTGGAAGTGACGGGATTCAGGTAAAGTACCGTGTTTATTTGTGAAAAAAAAGAATGTCCGCAACCCTGATTAAACATGAGAAAAACAACGTTATCTGACCCGCCCAAGCACTAGGCTGTAGCTATCCTATTTACTTTTTATAACAGTAAAGCAAGTGCCATATAATTTTCATTGCAATGACGTTGACGAAATGTTTCAATTTTGAAAAAAAATGAATTCAATTGTGACAAAATGAATGGATTATAAAAAATTTGACTGAAATAATTAACTTGTAAAAAGTCCAGGACCGCCTTGTGACTTTAAAATCATTGAAATATAAACAAGGTTAGAATAAGATAAAGAAAAATTTAGTATTTCAAAACAGGGTTTAAATCTATGGCATTCGAAATTTTTAACCTTATACTCTAATCCTAAAATTTTTATACTCATGCATGTCAGTGTCGATGGAGTGCTCTCTTGATCTATAAGTTATTACGTGTTTGAGATTTTCACTCGTGTTTTTTTTCATACTTTAACGTAGGAACGGATCTCTCGTAGTAGGGGAATTGTATACTATTTTCGGAAATTCCCTTTTTGTTCCCTAAATCAAAAGTTAGTCTACTATGGAAAAGGGCAATGAGAGAGTGAGATTAAAAAAAAATGAGGAATAAGACCTTCGGGGCGACAACTGCACGGAATAACTTAGTTCGTAGTTGGAATCATCTATTTCTTATTAAATCAAACAAATGTATTTCGAGGTCTTCCTTTTTCTGCATTCTTTACAGAACCACCCCCTCCACCAAAGAGCCTTAATCATTCCAAGGTCACCGAGAACAGAATTGACATTCGTTGGGAAAAACCTGCAGCAAACGACTTTTTTGAAATATTTGGTTACATAGTAAGCCACAAAGAAAAGTCTCAATTAAAATACAAGACGCAGGATATGACATCGGGTACATTTAATGTTATATTAAGTAAATTGAAAAGTGATACATTTTACGACATCACAGTCCATGGATATAATAGTGAGGGCAGTGGAGACAAAATAGAAATTTCAGTAAAGACAAAAGAAGAGGATTCGGGTAAGTATCATTGCTTATATATAGTGTTGCCGAGTCATTTTCAAATCCAAAACTCTCGGGGCAACAGATTTTGGATAGTCGTCTTTCCCATCACCATATACAGTTTATGCTTAACTTAGTGGCCCTATTTTTAATATAAGGCTATGTTGTAATCATGATAGGCATGTTCTTTGCATTAAAACTCACGTTAAAGATGCAATCTCGTATGGATCACTCACACCCTCACTCATTGAGTGTGACCTAAAAATTTTGTTATTACTGAGCAGTGAAAAAGTTATTTTTAATCAGTGGACAGATTAATAGAGAAACTTAAACACTGAAAAGCAAACTCTTATAAAGGTAGAAATATCGTCATTAAAAAGTGATGAAAAATGAGAAAATTAATCTTTGTCACTGAATGGGTTTAATGAGTTTAAGTTTGCTTTTAATTTAGAATAAAGGGGCTGGTTAATCAAGCCTGTTTAGCTTAAACGGTAGTTAAGTTCAAAATTGAAAGTACGTCTATCGTTTTATAGAAAAAGTATACAAAATGTATGTAGCCTTATACAAAGATACTGTTTGCAACTACATATTTAGTGCATAATATTCAAGTTGGCTGTTTCAAGAGAGATGTAGGGGGTGTCATTTAATTTTGACTTATCTGCCGTTTAAGCTAAACGAGCTTGATAAAACCGACCCCAGGAGTTTGTCTTATTATCAGTGGCGTAACCAGCCTGACGATTTAGTCATGATATGCAAACTTTTCGTTATTATCATTCTTCATTTCTTTAAAAATTAATTGTTTTCATAATCAATGAGAACCAAAATATTAGCATAGCACGACTAAATTTTCGGGCTGGCTGTATAGCTGTTTTTTAACGTTGAGAACACATGCATATTGAGGTATAAAGTGTCAATAAACTCTGGCTTTGAGATACCTATAGTAATTTGTTTTAGCATATATAATATACTATACCATCTTCTTGTGTCAAACAAAAGAGTAAAAAGAAAGTGCATCGGATTTTGACATAAATGTCTCCCACCCCCTGACACACCCTCAAATACTGTTGTGCGTCTATAATTATAGTTAAAATCTATCTGCATGGTATTTTCGTCTCATTCTGTTTTTTGATCGTTTATAGGTGCATGTCCACCAAATGGTCCGGACATATGCCCCGGAAATTCAACATGTGTAACGTTGACCGAGGGTACAATAAAATGCCCTTGCAATAAAGACTTTTACTTTGACGGTGTTAAATGCATAAGTAATTAATAAATTAATTTAATATAACTCAATATTTGTCTAATACTCTACATATACGCGTTTTTAAATCAGCCGTATGGAATTTGTGTAGCAACAACACATGGCCATGGCGCCATGCTGTTAGAATTTATCAAAAGGGAAAATGGCGGCGAATACGCGTACACTTTTTTTTAGAAAAACCTTTGAATGAAATATTTACAGAACAAACCTTTTTGCCAAACGCGTTTACACATTAACGCAGTGGCTTTATAATGATAAAATTCTTAAAAACACAATCATAGAACCGTCCTTTTCGAGTAAACCATGTTTGATATTTCTTTGGAAAAAAGTGTGCTTGACTTTGCCATATAATCTTTAAACATGCATATCTGAAGTAATTGGGACAGATCTAATTGGCAAATAGCCATTTGTGAGATGGTGATGTTTATTTTTATTCCCTAATATTTCTAAATGGCAAATATTTGAAGCACTTAATAATTAACGCTTGATTATTTCCACTTTAGAAAACGACGTTGTAAAAGTTGAAATAATCTTAGAAAGGGAGTTTACCCCAGCGTTGAAGAACGAAAGCTCAGAAGAATATATAGAGTTGAAAGAGAATATTACGAATAAGGTAAATTTGAATTCTCTTTACGGAAGGTGCATTTTCCTATGCAAAAATGATTTTTTCGCAAAACGTTTTGTGATATCACTTATACGCCTCTATATATTATTATTATCAATTTATTTATCCACGGTACTATTTCACAATGGTTTAAGAAAGAAATATTTACAAGAGTGAAAAGTGATCTTCCAATAGGCCGTGCATTTACGTCTATAATTAAAAATAAGATTAAGTTATATACAAGTATTAAATAATAGAATATAGGAGGAAGTGAAAATTACAATTATCACACATATTACTAATTATTAAGTTGTTCAGCACAATTATCACACTAAGACATATTACTAGTTAGCAAGTTACTTTTGAAACACTTTATAGATTCAGAGTTTTTTTGATTAGATGTTAAATTGTTCCAAGCCACTGCACCTCTGTATGAAAAGGATTTTTTACCAAAATTTGTATTTGGCTTAGGTGGTAGAAGATTATGCTCAGCCTGTCTAGTTTGATAGTCATGCACCGCGTTTGTTTTCGTAAAAAGGTCAATGAGATAGTCAGGAACTAAGCTATTTTTTACCTGATACATTGTAGTGCATAATTGGTTATTTCTTTTAACACTCAAATTTGGTATCTCAAGTTCATTAAAAGTATGTCTACAGACCTATAGTCATAACCACGCTTTGTAATGATACGGACTGCCCTGTTTTGTAAGCGTTGCAGTTTATTTTGCAACGTAATTCCAAGGCATCCCCATATTTGTGAGCAATAGTCAAAGTGTGGTTGGACCAAGGTTTTATAAGCTGTAACAAGAGTTTTCAAGTCTGAGAACTCTCGAAGTCGTCTCAGAACATAAAAACTCCTGTTCACTTTCTTCGTAATGAGTTCTACTTGAGAATGCCAAGTCAGGGTCTCATCGAGCATCAGACCCAGTGATTTGGTGGTGCTAACTCGCTTAATAGGCGTGTTTTCAATTTCAATCAGTAAATCGGAAGCACACTTTTTAATATTATGGCGAGAACCAATTATCATGTACTCAGTTTTGCTCTTATTCAAACTTAATTTGTTGGCTGACATCCAGTCTGAAATATTGGCCAGGTCAGTGTTTAAGCTTTCTGTAATTGATTTTATGTCTCTACCTGCAGTTCCTATTTGAGTATCATCAGCAAACATATCGCAGTCCACATTTTGTAGGCTATTAGGAAGATCATTAATATAAATAAGAAATAATAGAGGACCGAGTATTGAGCCCTGCGGAATGCCAGTAATAATTGTACGTGGCCCAGATAATTTACTATTAACCTGGCAGTACTGGATACGATTTGTTAGATACGACTTAAACCAATCATGGGCTTTACCTCTCACCCCATAAAGATATAATTTTTTAAGTAATATATTATGGTCAACGGTATCGAATGCCTTTTTTAAGTCCAGAAAAACAACTCCATTGATCAAGCCTTCATCCATATTTCGATACCACTGATTTGTCATTTTTAGTAATGCAGTGACAGTTGAGTGGAGAGGTCTGAAACCATGTTGTGAATTTGTTAAAAGATTTGATTGTTGTAGATATGAATAAAGTTGGTTAAATGCAAGTTTTTCCATTGCTTTGGCAATTATTGAAATGACAGATATAGGCCTATAATTATCCATATCAGATTTAACACCGCTTTTGTAAATTGGGGTAATTCTGGCAACTTTCCATTCGCAAGGGAATATTCCAGTTGATATAGACCTGTTAAATATTGCAGTAAGTGATTTAGTAATGTACGGGGCTGCTAATTTGACAAGTTTTGTTGGAAGTTTATCTATTCCGGTTGCCTTATTAAGTGACATTGTTGTCAACAATTGAAAGACTTCTAATTCACTTATCTCACTAAAAGTAAATTCCTGTGTTGATTCTCTGATGTAGGTATCTGGGAGAATAGAAGTTGGTGGAATTTTTTGCGATAAGATTTTACCTAGATCTGTGAAATGATTATTAAAAGCGTCAGGAATATCATTTGTGTCAATTGTATCACCATGTTTATTGCAAATTTCACTCACATTTGTGGATTTTTTCGATTTATGAATTAAGTTATTGATCGATTTCCAGGTGAGGTTTGCATTTCCTTGATTTTTATGAATTTCTGTTGTGTAATGTTTTTGAATAGATGCTTTGATCAATTTATTATACGAGTTTCTAGCAGATTTGAAAGCGTGCCAATCGCTTTCACTTTTAGTTTTACAAGCCTTTTTCTTTAAGAAATTCTTTAGCCTCTTGCGATGAATAATTTGCTTAGTTATCCATGGTGTACGCTTCTTTCCAATTTTACGTGTTTTGAGCGGAGCATGATTGTCAATAATTTTCGTAAAATTTTTTTTCCAAACACACCACATTTGGTTAGGATTGGAATAATTTGTTAGATCGAGAGTTTGTAAAGATATTAAGTCGCGAAGAAAATTTTCTTCGTTAAAATTTTTGAAATCACGAAATTCGATAATATGCTCCTCGGCCTTCAAAGATGGAAACTTTTTTATACCAAATATTAAGTAGTGGTCACTAATAGATATTTTAGAAACTCCTGCTAAAACAATATTTTCTCTTTTATTGGAATAGAAGTGATCAATTAAGGTTTTCGAATAGTCAGTTTCTCTTGTAGGCTCATCAATCAATTGCTGATATTGATAAATACTTGTAATAAAGTTAAGCTCATTCGTGTTTTGGTCCCTACAGTTATTGTCAAGTATGTCACAGTTAAAATCTCCTAGGATAATGCTCTCTTTATCTTCCATGTCTATTGATTGCAACACGTTTTCAAATTTACCTAACAAGCCTATAGGAGAGTTTGGTGGTCGGTACCATGTTGAGATCAAAAATGGTTTCATTTTATATTTGTTAATTTCAACAGTAAGAATTTCGAGATCCTGTTTATTCAAATCAAGTCTATTCCGAAAATTAATAGTGTTTCTTATGTAGAAACCAACGCCACCGCCAAATCTATTCCTATTCCTCGATACCCAGGTGTAACCTTCAAGGGAAATTAACTCCATGGGTACATTAGGGTCGAGTTTGGTTTCGTTGATCGCTAGGATATCAATTTGCTGATTATTCATGCATACTCTTAATTCATCTATATGTTTTAGTAAACTGTTTATGTTAAGATTTGCAATTTTGAGACCACGTATATTGGGCATCAAATTTTCAGCCTTTATTGCATTTAAGAAGTTGTTTGCCTGACCTAACTGCGAGTTAGCACCATTCGCCGGCTCATCTATGGAGACAGTACTAGCACTCTGAGCAATTGAACTATTAATTAGAGGGCCTTGGCTTGGAATAGTATTTCAATTATTTAAGAATTCGATTAAGTTCTTCGCTAGTAATGACGTGCCTACTCTGCTAAGATGTAGACCAGAAGCATTAAGATTATTCACTTGGATATTTCGGTGTTTAACTATTTGCCATCCATGCTTCAAACACAAACTCTTAATAAGTTCATTGACAGCATTAATCTTGGTATTCAGTTCAGGATTATTTCTAATTATAAGTTCAGAAATAGCTATTTGGATATCTTTATTAGACTTCACAATACCTTTACATAGATCCTCAATTCCCTTGGCAATAACTTTCGGTTCAGTGCCTTTTGATACATCATTAGTGCCCACATGGATGATCATACGACTCGGGTTCGTTTGTAAGGCTGGCTGAACATAATGCTTCATATCACTTGTCTTAGCGCCAGGGAATGTCTTTATCATAACGTTGTGCCCAATGGAGCGACGCATTCGACCGGCATTTAGCATTTTCAACATTGAATCTCCAACGATAACCGTTTTACTTTCTGGCTCACGAGACTCTGATCCATTGACCCGAGATGCCGTTTGATCGTTGACATTTGCAGGAACATCAGAAGCACCACATTTCTTTGATTTGCTCGATTTCTTAATTAGCTTGCTGCTTTGATTTTTTGCTTCGGTGTTCAGGTCATCACAGTCATTGCTGGACACAGGCTCATTGTCTGAAGAGCCTTCAACCTCTAGCACATTAAATTTATTCGCTCCTAAGATATCATGGTCACGTTCACGGTCGATTAAACCTTTCATTGAACTTGCGGCGCCTTTATTTTTGCCACTACGACTGCTTTTTGTATTATTGGCAAATACCGTTCTTGATACGCCTTGATCTTGTTTGTTTGGTTTAGCTTTGTCTTGATCTTTCATAATTAGCGTAAGTGCTAATCTTAGAGAGTCCCTTTCTTCTTCTGCTGATATGATACGAGACTCTTGCGCCATGATTTTTTTTTCAAGGTCAGCTGTGGCTTTTTATTCTCAGATATAATATTCTGCAGTCTTTGACATTCTTTCTTGTAGGTTAATATCTCATTAGGAGAATTCGTATGATCAATGCATAAGCATTGAATGGATTCAATTTGCTTTTGCATCAGAAGCATATCGAACTTGAATCCTTCGAGTTCTGCTTTAAAGATTCGGCAGGAACAGCGGCATTGGTTATCTAGGTAGGGGGACTCGCTTGATTGACTCGACTCAGCATTTTTCACTGGAATGGAATCCACTATTTTGATTTCTTCATTGCTCACATTTGTGTTGGCATCGTTTCCTTCAGCTAAAAGTTCAACAGTAGATCCGCCCTGAAGGTCGTCATTTTCGACGTTCATCGACTTGTCTGATTTATGAAGAATACCATGTATTCTTTCGATTAGTTTGTCGGCTTTGTCCCCTTCAAAGTTCAAGGTTTTACTCTTTACATGCCAGATGACTTTGAGATCTTCGCTCTCAAAGCACCACTAGACTGGAAATGCCGAAAAGAGAAATCGAATGGCAGGGTGACAAAAATAGCTAAAATGCTAGACAAGGCAAGCAAATTTATTTGGCAACGCCTAGAGCAAGTACATTAAATCGAGAAATAAAACACATTTTGCAAACCTTGCTGTCATGTCAACTTCTAATTAATTTTGTTTAATACACCAAAGCTATCGTTTCCTAGGATAGATCAGATCTTTTTTGCGGTTTAGTATTTTTAACGACATTTAGCTTGTGACAAAAATTTTAGTGGAGGGGAGGTGGTATTGCACCACATAATAATACCGTGCAATGATCTGTTTTGTTAGCTAACGGAGACATTTAAAGATACCCCAAACTTTGAACGTGCGGAAGTCACGGGATTCAGGTAGAGTACCGTATTTATTTGTTAAAAAGAAAAGAATGTGCGCAACCCTTATTAAACATATATAAATATAAATATGAAAAAGGGTGCGCAGTCATGTGAAAAAAAAACGTTATCTCGTACCCGGCCAAGCACTAGGCTGCAGGCTATCGTATTTTACCTTTTATAACAGTAAAATCAGTGCCATACAATTTTCATTGCAATCACGTTGACAAAATGTTTCAATTTTGAAAAAAAATGAATTCAATTGTGACAAAATGAATGGATCATATGAAATTTGACTGAAATAATTAACTTGTAAAAATGGACTTTTTAACCGCCTTGCAGCTTTAAAATCATGAAATATAAACAAGGTTAGAATGAAATAAAATTTAGTATTTGAAAACAGGGTTTAAATATATGGCATTCGAGGCTTTTAACCTGACTATATAATCCTGAAATTTTTAAATTCATGCATGTCAGTGCCGATGGAGTGCTCACTTGATCTATAAGTTATTACGTCTTTGAGATTTTTACTCGTGTTTTTTTTCATACTTTAACGTAGGAACGGATCTCTCGTAGTAGAATTTAGGGTTATTTACCGGAGAGATCTAGATACTAATAAGAAAGTTGTCGTTGGCGAAACATTGAGAGAGAAAATTCTTAAGAACAAAAAACTCGGAGAGTACAAAGTTAAAGGCGATATATTTATAAAAGGTAAATTTAAGGACGTTGTTAATATCTATGTACTTTATTACATTTGCTGAAAGTAAAGAGATCTTGAAGCAGTTAGTTTTTATACACTTTTGTGTGACGGCGGAAGTGTGTAACTATTTCAGTTACAAACGTTCATCCGTAATACAAATGCATACAAAATTTGCCAAATTCGTTAAACTTCGAAATTTACTAAGTTTGTTGTACTAATTTCGGAAATTCCCTTTTTGTTCCCTAAATCAAAAGTTGGTCTATTATGGAAAAGGTTAGTCAGAGAGTAAGATTTAAAAAAAAATGAGAAATAAGACCTTCGATCGAAATGACAACTGCACGGAATAACTTAGTTCATAGTTGGAATCATCTATTTCTTATTAAATCAAACAAATGTATTTCGAGGTCTTCTTTTTTCTGCATTCTTTACAGAACCACCCCCTCCACCAAAGAGCCTTAATCATTCCAAGGTCACCAAGAACAGAATTGACATTCGTTGGGAAAAACCTACAGCGAACGACTTTTTCAAAATATTTGGTTACATAGTAAGCCACAAAGAAAAGTCTCAATTAGAATACAAGACGCAGAATATGACATCGGGTACATTTAATGTTATACTAAGTAAATTGAAAAGTAATACATTTTACGACATCAAAGTCCATGGATATAATAAAGAAGGCAGTGGAGACAAAATAAAAATTTCAGTAAAGACAAAGGAAGAGGATTCGTGTAAGTATCGTTGCTTATATATAGTGTTGCCGAGTCATTTTCAAATCCGAAACTCTCAGGGCAAGCGATTGTAGATAGTCGTTTTTCCCCTCACCAAATACAGTTTATGCTTAACTGTGTTGTGGAAATTACTGAGTGCAAGGGATTTTTGCAAGGGCGCCCTAGCCACGTAGACAGAGGGGGACTGCATGAGTTAGCTCCCCACTGTCCTCTGCTGACGGGATTAAGGTCTTTGCTACTTTATAATTTATAATCATATTGCCATACCATAGTACGTTCACTGAGTGCCCTAATTTAATATGAGGCTATGTTGTAATCGTGATGGGCGTGCTCTTTGCATTAAAACTCACGTTAAAGATATCTTCTCGCATGGATCTGCAAATTTGTTCATGTTTACATTACATTTAAGCTTCCTCTCCATTCTGTTACAATCGTAAAATGGATGTATAAAATTTTCTGACGCAATGTTCTCGCCGCTCTTAATTCCCCTTGCGGTTCCCCTAGATGTTAGATTGAATAACAAATGCATTCGAACTTCTGTATTATAGCCAATGCTGTGGTGGTTATTATCATTGTTATTATCGTGGTTGTGCTTCTTATCATCGTCGGCATTTTAGTTTTCTACAAAATGAGAAAAAGCACAAGACAAAGGGTAATAAAAATTATATAGAAATTAAGATATCCTAGTTTCGGTCTACGAGTACAGGTAACTTAATTTTTCTCAATGAATTTCCATCGATGATTGTGAATATCGTAAGTTTGAAACACAAAATCACATTGGTTTAGCTTTTAAGAAATCCATTGACACAAACTCTAATTGGACAAAATTTAGTCAGTTAAAGCTTTTAAGTAAATTTGGCCAACTTGTTCAAAGAGTTTTTCCATTTTACATTTGGAATTTCATTTCGTTTTAGCATCGGGAGGAACCAATGCGTATGGGTGAAATGGGTGAGCCTAAAGAATTTTACAATCATGGACAAAAGGAAGATGAAATGTCCAGAGGAGATAACCCACAGAGTTAAAATGAAGACAATATTGAAAATGAAAAAAATTGTGTTATAGAGGAATGGTGATAGTTATTAACTTCGCTTGAAGACTGGAATATAAACTAGTGCACATATCAGTAAACTTATTTCATTGTAGTTACCTAGCCGTTTTTTTCTTTTTGAATCGAATCATATATGACATAATTAGATGTAATTATTTAGGGATATTATTGCATGCAATAAAGTCTTAAGATTTTAAAATGTTTTAGTTTAAGGAATATCATTTTGGGTTAATAATATAACAACCCACGGTTGTAAAATAACATAAAAGCATTTAGGCATATTCAGGCCTGTTTCAAATTTTATGATGTGCCACTAAAGAGATAAGACGCCGAACGTACTTCCCTCTAACAGTGAGCCCCATGCACTATATGAAAAGAGCATAATATAAATCCAACAATTTAAATAAATACGTGCGTCATCTCAAAAGCGTGAAATTCAAATCGTAGAAGCACCGCATTTGAATGAGTGCCCATAGCCGATACCGACGTTTGAAACAGGTCTTAACAGCAGTAGCGGCACGACTTTAGATGATGCAGATGCAAAAATATTTCAGTGCCCATGTTAAAAAACAATCAATTTCTAAAGAAATAAATAGTGATAGTGATACTTGCATTTTCTATGATTATTGTCCAGTTGGCTTCCATAATATGCTACATCCAAGTCCAAGATCGATGTCAAATTACATATTTTTAGCATTTATTGCATCAACTAGTTCCTGTATGAGGCATTGTTTTTAGTTCATGTCAACAACACTATATGCATGTATATACAATCTAACATGATATCTAAAAATCACTTTTCAGATTTAATGTACCTTATTAAATTTTGTTGCCATTTGATATCAATTTTTAGTAAAAGTTAATTAATTTGCCCTCAGGGTGCGGTTTAGTACAGGTGATTAGGCCACTAAACATAGCCTGTCTTATTAGTAATGTTTACAACACAGGCGGCCGTGATATACAATCATCGTAATATACAATCACGAGCGCTTTGTAATAATAAGATTTGAATAGATATATGCAAATCAGTTACAAAGAGTGATGGTTGTATTTTCCCGAGACAACCACTAGTGTTTGTAACTGATTAGCAATATTATTCAATCTAATTTGCAAGGGGTATACAGGGGGCTATCTTTAAAACCAGGAACGGGGAATCGAGGAAGGGAACGGGGAAGGGAACGGGGAATGATAAAACCAGGAATGCGAAAAGCCGGAATCTTTAAAACCAGGAATGCGAAAAGCCGGAATCTTTAAAACAAGGAATGGGAAAAGCCGGAATCTTTAAAACAAGGAATGCGAAAAGCCGGAATCTTTAAAACAAGGAATGAGAAAAGCCGGAATCTTTAAAACCAGGAATGCGAAAAGCCGGAATCTTTAAAAAAAGGAATGCGAAAAGCCGGAATCTTTAAAACAAGGAATGAGAAAAGCCGGAATCTTTAAAACCAGGAATGGGAAAAGCCGGAATCTTTAAAACCAGGAATGAGAAAAGCCGGAATCTTACGGCCGGAAGTTTGTAACTAAATTAGTTACAATTTCCGCGCGTAATACAAAATATGCTAATTTGACATGGCTATATTTTCCGTATTTTACCAAATTTCGCAGCCAAACTTAGCATTTCCACTAATTCAAGTACGCTCAATTCTTTTATCTGTTATATGGAACATAAACTGCATTCTTTTGTGGGAGAAGGAATGGATAATACATATATAATTACACAAACGATGAAACGAACACAAGGACTGACAAGGTTAGTTTGTAAACAGTTAAATTTGTTGATTTGGTCTCATTCATAAACCTACAAAGTGGAGCTTTGCGCGTTGCTATCTACCGTTTAATATCTACATTGCTATTGAAATTGAATAATGTTTGGTTGGAAATGAAAACTTTTTGGATCCAAATTTGAATTTCCAGATTTTCATATGAATTGCATACTGCATGATATAAAATATGCAAGAACAACTTCACTAAATACACAATATACTTTACCTTTTCTATATTCAGTACATTGTATTTACAGCTACTTAATATATCAGTATAAATCTATGCGAACAACAATTTTGCTCCATTTAATATATACATACTAAGCTTATTTTGCAATATATATTTGTCATAGTTCATGGTATTTATGGTAACAGCTTTTCATTATTGAATCAGATTACCCCTGAACAATGCACTACACTTTTGTTGTCCCAAATATAACATGATTTTGCTTGTAAGTAAAGTTGTATAGAAAATAAAAATATTTTAGTGCATTTTGTACCTTAATTAACTCAGATTATAATTAAACAGTTACCATTCTCACCCATGGTTTTAATGACTGGAGGCAGATTAAAAATATACCATAATAATCTGTAAGTAACTAACAGTTGCAATCAATTAAAATCTTGGCTCTTTGAGAACAACTTTATGTTGGGATGGAATTTTGGAATATACCCTAGGTCTTGTTTAGAAAAGTATAATTTCCAACCAGCATTTACTTTTACAAATGATTTATTCAAATAAAAATGCTTTAGAAATTGTGTAGGGAAAACATAGCTGTGGTTTTCTAGGCTAGTATGATTCAATATGAAAAGCTTTTACTATGAACTATGACTATACAGGGTGTCTCAAAAAAAAACGCAACCAGTTAAATATGCAAGAATATTAATATTGTTCGGGTTTGCACCATAGTTCAGCTAAAATGACGTTTAGCATTTTTTTAGCATTTTAAATGAAGGATTAAGAGCCATTTTCAATTCCCAGAGGTGCACTTTAGAGCTGTATTAATGTTCTTGCATATTTAAGCGGTTGCGTTTTTTTGAGACACCCTGTATAGTGCAAAATAATGTATTAAGTGCAGCAAAATTAATTGTTGTTTGCATAATTATACATGTATTATATATTCCTCCAATCCTTCCTCCACAAAATAATTCAGTTTATGTTCCATATAACAGATAAAAGAATTGAGATATGTTGTTAAATTTTGGAATATTACCAGTACATTGTATTTGCTGCTACTTAATATAAATCTACTCTACAGTATGTAAACAACAATAGGATATATACCAAAATTCCGGCCATCCCAACACAAAGTTGCTCTCAAATAGCCAAGATTTTAATTGATTGCAACTGTTAGTTACTTACAGATTATTATTGTATATTTCTAATCTGCTTCCAGTCATTAAAACCTTGGGTGAGAAATAGTAACTGTTTAATTATAATCTGAGTCAATTAAGGTACCAAATGCACTAAAATATTTTATTTTCTATACAATTTTACTTACAAGCAAAATCATGTTATATTTGGGACAACAAAAGTGTAGTGCATTGTTCAAAAAGTGTAGTGCATTGTTCAGGGGTAATCTGATCCAATAATGAAAAGCTGTTACCATGAACTATGACAAATACATATTGCAAAATAAGCTTAGTATGTATATATTAAATGGAGCAAAATTGTTGTTCGCATAGATTTATACTGATATATTAAGTAGCTGTAAATACAATGTACTGAATATAGAAAAGGTAAAATATATTGTGTATTTAGTGAAGTTGTTCATGCATATTTTATATCATGCAGTATGCAATTCATATGAAAATCTGGAAATTCAAATTTGGATCCAAAAAGTTTTCATTTCCAACCAAACATTATTCAATTCCAATAGCAATGTAGATATAAACGCGGTTTATTAGATAGCAACGCGCAAAGCTCCACTTTGTAGGTTTATGAATGAGACCATGCAAATCAACAAATTTAACTGTTTACAAACTAACCTTGTCAGTCCTTGTGTTCGTTTCATCGTTTGTGTAATTATATATGTATCATCCATTCCTTCACCCACAAAAGAATGCAGTTTATGTTCCATATAACAGATAAAAGAATTGAGCGTACTTGAATTAGTGGAAATGCTAAGTTTGGCTGCGAAATTTGGTAAAATACGGAAAATATAGCCATGTCAAATTAGCATATTTTGTATTACGCGCGGAAATTGTAACTAATTTAGTTACAAACTTCCGGCCGTAAGATTCCGGCTTTTCTCATTCCTTGTTTTAAAGATTCCGGCTTTTCTCATTCCTAGTTTTAAAGATTCCGGCTTTTCTCATTCCTGTTTTTAAAGATTCCGGCTTTTCTCATTCCTTGTTTTAAAGATTCCGGCTTTTCCCATTCCTGGTTTTAAAGATTCCGGCTTTTCTCATTCCTGGTTTTAAAGATTCCGGCTTTTCCCATTCCTGGTTTTAAAGATTCCGGCTTTTCGCATTCCTTGTTTTAAAGATTCCGGCTTTTCTCATTCCTTGTTTTAAAGATTCCGGCTTTTCGCATTCCTTGTTTTAAAGATTCCGGCTTTTCCCATTCCTTGTTTTAAAGATTCCGGCTTTTCCCATTCCTTGTTTTAAAGATTCCGGCTTTTCGCATTCCTGGTTTTAAAGATTCCGGCTTTTCCCATTCCTGGTTTTATCATTCCCCGTTCCCTTCCCCGTTCCCTTCCTTGATTCCCCGTTCCTGGTTTTAAAGATAGCCGTATACAGGGTGTGCATTCGACCAAATTCACAATGTCGTTTTTAAAACATTTCAAAATTTTAACTACTATACTCATATTACCTTATTTCAATTTGTAGTTAACTTTGAGGTGGACAGTTGAGCGGTTTAAACCATGCGGTTTATAGCCTGGTTTTCATCACTCGCAGATCTAGATAGTCGGCAATATCAAAATTACGACAGATGCCGAGCATCGTAATTGGTGAAAACCGCTCATCGTAATGCATCTGCGACTGTCCCCGACGATCGTAGCAAAACAAAAAAAATTGTTTTGTTACGACGATCGGCGTTTGTCGCAGATAGGCTGCGACTGATAAAACCATGAAAACCGCATTTATGTACTAGCTTCGCCGACAATCGTAAAATGCTAATCATCCTAATTTCGAACCCAGTGTTCTAATTTGTCCCGCCTTCTTGTCCAAAATGCACGAGGAACCGACAGATTAGGTTGATGAAAACCGCCTTTTTGCGATATTCGCCTACTGCTACCAAGCCAGCATCGCCGAGCATCGGCGTCTATCTGCGAGTGGTGAAAACCAGGTTTAAACCATAAACCATGTATAATTATCAAATGAACCAAACATATATAAAACTCGATGCATATATACGTCATGTTTTTATTTGTGTTTCCAGGCCTAAACGTTGCGAGAACTGTCTAAATGATAAACAAGACAAAAAACTTTTTTTCATAAGACGCCATTTATCGCCTGTTCAGTACTGCGAAGAAAGACAATCTTCGTATTCTTAGAATTCATGTGTTTTCAACGTTTAAGTTTTAAACCCTTTGTTATTATCAAATCTGTTTCAGAAAGCTTGACTTTCAATCTTATATTTAAACACCCGATACCTCTACTAATTTCCGGACGTTTTGTTTACACAAGGTTATCTTAGCAAGTATTTACCCTATGAATACGCAGAAGGTGTCATTTGAGAGCTTAAAGTATGATCTTTCATCTGATGTATTTGTTTTCGCAATTCATAACTATCCTCTTCCGGATTGAGCATAATCGCCAAATTACATGCAACTGCATCGCTAAAAATTGCAAAGAACAGCCACACATTTGGTTGAAAATCAACTAAAATACGTCGTCTGAATGATTTTTACCGGCAAGATCGATTTCCGAGGCATCTGGTTTCCTAGGATACACATATAAAAAATAGGTACGCTAAGCGTACATGTATCTGCGAGGTGCGAATGGTGGGATCGAACATGCGATGGAGAAAAGTGAAAAACTGAGATATGCAAAACTAGAGTACAGTTCAAACGTACTGTCTATAAGCATGTAATTTTGGTACTACAAAGCAACAAGAATTGAATGATTTATAAAAGTATCAGTCTGAGTTGATAATACAATTAATTGTTTTTCTGAAACTTTCACTTGAAGTTTCGTTCATTATTGTTTGAAATGAAGAAAGTTTTGATATAAGTAATGTTAATTTTTCTACTTTGGTTAAATTTATCATATGAGAGATGACAAAAGTATAATTTTAATTTTAATAGAAGATGTAGATAAGATATATGATGTACAGATAATTAAATGGGGAAGAAGACATGATAGGAACACCAGAACAGCAACTAACTAATTACAGCAGGTACCAGGATCTGTGATATAAATTCTTGCAGAAACTAATTCGACAACATATAAATTTAATGAAACTTTATGATGTCATTGTTGTTGTTTAGATAATTAATGATGTAAAACGAACTAATTGGTAATTCAGGAAAACAACACTCTGTCCAGTATGTAAATTCCTCTATGAACGTTTACATAATACTGTGAAACTATGAAACAACTTTATAACAACATATAAACATTGCTATATTATAAATTGTATTTTTGCATATATGGCTTTTGCAAAGAAACAGATAATTCCTTATGCATATGTTATACAATAGAGCTTACAGAAACTGAACAAATATTACACACAATGGCTGGGATGACCAAAGTGCTAGTTTAGTGGTAGCTTGATAAAGTAATCTACAACTTCAATTCCTAACAAAGATACCAACTTACCATATCCTAAGACTACATTATAGCACACAAAAAGTTAACTTGCGAATGATGTTTATTGCAACAGTTGTTGTTTAGATAATTAATGATGTAAAACGAACTATTTGGTAATTCAGGAAAACAACACTCTGTCCAGTATGTAAATTCCTCTATGAACGTTTACATAATACTGTGAAACTATGAAACAACTTTATAACAACATATACAGACAGTATCATGTACATGTGAATGTGAAAGTCCAGCTGTCATTATGTCTAATATAAAAATAATATTGAAAACATAGATCCATTGAACACAGCGCTTAATTTGTATACTTCACAAAACACTTGTTTACATCTAGTATTATATTTGCCATTTGGTAAAATTACTATACAATACATGTCATATAACTTTATGATACTTGCTCTTGTTTCAAGGTACTTGAAAAACACTGTAAGATCCAAGAATATGTCGTAAACAACAGCGAAGTATAAAGCGAACATCCTACTAAAAACTGACAATTCAGCTAGGCTATTTACCTTAAGAAAACTTCGTCCAAACAAATTGAATCTGAAATAAACATCGACTCCTCGTATCCGCCATTTTGTAAATCTAGCCTGCGAACAGGCTTGGTGTGCAATTACGTAATTTGTGGGACCCCGTTCACACGAGACCGGTCGAATTCGAGACCATGCACGAATTCGTCCAATTTCGCCTTGCGTTCACACGGGACCATTGAAATCGGACGAATTCGAGCATTGTTTACCGGACGAATTCGCGACTAAAAAAATCTAGGTCTAGTTTTGTGCCGGTTCGGTTTTAAAATTTCGCAGCCTCGTGTGAACACCGAAACCGGGCGTTTTCAAGACCTTTTGGAATCAAAATTAATCATTACATGAAGTACAGCCCTGGAACGTAAACACAAACCACAATATTGCGACAGTAAACTGATATTTTTAAATAAAAAATGAATGATAAAAAGTTGCTCATAGCAGTTGCCGTTTTATCATTGCTATCGTCGATAGTGGGGCTTATTCAATTATCCGTTTTGGAAGCGGCAATGATTTATTTGCATCGAGAAAAACGTCGCAAAATGCATCCACAAGTGATAACGTATTCATCTGCATCGGTTGTCCGACAGTGGTTGGTGCATATAAAAAAGAAACGACGTAAACCACGAAGAACTATGTGGATTCGACCAGGACGAACGTCTGTATGGTGGGACAATTTTATAACAACGTGATGATTGACGAAGAATGGCGAGAAAACTTTAGACTATCGAAAGTAAACTTTTTTAAGTTGTGTCACGAACTCGAACCATATCTCCGCAAGAAAACAACGAATATGCGAAGAACCATTTCCGTGGAAAAGCAAGTTGCCGTTACCCTTTATTATCTGGCCGATGAGGGTAGATATCGTAAAGTAGCGAATGCGTTTGGCTTGGGGAAGAGCACTGTTTCGGGAATTGTTCGAAGGACTTGTGGGGTTATATCTGCTGTGCTAGGCCCAAAGTATATAAAGTTACCAAAAACTAAAGAAGAAGTTCAGGAATCAGTAAATATGTTTTACGAAAAACATGGGTTTCCTCAATGCATTGGCGCCATCGATGGAACCCATATTTTCATCAAACAGCCTCATGAAAATCCAACTGATTACATCAACAGAAAGAATCGACACTCAGTGAATGTACAAGCTCTATGTGATTTCAAATATTGCTTCACTGACATTGTTATTAAATGGCCTGGAAGTGTGCACGACGCCAGGATATTTTACAATTCTGCATTGAAGGAGATGTTAAACGATGGGACAATCCCCCACTATACCGCACACTCGTACCTGATACTGCACCAGTACCTGTATGTATTTTGGGTGACCCAGCATACCCTCTATTACCTCGCCTTATGAAGGAATTTCCTGGTGGAGGAAACTCTGTCAAAGAACAGTTCTTTGGTTACCGACTCAGTTCTGCCAGGATGGTCATAGAATGTGCTTTTGGAAGACTCAAAGGCAGATTTGGTGCTCTTCGCAGAGAGATGGATATCAACATTGATGAACTTCCCCAAGTGATCCATACGTGTTTCATTTTGCACAATTTTTGCGAAATTAATAATGATCCATTGGTGCAGGAGTCTGTTACTCTTGGTTTACAATATGAAAAGGAATTCCAACCTGCACATAGTCCTTCAATCAGAGAGCAAAGCACTGAGGCTCTCAGTAAAGACATCCGAAATGCATTTGTTGAATTTTAAATATATGATAATTTGGGACAATGAATTCATTTAATATTTTCACAGTGTTATTTCTCCCTGTGCTTGAGATTTTGGGTGCATTATAGGATTAGCAGATCCTATGTAGAATGTTTTGTAAAAATAATTTTATCAAATTGTTGAATTAAATACAACATATGTTGCTATGACTAGTTGCTATGCCAGCTCACGCTCTGAAGTATGTGCAAATGTTTCTGTTTACAAGCATTTCAATCTCACCAAGATTTGCATTGTTTTCTGTTATTTTCAAACTATTTAAACTATTTATTTATTTATTTATTTAACAAATTTTTTGATATAATGAGCTTTAAACTGAAATATTTACACAGAATAATTATCATTAAAATCCCAAAGCTTAACATAATTATTAAATTTAAATAACATTCAAATTGAATTTAAATAATATTTAAGTATTGAACAATTTGGGTCACTTTCTTATTGTATGTTTTTCAGTCCAACTGAACTAACTGGTTGTGCTGAGGTTTCAAGATTTTCCAGCATATCATACTGGCTAAAACCTAAGTAGGGATGTTGAAAAGCATGTATTCCACTATGAATATGATTGGCTGTTGCTGTTTGCTCTTGATTATCTTTTAATAAATTACCAAGAAGAGTGAAACCCTGGCTGATTGTTGCTGTTAGGGTGGTCAGTCCTGTAGCAAATGAATCCATTGTTTTTTGGTATTTTTCTCTGACTCTTCCATTTTCTCTGTAGCTTTTCGTTTCAATGACAACTCTTCCTTGGCAATGGCTAGTAGCTGTGACTCTGTGGCAATCTTTTTGCTTAGCTTAGCATCTTTTTTGTTATTTAAAAACGTCAACAAGCTCCTTCTCCCATCATCTTTTGATTCATTCTCGACGCTTTCTTCACACAGTGGTTCATCTACTGGGTCAACGCTGTTTGAAGGCAAGGAAGAATCTTTTTCCAATAGCAATACATCAATGTCTTCAACAACATCTTGTCTGGAGCTTTCTATTCCATTTCTCACACACTCAACTGCTGGCGAACCTCCCCAAATAGCGGAGCATTCATCAAAAAACGTTGTGACAATTCGCCCCCCGCCACTTCTTCGTCCAGAATCTAAAGGTTTTTTATAACCTTTTCTTATTCGTTTCAGTTTGCTCCATATTCTTTCTTTATTGAAAACATCACCACAATGAGGAAACTGGCTTGAGGTGGTTTTTGGGTACCCTTCCTTGAATTTAACGACAAGGTCTTCATTCTTTGTTTTTAATAACAGAATTCCAGTCTACGCCTTCGGCGGCTTTTGTCGACTTATAATCATTAACAACGCTGAGAAGTAATACTATTTCTTCATCCGTCCACATAAAATTTTTTTCAGCCATTTTAAAAAGTTTTTCCCGCGCTAACAGCAGCTTTATAGTGCCTCATATGCGCATGCGTCAATAAATGATTACGGTCTCGAATTCGTCCGGGTCCGTGTGAACACTTTCTGACCTGTAATTAATTCGACCGGTCTCGTGTGAACAGCTGTAATCGGATGAATTCGTGCATGGTCTCGAATTCGACCAGTCTCGTGTGAACGTAGTCTTAGTCGCTGATTGGCTACAAGTTAACAGCTAACAGTTAACAGTTACACAGTCGATAGCAATATATCTGCGTTAGCGCAGATACAAAAAACATACAGCCCGAAAGACGCCCGAAGGAGATTTCCGACCGAGTGTTTCCGGAAATGCCCAATTAAGGCAAAATATGTACTTGTAGCGTATGATATTTAGTACAAAAATAGAGCAGAATTTGATAAACAAAATGGTGGACGAACCGTCACTTTTGGCTGAAAAAAAAAGAAGATACAACGCTACGAAGATAAGTCATTGCTTCATACTTTCCACTATGCATTTTTGAGATTGAGTGAAAAATTTGTTTGTTGAAATATTGCAATAACTCGCCTAAAACGCGATGAAAATCTACGAAATCAACACAAAAGAAAGATTATGATATATTCTATACGGTTGTATGATCTGGCTGTCCCAAGTATTTGTTTTCCCAAGTTTTTAAATTTTGAATTTACCTGTTACCCTTATTGGTATTCTTCTCTCATTCTCAATTTTCATATAGGTTTTGTGCTGTTAGTCTATCAACAAAAAGAGGACAGGTTGCTAAGGGAAATGAAAGTTTAGTCGACCTCTAAACATAACAGTTAAGACTAGGGAAAGGACCGAGGTTCGATCCTACTGATGCTGCACCAAGCTTAATTTCTATTTTCCCCACGGGACTTGTAGTTTTAGGTAGACGTGTCGAAAATTTGTTTACTTCATTTTCACCTCTATTCGAGCATACCGTTTTTTATTTTTAGTCTTTTAATAGCTGTGACCTCAAATTTATATTTTGTTGCGTGTTTCATCAAATCGGGAATTGCAAATCAGTTTTCTTTTGTTTATGTTGCATAAAATTCCCGATTTGATTTCTCATCCGGCGGTAACTTTAAAGGCGAATAAATCCACCAAGACAAAGTTTTTCAATAACAAAATGTGATTGCAAAGTTTTTTTAAAATACCTTAAACTTTTGATACATTCCAAACCCCAATCGGTATTTTCATCAGTTTAATCAAAGTTTTAGGCAAAGAGAAGAAATTTCACACGCTCAACATGCGCAAATTTCTTGATATTTGTGCGCATGGTGTGTAGTCCCTTACAACAAGTGTGTAAGGGTGGTCAGATTTATTTATATAGCGTTATTTAGAAGTTGTATGCGAGGCTCTTATTTTCAAACAACCCAGAATAGCCTACGAAGTCATTTTACCCTATAAGACGATCTTTCGATAGAAAATTCTTTTACAAAAATTTTCAAATTCCTTGTATTCTTTAAGAATTCTTAAATTACATGTAGTTATTGCAACATTGAATTCATTTAATTGCTTGGCGGAGATGTCAAAATATTTTGAAAAGTCGTGCAACGTGTACACTGATCAGATAATATATCAAATAGTTTCCTAAATCTTTCGTTAAACCAGAGTTTTCGTTAATGTTTATATTTCTGATATTGATGTTTTTGGTGTATGAATATTAAGGGTCATATTTCGCCGAGGAGCATATCTAAATTGGGCATTTAGAACACACTTAAGTGTTTATGCTGAGCTGATGCACAGCCACCCACAAGATTATATAATTAGTTGCTAGAGGGCAATTTGATGAGAACAATAGTTAAAGCGCGTCATCACTTTAACCCCTGCTGTTTAACTTCTTCCGTGTAGAAGAAAATTATGCAGATATGGAGCCTCAGTAACAACATAATACAAAGATCGCTATCGTGAAACTTTGCTTGTTTGTATATTATGCAAAGTAATATAGTTTTTTATTTAAGATTGGAGGATTTTGATTACTTGGACAATATTCATCCCAATTGGGCATGCAGAACACACTTACCAATAGTCACACTCACATTCATTGGGTGTGACATATTATACATTTTGTTAATGCTGATCTACGAGAAAGTTCTTCCACAGCAACAATTTTCCATGGTTACCAGTTAAGTAAAGAATACAAGTTAAAACTTAAAAATTCCTTATCGGCAGGATTCCTCTATCACTATATGAAAATTTAATAACACTCGATACTCCCGACAGACTCCTATGAAACGATTTAGAAAAGGTAAGTGTTTTTTCTATTTCACTTTTAATATACTTGATTTACTTACAAAATCTGAGCAAACCAGAGTTTACTTGAAAAACTTGAGGGAGTAATATAATATTCACCGGTGTCTATTTAATGTTAATGTATTATATCAATTTGACACCAGTAATATCCTAAATTACTCTTTATTTGTCCGACGTGTTTTGCCTCAGTTATCTGCAATAAACTGAAGAAAAGAATTGCGATGCATAACATTTGACTACCGCGAAATGTTACGAAGAATCTCAATCTTTTCAATCGATCATCTCAAATACGTTATATTGTAATTATAATTGGATTTGTTGCTACAAACATTCGAGTTGTCATTGAGCTTAAAGAAATAGAAGAGTGGCGGGAAAATTATTTCCAGGAGACCAGACAAACTTCAAAGTACCTGTCTACCTGAGCCAGCATGGCATTATACCAAGAACAAATTTTTCGAAATTTTGCACCATGCACAAGTATGGCTGAATAAAGGCGGATTTCCACTTACAGCGAAATCGTTCGCTAGCGAAATATTTGCATATTTTCTTTTGAATTGAGAACAGTCAAGTCGAACTAATTTATTTATGCTGTTAAAATTCAAAAGAAAATATGCAAATATTTCGCTGGCGAACGATTTCGCTGTAAGTGGAAATCCGCCTTAATGCTATTAAGCCGGCGAAATTGACATATTATAAAACAGAATATTTTGATTTTACCGTGCATAATATTTCTTTATTTGCTTCAAAGTTCAATGTAAAGCAACTTGCACAAAATACCTCTACAGTTCATTTACATGCATTGGTACGTAAAATGAAGGCTAGCTTTTTAACTTCCTGTGTCATTTACACACTCTCAACTACGTGCCCGTATATACTGTGGCGTTTCAGTGTACTTGCTAATTTTTAAGCATTTTTAGAAACTATATGTCAACTTAATTCTATCCATCACCCAACTTGTAATTCATTTGCCTCTATAGCAGAAAGGCGTTTCTGCCGGATCTCTATGTGGGCATTCTAACAAAATTTTTCGCCCGAATTTTATTGAGCAACAAAAACGTCATTAGTTCATGTTTGCCATTGTTTAGCTGTGCATGCCGCTGATCTTATAATACACTGGATCAATTGTCGACATGCAAGCCAGAATTAAGCCTGGTTTCCATTTAGTCGTAAGTGTCGTGAACATGTTAAGGTTGCTAATGTGATAGAATATTTATATTTGTGTGCAGTCAACAATGACCGATTTAAATACAGAAAACAAGACAAATTTCAAACTGGACTATTTCTCATTACTGAAAATTACTTGTTCACGACAATAATGAATCTCCAGGCCTGTCATTGGAATAGTTAATTTATTATGTACGCAATCCACCGGGGAGAGTCTTTCTGAGTACCTGTGTATGCATGCATGCATGGTAAGGGTCTAGTTTGCATCAAACTTTACAAATGCTTGTGTCTTGGACTCGATCTTCTTGAGTATACATTAGATATAAATTTTGCTTTTCCAATGCATATTGTTAGATCATTGATGTATACTCGGAGAAGTACATTTTTTAAACTAAGACAGTTTACGGAAAATTCCCAATAAGTTAATGGACTTTATCTGCTATAGATACGTGTAACTAATTTAGCTGCATATTTCCGCACGAAATACAAAGTTTATTTTCCTCATTTTGATATATTCCCTTCTCGTTGCAAACATCTAAAATAATTTTACAGCGGATAAGGTCCATTGATGGGAACAAATGGTAAATAAATCGTTTCGATAAAAGATGATTTTACACCGGGTGGGTCTACTTCAGATCGATTTTAAAGCGCAGCTTTTATGGAAATCTGAACTTTACTTCTTAGCTGGCTCAGATCTGCTTTGTTTCTTCATGGAGAAGAACTTTATTTTGGCAATTTTCTTTGATTTTAATACTTGGATGACATTTGTTCCTTTATCTAAATGATAACCGCAAACTCTCTGTCCACACGGGAAAAGTATAATATTTTGAAAAGTAATTTTGGCATATTTTTAAAATCAAAGGTGCTCGTAGGTGAAAGAGACGAACAACAGTAATTTCTGCACCCAGCAGGGAGAGAGCAAGAAGTGCAATTTAATATAATTATTTTGTCTTTTGACGGTTAATGTGAGGTATATACTGCCAGTGTCTGGCGCTAACTAAATGAGCCACACTATTTATACCATTTATATTGATTATTCATAGAAATAAGAGCGATGATTCTGAAGACAAATCAGTTGTTTCTATGCTGTCTAATAATGTTCACTGTGGGTAAGTGAAACTAATTGGTTTCAAGGTATATGTGGCATCGCACTTATTCTGTAAATGAATTGCTTAATAGCAAAAATTAATATAAATATAAATACAAATAATTAGGTCTACAGGGACCGCGGAGCCAGCTATTAGGGGGGGGGGATGCGGGGGGCTGGGATAGCACGAGAACATACCCATGTGGGAAGAACTTCAAACTAATAGTAACAATTTTACTTTGTATGTCTTCAGAATTCCTTATTTTAATTCCAATTAAAACCACGCAATGCATTAAAGACATAATAATTATTTGTCTATGAGAAAAGTCCAGGGTCTTGGCAGTCTTCACGATCAGATATCCCGTATCCTTGCGATTAGATTTTGGATGTTCTTTTTTCAAGTAAAAAGGGCTAATAACCAACTTCTTGTATAGGAGATGTAATTTACCAAACCATCGCAATGGATTCGGATGAAAAAGTCGAGATGGAACAATCATGGGAGCAACAGAAAATCATAAGTAAGGTCAACAATATGGCATTGCACGTTCTCTTGTTTTCTACGCAAATTAGCTGCTTCAGAAACGAGATACTGCGAAAATTATAGGAATATCACATTATTTGACGATTATTTTCCAGTTGATAATTTCTGAAAACACACGCGGAATGAAAATTGTTGCGAAAGAGGAAATTGAAGCATATTTATTTATATATCCTATATCCCCTATTTAAAATAAAAGAAATGTTATAATTACAACACACAAAGCATGTTTCACACAATATTGTTTTTGCTTACAAAGTATGAAAGGAAACCGGTGGTGTAGTTGCCCCCCCCCTGCAGTGGTATATAAATACTCAAATTCAAATTCCGCGATACGGTGTTGTATTACAGGTTCTCAATTCTTGGCAATGTCACATATGAGTCCCCGATTTTTGAACTATGATAATAATCTCATCCCGCACGTCACGCGCCGACTGCATGTACCAGTTCAAAACCAGAGTAATTGCGTGAACACTGTGTGTCCACGAAAAAAATGCTAGTATTTGGGAAAATTATTACTGAAAAAAAAAACACTAAAATTTTCAGTATTAGGCTGCGTTCAGACTGAGTGCCAAGCACTGGTGGCCGTCACTTTTCCTGGCGCCAGCGAAATATTTCCCTGATCTATAAATAAATACGTGTACATTTCATACCAGTAGAAAGAGAAGGATTTATACAATGTATGTATGTAAAGTTAATTTAAGGACGCTAGTCCTGTTCAAAAGCATTTTTTACATCGCCTTAGGTAATTAGTCTTTGGAATAGCGCCCAACACCGGAGTCTTCTCTTTAACCTTCTAAATTGTTTGGCTCTTAAAAATAGAACTAAACTGGTTTCTTGAACAAGAAGACAAATCAAGCAACCTGTTAGTCGCACTTCTTGAACAACCAGTAAAGCAAATCCGGGTGAAAAGGGATGAGCCAGGTGGATGCGGTGATGACCCAGGTATATAACAAAATCGAATACGTTCATACTCTCTGAAAACATGCACTATAGTTAAATTCAACGAAAAATTGGGTCAATTGTCCACAAAACATATTTATTCTCTTTCGTTGTCATTTTTTTTTGTTTAAACGCCTTACCCATGCGAGTGGTTGAGTTATTCATAGAAATAAAAAAAACTGTTATTGTAATATAGTCCAATACTTAATATAAGTTCAAGTTAATGCATGTTACCAAATACGGACATACGGACCATAAAAGGAGAAACGCATAAAGGAAAAGGTCGTTCGTTCTGACTGGAAAAATATTCATAGGCAAATCATGTACTACCATTTTCGTTCAAGCGTTGAGTGCGATTTTTCACGATGTTTCTGTTATGAAACGTTTCGTTTCTTTGTTAAAACTTTCACGTTTCGGCGCGAACGTACAACTTTATAGGAAATAAATGTCAACGTTTGACACGTCATTTCGACAAGCCGTTGTTGCTCAAACAACTTCGCACGTTTTTCTAACACTTTAATTTCCACTTATGTTACATTTCACTGTAATTCTGATTGAAGACACTCTCACGGTGCGGGAAACTGCAGTGAATGTGTCTACGGGAACGAATTCTATCTGCATGGTTGCCGAATTCGGTTGCCGAAAACGCCGGTCACGTGTGACGCAAGGCCAAAACGGATAAAAAACCTTCGTTTAAAAATATCGGATACGTGGGACTAAGAGACCATAGATGCGATAAGTCAAATAAATAATGTCAGTTTAAATAAATAGATAGCTAACGAACCATATGGACCGGCCATAAAACACCGATGCCCAAATGAGTGTGGTGTATCTCAATGCTATTTGACTTGATTCAAATGATATAAACCAAAATTGGGTTGCGCTTGCGATGATCTAATAAATAAAATACAGAACATGATTGAGAGACCGCGATGACGATGACCTACGAGGTAAAACGAAAGAGAAAATGTTTTGGTGAGTCAAAATATGTCCAAAAGCATTGTGGATCAATATCGCCTCTACTGCTCGACTAAGACTGCACTTATATCCTTTAGCTCAAAAACATAACGAAAATACCTTTTTAATTTAGAGACCATACTAATCGTGTTCAGTAACATTAAAACAAGACTATACAGCGGCCCTTGCAATGCAAGTTCTCAGAGTAGAAACTTGAAGACAAGGATTGAAAACGCGGTTTGTTTAGTTTATATTACATATCCTTTGCAACATGTAAAATCATACAATCCGACTTTACAAATTAATAGTGGCGGTTTTCTTGTCTTTCCTGTAATCTGATTGGCTCTAGCAGCGCTTAAATTTTGCGCCACCGTCAAACGTCATACGCATGCCATCCGCATGCAAGAAGTGCGGACTGAATGAAATGGTTACACAATTAAGGAAGATCAGTTGTGACAATCTTCATTGAATTGAGGAAAATTAATCTCCTCTCGTGAATTACGTTGCTCATGCGCAGACGTTTGGCCGCGGCGTTTATTTGAACATACATCGTCTGGAACTTTTGTATATATCAGTGTAATGCTCAAGCGAAAGTTTTTTTCGAGAATAAATATCTTTTATATTTTTAAATTGAAAATATGGAATATAGGTAAATTAAGACAAGACATTTAAATTTATTGTTTGAAGCGTTAAAGGAGTGATCTTTTCAAACTTTGAATTTTAGTTCGAGACAGTATTCAAGAAAACGGGCAATGATGAATATTTGGGAGTTGAAATAACAAAATTTAGGTAACAGGAATATCTTTTAATTGGTTGTTTTTGAACACGTGGAATGTTCGGCTTCTTCTCGTTGAATGGAACATCACACCTTATATTCTTGCCATTGCACTTATAAACGTTCATTATTAGCATAATATTTTCAAAACCTTAATTACATTTCGATGAAATATTTTTAGAGGTCAATTTTTTTTATTAGATAATGGGTTTTAGTTTAAAGATAGCATACATATTGAATACTTTCAACTTGGCTGAATTTTACTCTATTTATTACTGGGCTTGAATGGGATTTTCCCTATGAGCTCAAATTGCCCAAACAAATTTAATAAACGAACTATGAAAAATTCCGCCTGCTCAGATTCTTCTTCATGGAAAATAGCCTTCATATGAAAAATGATCAAGGTCGATGTTTGAAAATTGAATATAGAAAATAAATGTCCCTAATAAAAATAATTGCTCTCATATCACAGGCTAGTACAGTCATTCATTATTGAATATGAATATTTAATGTCAGGCAAATCAGATAAAAAAATAATATCTTTTTAGAAATATATTTATTACGGTTCTTGTATATTTTTATCTAGCTATTATTTGTTCAATAATAACCTTGCTTTTTCTTTCATTTCACCAGCTCTGGAAGCGTTATCGCAGATATGGAGGTGTTATTTAAAAAAGGAGATGAAACCGGAATAATGGAGCTGCTAGCTGCTGTACGAAATAACTCATTTGGTGATTTTGATGTTGATCCTAACGCTCTTCAAGTTGTTATAACAGGTACGGCATAAAAAATCTTATCATGGGTATATAGGCATAACACGCATGACTTAGGTACCTTAAAGTTAATTGTTTTCATAGTCAATGAACACCAAAATATTAGCATAGCATGACTAAATTTTCGGGCTGGCTACGCCACATATACCTTTTTTTAAACGTTGAGAACACATCCATATCGAGGTACGTATAAAGTGTCAATGAACTCTGACTTTAAGATACCTATAGTAATTTGTTTTAGCATATATAATATTTTTAGTGTTAACTTGTGTCAAACAAAAGAGTAAAAAGAAAGTGTATCGAATTTTGGCATGCCCCCACCGCTGAAGACCTCTCGACCCTCGAATACTGTTGCGCGTCAAATTAGAGTTAAAATCTACCTGCATGGTATTTTTGCCTCATTGTGTTTTTTAATCGTTTATAGGTGCATGTCCACCAAATGGTCCTGACATCTGCCCAGGAAATTCAACATGTGAAACGCTGACTGAGAGTACAATAAAATGCCCTTGCATTAAAGATTTTTACTTTGACGGTGTTACATGCATAAGTAATTATTATATTAATTTAATATAACTCAATATTTGTCTAATACTCTAGCTACGCATTTTGAAATCAGCTGTTTAGAATTTGTGTAGCAACAACACATGGCCATGCCTATAAAATTTATCAAAAGGTAAAATGGCGGCGAATACGCGTACACTTCTTTTTAGAAAAACCTTTGAATGAAATATTTACAAAACATACCTTTTGCGAAACGCGTTTGCACATTAACACAGTGGCTTTTTATAATGTTAACGTTCTTAAAAACGCAATCATATTAACCGTCCTTTTTGAGAAAACCATGTTTGATATTTCTTTGTAAAAAAGTGTACAGTCCGACATAACAATAGCCATTTGTGAGATCGTGATGTCCATATTTCTCAATCGTAAATATTTGAAGCACTTAATGATTAAAACTTAATTATTTCCACTTTAGAAAACGTCGTTGTAAAAGTTGAAATAATCTTAGAAAGGGAGTTTACCCCAGCGTTGAAGAACGAAAGCTCAGAAGAATATATAGAGTTGAAAAAGAATATTACGAATAAGGTAAATCTGAATTCTCTTTACGGAAGTTGCACTTTAATATGAAAAAGTTCTCTTTTTCAGTAGTGCATGCATGCTAGACTCTTCTGATATCATAAGCCTACTGTATTATAACCTTTTCAATTAGCAATAATTGAGCGCGGTAACAATATCTTTATGCGAAATTATTCGATATATACACTTATACGCCTGTATTCTAAAAGCTCGCTCACACTCATAGTCATTGAGTGGGAGTTCTTATTCTTCTTATAACTTTCCATGGCGGTATTAAATCTTTTCATTGACTAAGAAGAAACTTTCTAATTGATCAGTAATAACAAAATTTCTATGTGACACTCAAAGAGTGAGTGTTTATGAGCTTTCTGAATACAGGCGTCATCATTAGAATAAACCATGGTAGTATAGTAAATATACGACAGTATTGAAAAATGATCTAAAATCTTATCCTCGTGTTGCGGCACGAGACGTTGTTCTCGTGCATAACCAGGATTGTAGGACTATATTTAACCTCAGTGGCGTAGCCAGCCTGACGATTTTGTCCCGCTATGTAAATTTTGTGTTATTATAATTATTCCTTTCCTTAGAATTTCATTGTTTTCACAGTCAATAAACAACAAAATATTAGCATAGCGGGACAAATCGTCAGGCTGGGCTACGCTACTGTTTAACCTTAAGTGTTATTGCAAACGAACAAACAAAATCGAACGTCATTCAATAGGAATGAATGGAAAGTCAACAATCAGCTACATATCATTTTAAAATTTCAAACATTTTATCCTTTTTTATACAAAGTAAAATGCGATGGAGTTTTTTAGACTGGAAATGCCGAAAAGAAAAATCGAAGGCAGGGTGACAAAAATAAATGCTAGATCAGGCATGCAAAGTTATTTGGCAACGCCTAGAGCAAGTACATTAAATCGAGAATTAAAATATATTTTGCAAGCCTTTGCTCTCATGTCAATTCTTATTAATTTTGTTTAATACACCGAAACTATCGTTTCCTAGGACAGCTCAGATCTTTATTCCGGTTTAGTATTTTCAACGACATTTAGCTTTTGAGAAAAATTTTAGTGGAGGGGAGGTGGTATTGCACCACATAATAATGATATCAATGATCTGTTTTGTTAGCTAACGGAGACTTTTAAAGATACCCCAAACTTTGAACGCGCGGAAGTCACGGGATTCAGGTAGAGTAGCGTATATATTTGTGAAAAAAAAGAATGTGCGCAACTGATTAAACATATATGAATATATAAAAAAGGTGCGCAGTCATGAGAAAACAAGCCTGACCCGCCCAAGCACTAGGTTATCCGATTTACTTTTTATAACAGTAAAACAAGTACCATATAATTTGCATTGCAATGACGTTGTCAAAATGTTTCAATTTTGAAAAAAAATGAATTCAATTGTGACAAAATGAATGGATCATATAAAATTTGACTGAAATAATTAACCTGTAAAAAGTCCAAGACCACCTTGCAACTTTAAAATCATGGAAATATGAACAAGGTTAGAATAAAATAAAGTAAAATTTAGTATTTCAAAACAGGGTTTAAATCTATGGCATTTGAGGTTTTTAAAACTGACGCTAATTCTGAAAATATATTCAAATTCATGCACATGTCAGTGCCGATGGAGTGCTCTCTTGACCAATAAGTTCTTACGTTTCTGAGATTTTCACTCGTGTTTTTTTTCATACTTTAACGTAGGAACGGATCTCTCGTAGTAGAATTTAGGCTTATTTACCGGAGAGATCCAGATACTAATAAGAAAGTTGTGGTTGGCGAAACATTGAAAAAGAAAATTCTTGATGAAGGGAAACTTGGAGAGTACAGAATTATTAAAGACAAAATATATATACAAGGTAAATTTAAGGAAGTTTTTAACATCTATGTCTTTTATTGCATGCACAGAATGTAAAGAGATCTTGAAGTAGGTAGTTCTTATACACTTTTGTATGACGAACGGAAGTGTGTAACTAATTTAGTTACAAACGTCTGCCCGTAATAACAATGAATAACAATGCCGTCTCGAGAAACTTCGAAATTTTACTTGGTTTAGTATACCATTTTCGGAAATTCTCTTTTTGCTTCCTAAATCAAAAGTTGGTCTATTATGGAAAGGTCAATGAGAGAATAAGATTTAAAAAAATTAGAATTAAGACCTTCGGAACGACGATTGCACGGAATAGTTTAATTCGTAATTGGAATCATGCATCTATTTCTTATTTATTAAAACAAATAAATTTTGCGGGCTTATCTTTCTTGCATTCTTTACAGAACCACCTCCTCCACCAAAGAGTCTTAATCATTCCAAGGTCACCGAGGACAGAATTGACATTCGTTGGGAAAAACCTGCAGCGAACGACTTTTTCAAAATATTTGGTTACATAGTAAGCCACAAAGAAAAGTCTCAATTAAAATACAAGACGCAGAATATGTCATCAGATGCATCTAATGTTGTATTACGTGAATTGAAAAGTGATACATTTTACGACATCACAGTCCATGGATATAATAAAGAGGGCAGTGGAGACAAAATAGAAATTTCAGTAAAGACAAAAGAAGAGGATTCGTGTAAGTGTCGTTGCCTATGTATAGTATTGCCGAGTTATTTTCAAACCCAAAACTCTCTGGGCAAGGGATTGTAGATAATCGTTTTTCCCCTTACCAAATGCAGTTTATGCTTAACTGTGTTGTGGAGACTGACTGCAAGAGATTTTTTTGCAAGAACGCCTGAGCCACGTAGAGAGGAGGACTGAGTTAGCTCCCCACTGTCCTCTTCTGACGGGATTAAGGCCCATACCACAGAATACCAAACAGAAGTAGAACTCCTGTACTTTCTTCGTAAGTGTGATTCGTCATGATTCGTCACTTAGCAAGTGCATTTTTTTGAGGTAGTCCCCCCTGCCAATACTAAAAATGCGCCGATTTTAGACATTGACAGGGGGGTGACAGCCTCAAAAAAATGCACTTGCTAAGTGACGAATCATGACGAATCACACTTACGAAAAAATAGTATAGAGTTCTACTTCTGTTAGGTATTCTGTGCCCATACTCTTTGCTACTTTATATAATTATATCGCCATACCATAGTATGTTCATTGAGTGGCCCTAATTTTTAATATAAAGCTATGTTGAAATCGTGATGGGCGTGCTCTTTGCATTAAAACTTACGTTAAAGATACATTCTCGTATGTATCCGCAAATATGTTCATGTGTGCATTATGTTTAAGCTTCCTCTCCTTGCTGTTACATATAGGTAAAATGAATGTATACCATTTCCTGACGCAATGTCCCCGCCGCTCTAAACTCCCCTTGCGGTGCCCCTACATGTTAGATTGATTAACGAAATGCATTCGAACTTCTCCTTTATAGCTAATGTTGTGGTGGTTATTATTATTGTTGTTATCGTTGTTGTGCTTCTTATCATCGTCGGCATTGTAGTTTTCTACAAAATAAGAAAAAGGACAAGAGAAAGGGTAATATATAGAAATTAAGGTATCCTTGTTTCTGTCTACGAGTAGAGGTAGTTTAATTTTTTTGAATGAGTTTCAATCGATTATTGTGATTTTTTTAACTTGACCTCGACAGTAATTTTTCAGTAGACTTTAGCCTTTCGACGTAAACGTGAATTCTATCATTAAGGATGTATATCCCAAGAAACTCCATTAAACAAAATAAGGTTGCCTGCAGCCGTAGATCAAACTCGGGTTATCTTAAACACTCCTTTAAGAAATAAATTCAAATTTGTAGAATCTATAAAAATCGTGCATTTTTTTAAACTTAAGTGTGAGAAATAATATCGCAAGTTTGAAACAAAATCACATTTAGGTTTTGCGTCGTCACAAAATAATGTAAAGAAAACCATCGACACAGACCCTGATTGGACAAAATTTGGTCAGTGTAAGCTCTAAAGAAAATTTGACCAACTAGTGCAAATAGTTTTTACTAATTTACATTTTCGAATCTCATTTCGTTGTAGCATCTGGAGCAACCAATGGGTATGGGTAAAATGCGTTAGCCAAACGAACAAGTCCAGGCGAGGTAACCCTCATATTTGAAATGAAGACAATATCGAAAATGAAAAAATTGTTATAGTTATTATTTTATTAACTTGGCTTGATGACTGGAATATAAACTTGTGCACATATCAGTAAACTCATTTCATTATAGCTGCTTAGTCTTTTTTGTCTTTTCGAATGGAATCATATATGAAATAATTATATATAAATATTTAAGGATATTATTGCATGCGATAAAAAATCTTAAGATTTTAAAATGTTTTAGTATAAGGAATATTTTGCGTTCATAAAATGACAACCAGCAGTTGTAAAATAATATGATAGCATTTAGGCATATTCAGGCTTGTTTCAAATTTTATGATGTGCCACTAAAGAGATAAGACGCCGAAGTCAACGTTCTTCCCTCTAAAAGCGAGCCCCACTTTAATAAAGAGAGCATAATATAAATCCAACAATTTAAATAAATTACATTCGTCATCTCAAAAGCATGAAATTCAAATCATAGAAACACCGCATAAGATCATTCATGCCCATAGCCGATAGCGACGTTTAAAACAGCTCTAAACAGCAGTAGCGGCACGACTTTTGATGATGCAGATGCAAAACTATTTCAGTGCCCATATTAAGAAACAATCAATTTTTAAAGAAATAGTGATAGTGATTAAAACTTGCATTTTGCCTGATTATCGTCCGTTCAAGATCGATGTAAAATTACTTTTATTTTTAGCTCTATTGCATCACCTAGTGCCTGTACGCGAGTAATTGTTTTTAGTTCATGTCAACAACACTATGTATATACAATTTAACATGAAAAAATCACTTTTCAGTTTTAATTTGCCTTATTGAATTTTGTTGTCATTTGATATCAGTTTTTGGTAATATTGGTATTTTGACTTCAGGGTGTGGTTTAGTACAGGTGATTAGGCCAGTAAACATAGCCTATAATATTAGTAATGCATGTTTACAACACGAGCGGCCGTGATATACAATCACCGTAATATACAATCACGAGCGTTTTGTAATAATAAAAGAGTAATGGTTGTATTTTCCCGAAACAACCACTAGTGTTAGTAACTGATTAGCAATATTATTCAAATTATTTTGAATGGGGTATACAGGGTGTGCATTCGACCAAATTCACTAAATTTCACATTAATGTCGTTTTTAAAACATTTCAAAATTCTACTATACTCGTACTACTAATTACAAATTGTAGTTAACCTTGAGGTGGAGAGTTAAGCGGTTTAAACAGTTTCCTAAATATAAAACAAACTAAAACTTGCATGCTTAAAAAATAAGCCATAACTGTTGTATCAGAAAACTATGTATATAATTATCAAAACTTAATGCATACGATATGTTTGTGTTTTTATTTGTGTTTCCAGGCCCAAACGGTCTCGAGAACTGTCAATTTAGGATACAAATTTGATCTAATATTTACCCCTACACGGATCATTTGAACAGTTCTAAACGATAAACAAGACAAAAACCCCGAAAAAGACGCCTGTGTGAACATACACAGAAATTTCCGGGTGTATAAAAAAAATTCGAATCTAAATTTTGCGTGTAATAATGCAAAATATATTTGACAAATTTGGTTGATTCTTACACCATTGTTAAGTTCATTTTTCTCTTTCAAATGACATGTTGTACGTGTCATTTAGTTGAAAAATGAAGGAGTACTGGTTCGACAAAAAAAATTCATAAACATCACAATTTTCCGCCGATGGAAATTGGACGTTTGTTTTATTGAAAATTAGTCCTAAAGGGCTTTAAAATCTAATTATTACTGAAACTAAAATGCAAATCTATCGCAAAAATTCATCTTATTCAATGTTCAACGATAGCTTTAAAGAACACAGTGCCTCAATTAAGCACAGAACAACGAACATTTATTGTAAAAACATTTTATGATACTTGTTCGACGAGCAGATCAAGGCATCCTTCGACGCTATCAAGATATATAATCAGTGGATATCAGATATATAATTAGTTTTTAATTTGACGATGATTTTTTTGACAAATAAAAAATCGTTTTAAAACCGTTTAATCACCCCCACCACGCTGCTTAAAATATTAAAATACTTCCACTGACTGGTCCTTCAATTCGGCTGGTTCGAAGTAGCAATATTGAAATCAAATATGGCAACTGAATTATCGTTACGATTTACTCACGATCGTAAATTTTGAGAGGTGTTTGGGGGAGGCACACCCTCCGCCAGCGATCTCAACCAGCAGTCGGTCTCAACATCCTCTCCAATAGACCTTTTCAGCTTGTATGCAAATTAACCCCTTTCACCTCACATGGTCTAAAATGGTTAAGTTTTTAATGCAAGCGTAAAAGGTCTATTGCAAAAAATTAGACACATGAATACATAGTTATACATAGTATCAGCGTCCACGATCTGAATATTTTTGTGCAACCATTTGAGACTACCTCCCCTCCTCCCTAGCAAAAATTTATATTTACATTCATGGTCAGTGGCATACGGGACACGATAATTGGGAGCGCACGTATTCATATATTCATGTTGTGCAAGATTAATTTCTTTTCAAATCCATTGTCTTTACAGGTCTGTTAATATGTGCCCCCCCCCCTCAATTATATTGTCCCGTACGCCACTCTCCCTGGTTCACACATATCGAATATCACGTTGTATATAATAGCAGTGCTTTTCAGCAATAGCTTTAATTTTCGTTACATAACATATACTTGTCCGGCTGAATACAAACAAAAGCAAATTTGAATTATTATTCCTCGGCGGTGAAAGATTATGTGGTTGTCAGCCAGCAATTTTAAAGCAAGAACATTTGGTCATTGCCATCTTTCACGACAGGAAAAAGGTATTAGAATAAAGCTAAATAACCGCCCTTTCTTTCTATGTAAAAACTACATCATTACACCCAATTTACACTGCATCATCCAGTATGTTATTGTCAGTCATGCATTTATGTTATGTTATCATCCGGCATGTTATCGTCGTGCATTTTGAAACGCTCTATGCATTATATATGTCCAGTGTTACCAAGGTATACTTCATATAGGCATTCCCTCAGGATCTTTGTTTTCGCTCTTCAAAGGGTGGTTATAAGGCTCTAATCCAAATAAACTTTTAGCTCCCTTTATGATATCACATGCAGCTAATGTTATAGTAACAAAACGTTTGCAAAATTCCCCCAACTTTTGTGTTAACTTTAATAACAGGATATGTTGCAGAATGCATATTTCCGCCCGATCTATTGGGCCCTACATCAAGGCTGGTAGATTGACAAATTAAGAAAGCAGAATTAATCAATTCTTTTACACTTGTGCTCTTAACAACAATAGTGATGATTGACTCTGCCGTAACATTTATTCCCTGTTCTTTGGTGATCATGATACTGCACATATTTGTATGTAATTGTAACTTCGAGATCGAGAATACAAACTCCGCATCAGGGGCCAGTTGTATCAAGCCCGTTTAGCTTCAACGGTGGTTAAGTTAAGTATAGAAAACAAATCTATCGTTTTATTGAAGAAGCAAAGTAAATATTTTTAACCTTAATTAATACAAAGATATACTGTTTACAACTACATATTCAGTGCATAATATTGAAGTTTACTTAAATTTTACTTATCCACCTTTTGTGTTAAACGGGCTTGATTAAATCACGAATAAATATAGCATTAAATATTGTATAGTATGGTTATCATTATCATACTAACTCTCCTGACGAAGGCCCTCAGTTCGAAACGCTAGAAGTTTTTTTGTCTATTTTAGACAGTTGTTATACCACATTTGATGCTAAGTTGTTTGAAGACGCTGCCACGCTGCTCCCTGCATGTTTATATTGATTAAATATTGTTGACTAAATAAATATTGTATTCTACTGTTCCTTCAACCATTACGCCATGAGCAAAGCAATCACTCACGATACGAGTTTCTTTATAGGTTCGTGTGGGTATTTAAAAATCTCTGGCATTCTTCTAGAATATTATAATGAATAGGTTTAATATAGGGGAATAATTACAGTGAACAATATAATATACGCACTGTAAGACGTTATTATAGATAACTCTCACGGTCGCATCTAAATTCATGCATTAATTAACTAACCAATCTTATTAAAATATTATAATATATGATCTTCTAGCTATAATATTGGTCCTTCGGTTTATGAGAAGATGAAAGTGCATATTTATTTCAATCTATTTTAAAACTTATAAATGTTTATTTTCAGATATATTATGTGCTGGAAAGCATGTTGATAAAATTAATCGTCTCAGAGCTCGTGCATTCGACTCCTGCTGTTGGTTATAGGTTCTTTAAAGGTAATTTTATGCAAAAATTTGAAACATCATAATAACACAAATAAACGCTGACAGACAACTTCCCATGTTTACATTTTTCACTAGCAATGCATTTTAGACGGCATTTTGATTAGTTGAGCGATAATTCAAGATGTACCCTTCATTACTTTCTGTTATCTCAAGGGTAAGTTGCTAAGTAATTTGTTATTTGATGACATTTTAATTTCAGATCTAACCAAATTATATACAGTTTAAGTTCCGCCTCCATATTTGTGGGTATACAGCGATTAGGGATTACTGATCGCTTTAGGTATTTTGGCACAAGCCCATATTTATAAGACGACTTAAAAAATGTGTCCATGTTTAATTTAGTGCCATACCGGTGATCTATTATCCCAATAATGCGAGCTTATCAGAATTATTAGCTGCAATGCTTATACTGCGAGTCGTTGTGTTTTAACATAGCTAATATTCATTCAAGAGACTGTGACATCTGAATCAATACAGCTATTTTATTTTGACAACGAATGCTAAAATTCCAGAAAGATAGCATGCAGTTTAATACAGTAATGTAGGTAGCTTTAAATGGCTTAGCTGGCCAGTTAAGGAGTCGCCGGCAGTTTAAATGCCATAATCATGTTCATACATGCACGTTTTAACATACGTCTCATGCATATGCATGTTAGTCCAACCGCAGACAATCCAAAAGATATCTTTTGGAATGTCTATGGTCTAACATAGTGGCAAATGTAATTGTCCATCATATGATATCAAATATTGGTATTACTGCACTAATTAACATCTAATTTTCTGTTTGAATTCGTTCGAGAAATTGGGAAATAAGATTTTTGAAGGATAACACATCAACAGTATGTTTTGACAGCAAATATAATCAAATGCCAAATGTGTGTATTTTTGAGAATGCATTCCATAATCATATTGCACATATTTTTATTCGGCATGGGAGTCCCCGAATTTTCGCTTGTAGCTCTACGGTTCCACCTTTTCTTGCCCTGACAATACTTTAAAATTAATGACACATGACCCACGTGCAACGTGCATGTATGTAATGTTTTAGTTAAAAACACATGAATTTAACGATGTGCCAAAATGTACTGGATCTACTGTAAAACACTTCAAAATATTTTTGTAATTTTCTTCTGACATTTAAAGGACTATTATGGAAACGAATGATGACACCACAATCTTGTATATTAGTCGTAAAATGCCTATTTCAAAATGTGACGTATGTACGCGTGTTTATATACATACATACGCGGATACGCCAGGGTAAGAATCGTATACAACAAATCACACAGTGTAAATGGACCTTAAAAGTACTTTTGCACGTCCGTTGTTGATAAAAGAGATTTTAAGAGGCATCTCTGTCTAGACTTTTCAAAAATTGACAAACATCTGAATTTTTTTTAAAAATAGCTATATATGTTTAATTTTGACATTTTTAAAACTATTGACCAATTTTTTTCTTCAAATCTCATTATTTCTTACTCAAATATCTATTATTCAAAAGTTTGCACTTTTTTAACAATCTTAAGAAATTAGAGATTTAAAATTAGAATTTAGTAAAGTGTGTCAGAAATTTTGGCTATTATATTGATGAAACTTATAAAGTTTTGATTTAATAATGTCGTTTTAGATGACAATCGTCTCAATAACGATGTTTGCCGTTCTTTCAATCTGGACCAATGTGCAAGCAGGTGTGACAAATATTTATTTATCACAGAATCCGTCAAAATAAATATAATGCGTAGTGATAGATCCGGAAGTGAAGTGAAGACAAATAACTTTTAAAGGCTTTTGGTGATGGATTTCTAAATAGTATTTTTTAAATAGAACTTTCCAATGTAAGAATATAAATGCTTATAAACTCAGTCTTTTTTTTTATAGGTAGCATCAAATGTGGCAACTTTTCTTGCAATGCGGACGCGATTTGTCAAAACACAAACCGGAGTTACATTTGCATCTGCAATTCTGGGTACAGTGGAAACGGGACGCACTGTAAAGGTATGTAAGCACTTAGAGAGATTCAACATGTATAAGACACAACTCAGTCATCGATCATTAAATTTCGTATTGTATAAAGGTGTAATCGTCTTCAATTTCGGTTTCAATAAGACAAATGAGTCACCGTATTACGTGTAATTTGTTTCTAACAATACACTGGCACAGTAATAAAGCACACGGTCACTGGAGGTATTTTTGTAATAAAACATGAGCAATAATTTGCAATGATTTCATATTTATCTTATATGCATAAGATATTGACGAATGTTCAGGCGGACCTTGTCATGAAAATGCTACATGTGCAAATACAATTGGCTCATTTAATTGCACCTGCAAAGAAGGACTTCGTGGCGATGGCTTTAATTGTGGAGGTAAAGATTGATTTTTAGGCCTAGTTTAAAACAACAGGGGAACAAGTATATAAAGCTGATATACTGAGTCCTTTTTCTAGATAGCATCAAATGTGGAAACTTTTCTTGCAATGCGGACGCGATTTGTCAAAACACAAACGGGAGTTACATTTGCATCTGCAATTCTGGGTACAGTGGAAACGGGACGCACTGTAAAGGTATGTTATCATTAGGAGAGATTCAATATGTATAAGACACAACTCAGTCATCGATCATTAAGCTTCTTATTTGTGTAAAGGTGTTGATCGTCATCAATTTCGGTTTCAATTTCGGTTTCACCGTATTATGTGTAATTTGTTTCTTAGACTTTGCATGCTGACTATACAAATAACATTGACAACATTAAGTATGAACAAGGTGGAATTAGTTGACCTGCATCTACGAACGAAAGGGGACTTATAGGCTCATTAATATCATTACCGAGACGTAAGCCTAAGCAAAACCGCTGTTTCCTACTGGTTGCTGCTTTTAAATTTGCATGTTTAGGGAAAATGCATGTGTGTTATTGGTTGTGACGAAAGGGGACGAAATCCTAAATACTTTTAATGTCGATATATGCATGTCTTTTGTACGGATCAAGTCAAAACGGGTCTTTCAAACTGATAGCTAGATAAATGCATTTTTATGGTAGGGAAGAAATACGCAAATATTTATCTTGGCAAGATTGGAATAAAAGATGCGTTCCCCTAACGCTCTTGTCAGATAGATATAGAATGTAGTGTGACTGAATGACCTCGTAAATGTATAATATATAGAGTTTATTTGTCGGTGTTTTACAGACCTCGATCAATAATCTGGTCACAGCCACAAGGGAAAAAGCACATACCGCAAATCAGGAATATTCTTTAGATCAATGATTTACTGAATTTCATCTATGAAAATCAGTGGCGTAGCCAGACTGGCGATTTAGTCCGGCTATGGAAATTTTATTAACATTATTCATTTCTTTAGAAATTCATTGTTTTCACTGTCAACACCAAAATATCAGCATAGTGGGACTAAATTGTCAGGCTGACTACGCCACGAACTAAAATCATTTGCATTTAAGAATTGCTTCACTGCCTATACAACAAACAACAAGTGAAAGTGACCATGGAGAACGAAATTGTTGATTTAAATGTCCTATATGTGAACTTAAACAATATATTTCAAGTTTTGTTTACCATCTACATATCTACCGCTACTTTACCGCTTTTTAATGTTCGTATATTGTGTTATGAATATTGTGTTCGGTATGGTGAGAGACTGTACAGTATAGCTATCCAAATGACAAATGTCATTGCATTATACTGTTCATATTAAAAGTCCCAAAGGCATAATAACGATGGAATATTTGTTGACTAGCTGGCAATAATACAATTTGACTTAAAACGTCTTTCGAGAAATAACGGGGGAAATTTGCAGTCATGCAGATGACAACCAAAGCCAAGGAATGGCTGCTAATTAGCATCATATCATAAGTTCATAGGAAACAATCTGCATACAAAAGTTGTTTTATAGGTCGCATTAGCATATGCATTGACATAGCGAATAAGATCTCGGGATTTTGACGAAAGAACGTTGCATAAATGAATATTAGTCCGCTTTCGTCCTTAGATGCAGGTCAACTATTTCGTTTTAAACTAATGGCCATAATTGTTTGCATTTTCGGCAAAGCCAATCAGAAGGGTAGTGTCGCAGCTCCTCGCAAGAATGATTTTCATTGGCTGAACTTTACAATACATTTCTGTTTCAACCAATAGCATAGCTTCCTTCTTTAGAAAGCATAGAAAAGCATTATCCAATTGGACGAAAGCTTCCAATCACTGCGACATGTCCGAATCAGAATGTCTAGGTTTTTAATAGTGGGATTATGGTCAAAATTTATGCATTCCGATTGGGTTATATACCGAAAATGTAATGGCATTTATCTTCCAAGACGGAGAAGAGGGGGCAAAATTTTTACCAGGTAGTTTACATAGTCAGTGTAAACTTTCTTTGCAATGCAATTGACGAATCATTAGTTGAAATTAATACTGAACTATATCAAAAATTTTATGATGAGGTAATGACCGCTGGAAATCTGTCTTATCTAAAAAATACTGATAGTCAGTCTTCTTTCTCTGAACTTCATGTCAACTTCAAATTTTTGTACATGTAAACGGATCAGATTATAACTGCTCTTGTGACGAAAATGCCATTTGTAAATATAGAAACGGGAGTTTTGCCCTGCAGATGTGAAGATTGATACAGTGGAACTGCATGGAATAAACTGCACTATAGTGTGCATGTAATTCAACGATTCGTTTAGTGTTTCTTTAGCAGATAATTGTAGTATTAGTCAAGTTTACGTTTTGCATACTTTTATACGTATTTCATTGTAAAAGTTGGAAGACGTGTTATTTTAGAGTTTTCTTCCCATCTGAAAAGTAGATCGGCTCGGGGATTTAGTCCATGTGCACGCGGGATGACGTTTTCGAGCATTTTCATGTTCGTTTTCATGCCAAAACAGTTTTAAACACCGTCAATTTACAATCGAAGTTGAAGCTAATTTAACATATTGAGCATATCTTCAATCCTTGCATCGTGTGGACAGGGCGTCATAGCGATAAACCAGATAAAAACAATTTTTGAAACGCTCGTGTGCACGACGCTCGTATGCACATAGCCTAAATTTCACAATTTTTACACATCTGGCACAGTCATATAGCACACGGTCACTGGAGGTATTTTTGTACTAAAACATGAGCAATAATTTGCAACGATTTCATATTTCTTTTATATGCAAAAGATATTGACGAATGCTCAGGCGGACCTTGTCACAAAAATGCTACATGTGCAAATACAATTGGCTCATTTAATTGCACCTGCAAAGAAGGACTTCGTGGCGATGGCTTTAATTGTGGAGGTAAAGATTGACTTTTAGGCCTAGCTTAAAACAACAGCGGATTTAATATATAAATTGTGTTGAAAACTTGTATTTTATTAATAAAATAATATTCCTATGTAACATTCCACGAGAAATTTGTATTCGGTATTCGAAGAAAATCTGAAATGATCAGGGTTTCCACAATGAAAGGAAATTTCCTTGTGGAATATATAACTCTTATGCATCGCATTCGCGATTTACTATACGTCACTGAATTCACAGCGCGAGATTGAAAACAGTCAAAGCACGGTAAAAGAATGCAAATTTATTCAAAATTAGTGTAATAAATCTATTTTAATATTTGTACAGCTATTTATTGGGATTCCTATGGTGATAGATCCGGAAGTGAAGTGAAGACATGCAAATAACTTCATTTTTAAAAAGCTTTCGGTGATGGATTTTTAAATAGTATTTTTTAAATAAAACTTTCCAATGTAAGTATAAAAATGCTGATATACTGAGTCCTTTTTCTAGATAGCATCAAATGTGGCAACTTTTCTTGCAATGCGGACGCGATTTGTCAAAACACAAACGGGAGTTACATTTGCATCTGCAATTCTGGGTACAGTGGAAACGGGACGCACTGTAAAGGTATGTTAGCATTAGGAGAGATTCAATATGTATAAGACACAACTCAGTGATCGATCATTAAATTTCTTATTTGTATAAAAGTGTTGATCGTCATCAATTTCGGTTTCATTTTCGGTTTCACCGTATTATGTGTAATTTGTTTCTTAGAATTTGCATGCTGACTATACAAATAACATTGACAACATTAAGTATGAACAAGGTGGAATTTCGTTTTAAACTAATGGCCATAATTGCTTGCATTTTCGGCAAAGCCAATCAGAAGGGTAGTGTCGCAGCTCCTCGCAAGAATGATTTTTATTGGCTGAACTTTACAATACATTTCTGTTTCAACCAATAGCATAGCTTCGTTCTTTAGAAAGCATAGAAAAGCATTATCCAATTGGACGAAAGCTTCCAATCACTGCGACATGTCCGAATCAGAATGTCTAGGTTTTTAATAGTGGGATTATGGTCAAAATTTATGCATTCCGATTGGCTTATATACCGAAAATGTAAACAAACTTGCTGATTTGTGTAAAGCGAAAACCTCTTTTTCATGGCATGGCATTTATCTTCCAAGACGGAGAAGAGGGGGCAAAATTTTTACCAGGTAGTTTACATAGTCAGTGTAAACTCTCTTTGCAATGCAATTGACGAAGCATTAGTTGAATTAATAACTGAATATATCAAAAATTTCATGATGAGGTAATGACCGCTGGAAATCTGCCTTATCTAAAAGATACTGATAGTCAGTCTTCTTTCTCTCAACTGCATGTCAACTTTAAGTTTTTGTACATGTAAACGGATCAGATTATAATTGCTCTTGTCACGAAAATGCAATTTGTAAAGATAGAAAAGGGAGTTTTACCTGCAGATGTGAAGATTGACACAGTGGAACTGCATGGAATAAACTGCACTGGTGTGCATGTATCGAATTCAACGATTCGTTTAGTGTTTCTTTAGCAGATAATTGTAGTATTAGTCAAATTTACGTTTTGCATACTTTTATACGTATTTCATTGTAAAAGTTGGAAGACGTGTTATTTTAGAGTTTTTTTTCCCATCTGAAAAGTAGATCGGCTCGGGGATTTAGTCCATGTGCACGCGGGATGACGTTTTCGAGCATTTTCATGTTCGTTTTCATGCCAAAACAGTTTTAAACACCGTGAATTTACAATCGAAGTTGAAGCTAATTTAACATATTGAGCATATTTTCAATCCTTGCATCGTGTGGACAGGGCGTCATAGCGATAAACCAGATAAAAACAATTTTTGAAACGCTCGTGTGCACGACGCTCGTATACACATAGCCTAAATTTCGCAATTTTTGCACATCTGGCACAGTCATATAGCACACGGTCACTGGAAGTATTTTTGTACTAAAACATGAGAAATAATTTGCAACGATTTCATATTTCTTTTATATGCATAAGATATTGACGAATGTTCAGGCAGACCTTGTCACAAAAATGCTACATGTGCAAATACAATTGGCTCATTTAATTGCACCTGCAAAGAAGGACTTCGTGGCGATGGCTTTAATTGTGGAGGTAAAGATTCACTTTTAGGCCTAGTTTAAAACAAAAGCGGATTTAATATATAAATTGTGTTGAAAACTTGTATTTTATTATTAAAATATTCCTATATAACATTCCACGAGAAATTTGTATTCGGTATTCAAAGAAAATCTGAAATGAATTCAGGTTTTCTACATGCAATGAAAGGAAATTTCCTTGTGGAATATATAACTATATCTTAATTTATGCATCGTATTCGCGATTTACTACGTCACTGAATTCACAGCGCGAGATTGAAAACAGTCAAAGTACGGTGATACAATGCAAATTTATTCAAAATTATTGTAATAAATCTATTTTAATATTTGTACTGCTATTTATTGGGATTCCTATGGTGATAGATCCGGAAGTGAAGTGAAGACATGCAAATAACTTCATTTTTAAAAGGCTTTTGGTGGTGGATTTCTAAATAGTGTTTTTTATATAAAACTTTCCAATGTAAGTATATAAAGGCTGATGTACTGAGTCCTTTTTCTAGATAGCATCAAATGTGGCATATTTTCTTGCAATGCGGACGCGATTTGTCAAAACACAAACGGGTGTTACATTTGCATCTGCAATTCTGGGTACAGTGGAAACGGGACGCACTGTAAAGGTATGTAAGCACTAGGAGAGATTCAATATGTGTAAGACACAACTAAGTCATCAATCATTAAATTTTTTATTTGTATAAAGGTGTAATCGTCATCAATTTCGGTTTCAATAAGACAAATGAGTCACCGTATTACGTGTAATTTTTTTCTAAGAATTTGAAGGCTGACTATACAAATCACTTTGACAACTTTAAGCATGAACAAGGTGGAACTTCCTTTTAAACTAATCGCCACAATTGTTTACATTTTTCGGCAAAGCCAATCAGAATGCCTAAGTTTTTAATGGTGGAATTATAGTTAAAATTTATGCATTCCAATTGGATTATAAACTGAGAATGTAAACAAACTTGCTGATTTGTATAAAGCGAAAATCTCTTTTTTATACATCTGGCACAGTCATATAGCACACCGTCACTGGAGGTATTTTTGTACTAAAACATGAGCAATAATTTGCAACGATTTTTCTTTTATATGCATAAGATATTGACGAATGTTCAGGCGGACCTTGTCATGAAAATGCTACATGTGCAAATACAATTGGCTCATTTAATTGCAGCTGCAAAGAAGGACTTCGTGGCGATGGCTTTAATTGTGGAGGTAAAGATTGACTTTTAGGCCTAGTCCGTTTGTCAAAAGTCCGTTCTGCGCATATATTCTGCGCATAACAATGTTTGTTTACGTTGGTTATATAATCTTTACATGACGTATGCGTCGTTTTACTTTTCTTATTTTCTTCTCGCTCAACGGCTGTAATCTGTGATGAATATGCTTATTTTATATTATATTTAGAAGAAAATAGTATTATCCCCGAGCCGGTGCGAAGCACCGGGCGAGGGTACTAATTCCGCCCGGAGATTTTAATTACGCCCGGGAATGCAAATGCGAAATGAAAGTTGTCCGCCATTATGTCATGGACGTTGGGCGTTTTTGTAAGTTATGCGCATGCGTGAGTTTAAGACGAGTTAAAACTGGTAACTAGCAAACGTTTCCAAACGTGCGATTTGCGATTGGCTAAATTAAAATTTGGATCACGTCAGCATAACTGATATTTTGAATTATAAAACTTTTTTTAAATAATATTTTTCATTTGGATGGTCTTAAAAATATAGGGAAAATTGACTCGTAAAATTGATTAAAATATAATGTAAAAGATGCCTTCGGATAGAAAAACTTTCATTCCAATGGATGGTAAAAAAACTACGATTTTGAGGCATTTTTGAAGTGCTGTTGAACAGGTAAATGGGTAAATTTATATTTTAAAGCATGCAAGTATTTTGTAAGTTTTGAATTTATTCGTCAATTTCGTTGAAATGATTTTGATTTGGAAAGTATTTATTTTTAAAGGTGAATCTGTTTGAAAAGTAATTGAAATTGATCGCTAAAAATTATAGTATTTAAAACTATTCGTAGCACAATTTATTAATATGATTATAGTCGAATTTGATAGCTGGAGAGTCGACTTTGTAATTGTACCAAGATATAAGATTTTACTTTACGACTTCGATCATTCGGCAGAAGCGAGTATTATAGCATTTCACTTCAGTGATGGAAATATATGTTTATTGGTTCAGGCGAGGGGACTTTGCATGCAATGCATTTCTAGTATTTTGAAGAAAATATAAAGCGAAGCTTGTAAATAAACCGGCCAAACTTCATATATTTGTAATTTTAGGACAAGCGAGAAGGTAGCGTCATAGCGACGACAAATAGCCTCGCCATCTCGTGTCTTCATTCAACAAATAAACTCTTGGAGCATTCCTTTCAGCATAATATTGCTTTTTTCTAGCAGCCTTTTGATAAGATAATTTATCATCGTCACTTGCAACTCGAGCCTCTTCGCCTTGCGACATAAAATAAAATAATTGTACTCCCGAACTGCCGTTTGTAATACAACGCGCTAATATCGCATATCATTAACATTCCAAAAGTTGCTCCCCCACTGATGGAATGTGTTGCTGCGCGGAATGTATGCGTAGAACGGACTTTACCTCATCTTTAAACTGTGTTGAAAACTTGTATTTTATAATTAAAATATTCCTATACAACATTCCACGAGAAATTTGTATTCGGTATTCAAAGAAAATCTGAAATGATCAGGGTTTTTTACAATGAAAGGAAATTTCATTGCAATTGTCAATAATGAGGGAGGGAGGGATCTGTGTTAATAGAATATATTATGTGCATCCTTTTGAAAAGAAGACAGTTGTGGCAACTTTGGAATGAAGACAGTTATATGCAAATCATATGTGGAAACTCTGGAAAATAATCTAATCAAGCACTAGTGATTTATTTTATTTTGTTGTATTTTAAAATTTTTAGTCCCAATGGCAGGATTTGAAGATGATGACGATGATGACGATGAACTAAGTAGGTTTCTTGAACTTGGAATTAAAATGAGACCATTCAATAGATATATTATAAGCAGTGACGGATTAACTGACATACATGCAAAAACATGCAGATTGGCAGTACAGTAATTTATATAAATTCTGTAAAAAATGTTATAAATGGTTTTGAAAAAACCAGGGACAGGCTGTTTAATAAGCGAATATCGATATCCATTGACTTTTCAAGCTTTAAAAAGTTTTAACTCAAAAAACAGGACACAGTTTTGCCAAATAATTCTTTGATGAATATGATAAAGAGCCTCATTGATGGTAACAAATTAATAAGAAGACCGATAGTGCAATCAGATTTATAATTAATAGCAAAGAACAGAGATGAATACGTGAAAAACAGCTGAATTTTATAAGACGCCATTTATCGCCTTTTCAGTACTGCTAAAAAATATCATCTTCGCATTCTTAGAATACATGTGTTTATGTTTCAAACCTTTTGTTAATGGCAAATCTTTTTCAGAAACCTTGACTTTCAATTTTATATTTATTCAGGTTATGGTTATGTAGCCCTTATTGTTGTTATTCTCTCATTCTCAATTGTCATCTGCGTTTTTGCGCTGTTAGTCAATCAACAAAAAAGAGAGAAGGTTGGTTTAAGGAAATGAAAGTTTAGTCGACCTTTAAAAAAACAGTTAAGACTAGGGAAAGAACCGAGGTTCCTATACTGACACTGCAGCAAGCATAACTTCTCTTTTTTTTTCACTCTTATTCTTTTATTAGCTGTCACCTCGATTTTTTCAAATTTATATTTTTGTTGCGGCCAGGTTGTTGTCAAATCGGGAATTGCAAACCAATTTTTTTTGTTTAAGTTGCACAAAATTCCCGATTTGACGTCTTATCCGGTAACTTTAAAGGCTAATAAATCCACCAAGAAAAAGTTTTTCAATAACAAAATGCGATTACAAAGTTTTTGAAAATACTTTGATCTTTTGATATTCAAAATCCCCATCCAAGCTATAGGCATTTTAATCAAAGTTTTATGCAAAGAGAATTAAATTTTAACTGGCGCAACATGAGCAAATTTCTTAGCTTTCGTGTACATGGCTTAATTGTAGTCCCTTATATACAACAAGTGTGTAAGAGTAATCAGATAATTTTATTGCAGGCAAAAGCAGTAAAAGAAAAACAGGTCGCGGCTTCTTTAAGAACTTCACTGGAAATGGAAACTAAAGATGGCCAAGTCGAAAACAGTGGGTACAACTATAATGACGACGGGGAAGATGTGAAAAACGCCTGAGCTATATATGTTCTGGCAAATAGAACCACGTCTGGTGTTGCAAGTCCTGTCGCAAACTTCGTTTCAAACGTGACGCTCCTTACGAAGGCCATCAGGTCAAAATAAATTTTTTATCCATTTTAGGCAACCTCATAAGGCAGGCTTTTCTACCTACGCCCCATGGCTAACACTGCGGCGAAAGCCCTGGTTCATGCTGGTCATGTGACAGCGCAAAATCTCCCAGATTATGCGAGATTTTTAAATAGCGCTAAGTTCAACGCTATAATAGAGGGGTGGCAAAATGAACCTGCCACTTCCGCCATTTTTAACATTTATGACAGTCCAGGTGGTTTTGCACTGCCGCTAAGCAATAAATACTAAAAATAGCAGTTCAGTCCATGCTGGAACACGCTGTTTTAACCGTATATGATTTATGCGCTGCATTGTATTCCACCCATCTCCGTGCGGGAAAGACGTGCCAAAAGAATCACGTGACCAGCATGCACCAGGTTTTTGCCGCAGCGTGGCTGTGGAGCGTAGGTAGATAAGGCTGGCTTGCGAGGTTGCATTTTGGGCATACCACATTTGATGCGGAGTGATTTGTCGGCTACACGTTGCATCCTGGTATTCGAATTTTTTGTATGCAGAATTTTATTTAATATTATTTTTATTTTTTTTTGTAATAATAATACACTAAAACATCTCGCTATAATACCAAAAAATAACGGCTGAGACAGCATTTGCCTAATTTAAATTCAGAAAATAATTTCTTAACATCGAAATGCAGCCATTACACATCAAGAGTTTGACGTTTGAAACAGGCTTATATATATATAATAAGAACTATATTTGTAATGAGGGATTATCGCTACCAGAATTATTACTCTCCGCCATCTGGCTGACGTCTCTTAGCATGAAGGTAGACAAAAAATGACTGGTACTAAATTCATATTTTAGCGTTGGCTCTGTGCTTTTAAATCTCGCGCGGTCCGTAGCCAATCAGATTGCAGGAAACGCTAAAATATGAATTCGGACCGGAAGAAAAAAAATAAAGCTACTTATGAAATCAGCGATGAAATATATGCATCGAGTTGATTCAGCTGGTCATTTGGAGTGTGGAAGTCAAAATGACAAAACCCCCTGATTTTTGTCAATGAAAACGGGCTTTTATACAATAATTTATTTTACATATGTAAATTAACATTCGCGCAACAAGGTCTAGGTAAAATGCAATGCTGATTTCGCTCATAAAATGGTATTTGTAGTAAGTAGCTATACTATAAAACAATTATCACGCTCGCTCTTGTTAAATAGCTCGCTTACAGCACATATAAAAAATATACAACTCAAGCGTATGGTATAATTGTTAAAAATCGTATTTCGTGAGCCTTACTAGTCATCTTTGCCAAAGGATATTCACCAAGTCGAAAAATTAATAGTTCTCGTCAGAATAATAAGGCTTAATTTCATCCTCTTGTTTAAATTGTGTTAAAAAATCTGTATATTTGAATTTGCTTCCTACACGAATACAAACTACGACGTGTTGACGTGTTTGCAAGAACTGTGACGTAATGATACAATAATAGTAAAGGAACAACACACAAAACAACCTCCGTCGCAGTGCACCTTCAGCGAAATAATATTAGTGAAGTTAATGAAGTGAAATAGAGCTGGCCTTATAATTGATAGTATTAAGATAGTTGTTTGTGCATGTGTGCATGTTGTTGTGTTTGTGCATATATTATCATGCATGTCATATATATATATATATATATGCATGTGTGTTGTTATTCGCTTCCCTGTTATATATAATTATGTACTATAAATCCTTTATACATTAATCCCTATTGCATATCACAAATATAACATTACACCTTATAAATAACTTGAAAGATTGGTTTTGTAACGGTGTATCAATTGTAATTCCATGACAGCTTGGAAGGTGAGCACATGTATATAGAAAGGACGAAATAAAAGACACTAAGAAACTGGATTGAACGTGTGTGTATCTCGTCTAATCCAGCAGTCTGTTTACATGGAGTGAGTTATCCAGACTAGGCGAGATGAAAACTGCCGGTTATTCATGTGAAGACTAATCAGGTTAAGCCTTTGGTGTTATTTTACCTCGTTTAGCTGGGACAACTCGCTCTATGAAAACAAGTCCGTAATGAAGTTGGAAATTACTTATATCATTAGTATTATTAATTTGTCTCAATAGTCAAAAGATTTATTTGTATATAGCGTTATTTCAAAGTTGTATTCGAGGCTTTGATATTCAAACAACACGCGATAGCCTACTTAGTATGAAGTCATTTTACTAATAAGACGATCTTTCGAGAACAAACCTTTACAAAGAAATTCTTATTCAAATTCCTTGTATTCTTCAAGAATTCTTAAATTCCGTGTAATTATTGCAAGATTGAATTTAAGTGCTTAGCAGAGACTTCAAATTATTCTGAAATGTCATGCAACGCGTGTACACTGATCAGATGATATATCAAATGGTTTGCTGAATCTTTCGTTCATTAGGTAGAAGAGTATCTTTAATGTATTCCCATTAGTTTATATCTCCTATATTGACGTTTTTGGTGTATTAATATTACGGAGCATATCTCACCGGTTTCATTTAAATTGGGCACGCAGAACACACCTAAGTGTTTATGCGGAGCTGAAGCACAGCCACCCACAAGATTATATCTTTGTTAAAAAGCAATTTGATGAGAATAATAGTTAAAGCGTCATCACTTTAACACCTGCTGTTTAACTTGTTCCTTGTAGAAGAAAATTATGCAGATATGCACCCCAGTAGGCAACATAATACGAAGATCGCTATCGTGAAACTTTGCATGTTTGCATGTTAGACACAGTAATATAGTATTTTATTTAAGATTGGAGGATTTTGGTTACTTGGACAATATTTCACGATGTACTCTTCAAGACAATCAGTCAGGCTAAACGTAAGTGGGCAGGTGATAATTTTTACTCTGTTCAATGCCATTTTAATTTGGATTCTTCAAGCGAGGAAGCTTATATTTATAATATTTGCATGCAAATCACTTTTAGGGATGTTATAATGAAATATTATTTTGTCTGAAGAGCATCAACATGCAATAATGTTAAATTTATTTGGCAGGCGAATTGTGCATATAGATTTTGGTAGCTACTAATTCGATCCTTTCCTGAAATATCTCATTTGCGTCGGCAAATCTGCTGGACTCTACGATGCACGGCACGAAATTAATAATATATTTTGCCTCCGCGTTTAAAGTATTATATATGTAGCAGGTCAAACTTAAAGCATGCCGTTGCAACTGACAAATGTATTTGTTCAATAATCTGAAAGACTGTTCAAATGCACGATCCAATTTTTGTAGTTTGTTATTGATATAGCATTACGGCATTGGTTAAGTTGACTTGCTGCCCATATAGGCAACATAGCAAGTCAACAGACTATAAAACATCCATCACAAGTAGCTAATTTGGATCCGACAAAATTGGATCGTGTGAACAGACCTTCATAAACTTGTAATCTACGTAGATGAAATATGTCCAGGAAATATATATATATATATATATATATATATATATATATATATAATATATATATATATATATATATATATATATATATATATAGTTTGACCTGCTACATATATATATATATATATATATATATATATATATATATATATATATATATATATATATATATATATATACAGTCATTCCCAAAAAGGTTGTCCAGACATATATATATAAATACATAAATATCGCGCACGTGACCGCTAAAGATATGCATCAACTCGCGCGAGGTTTTGCGTGATAATTGCGAGTTTGGCTATCGTGGTCGTTGCTTACTTCCCTAAAATGCCAAGACCGTATTCAGATGATTTGCGCTGGAGAATGGTATATCAACGTATATTTTTTGAAAGAAGTTACGATGAGGTTGCATCTCAGTTATTTGTCTGCCCCAAAACTGTTTACCGAACAGTTAGCACTTTTCTTGCCACGGGTGATGTGAAACCATGCCATCTTGGTCGCCCAAACGAGAGCACAACTTTGTTTCCTCATGAAGAGTACATTATCATGGACTGCCTTCTGCGAACACCTCAAATACAGCTTAGCGAAATAGCAAATTACATTATCAACGCTACTGGCTCTGCTTTTGGTCCACAGACGTTGTGTCGTGCACTCTACAGGCTTGGAATAACACGCAAGAAGGTAAACATGAATATATAATAATATTTTGAGACTCTATAGAATCCGTTTCTAGCCATTATACCTTCATGAAATAAGGTATAAAACATATACTCTCGAATACAACTTCCATCTTCAACACAATATTTGAAAAAAGAACGGAGAGTATAAGGTTCAATAGCAGTATTTCGAATTTATTATATAGTACCAAATATTCCGTAGCTATTTACTCCGAGCGATGATAAATTTGTAATAACTTTGAGATTCTTTATAACATACAGAAGTTTTATGTTTTCCATGTTAACGTTGGCTATAATTCAACTTGATATTAAGGCCCTATACTCGAAACAACTTTAATCTAACAACTCGCAGTGCGAATGAGGTTACAACCAAATGGTGGTATTGTTGTTATTTAAACTTTAAATATCACGGCTAGGATCTCGCACTGATTGCAATACTAAATCGTTCTGTCGTAAGTAGTGTTTCACTTTGGCAAAAGCCTCTTCGATTGGGTTCAAGTCAGGACTGTATGGTGGTAAAAAACGGATAATTACTCCTGAGTCATAAATGTGATCGATCACTTCTTGGGCATGATGCACTGGGTGGTTATCTGCATGTAAAAATAGGAGAAACATGTTATTGACGAATGGCACATAAAATCATAATCTACCTTGCACGCATTTCTCATCTTATCTATAAACTACCTATAGATGTAGTTGGGTGGGTATAGTTGGCATACTAACCTCAAAGAATTGTTGTCTGCATGCCCCTTAGTTTGTGTATAATACGAGTCTGTGAAGTCCCTTGAGACATTGCGGAAATACACATGCACGCGTATATTAATTGGATTCTCACCCGTTACGAGGACGGATCGCGGGTTTTCCCCATTGAACACATTCATTGCTGGTAAAAGCTGCTCATCAAGAAACGGTATGAAAGAGTGAGTGTCAAATCTCTCATCTGCATTCTTTAGCAAGCCGTTAGCGAGAAGCCCGTCACTCGAAATCGCTGAAATTGCCGAATAATGAGGCGCCCATCGTGCATAGCTAAAGTCCTTAACAATAGCAGGTGTTCCACGAGCGCTATATCCGAACTGCCGAGCAATTCGTTTAAACAAAAACAAAACACAACTATACATAAAAGGAGGAAGTGAATATATACAGCTTGTCTAGCAGGGTTTTAGAAAAGGGTACAGCCTAATAATTTCTATACATACAATTCCTGTTTCGTCAAGGAAAACAAGTTGGTTTGGATGCAAAACGCTGATTTCTGCTTTGAATTCTTGCCTCAGGTCATCGTTCCGTTGCATGGCAATTCGGTGTATCTGCAAAAGAAATTGCTTTTAAAAAGTTGAAAATTAAGCTGCAATAATTATTGTTTGAGATTTATAGCCAACATTAGCATGGAAAACATGAAACTTCTGTATATTATAAAGAATCTCAAAGTTATTACAAATTTATCATCGCTCGGAGTAAATAGCTACGGAATATTTGGTACTATATAATAAATTCGAAATACTGCTATTGAACCTTATACTCTCCGTTCTTTTTTCAAATATTGTGTTGAAGATGGAAGTTGTATTCGAGAGTATATGTTTTATACCTCATTTCTTGAAGGTATAATGGCTAGAAACGGATTCTATAGAGTCTCAAAATATTATTATATATTCATGTTTACCTTCTTGCGTGTTATTCCAAGCCTGTAGAGTGCACGACACAACGTCTGTGGACCAAAAGCAGAGCCAGTAGCGTTGATAATGTAATTTGCTATTTCGCTAAGCTGTATTTGAGGTGTTCGCAGAAGGCAGTCCATGATAATGTACTCTTCATGAGGAAACAAAGTTGTGCTCTCGTTTCGGCGACCAAGATGGCATGGTTTCACATCACCCGTGGCAAGAAAAGTGCTAACTGTTCGGTAAACAGTTTTGGGGCAGACAAATAACTGAGATGCAACCTCATCGTAACTTCTTTCAAAAAATATACGTTGATATACCATTCTCCAGCGCAAATCATCTGAATACGGTCTTGGCATTTTAGGGAAGTAATAAATATATATATATATATATATATATATATATATATATATATATATATATATATATATATATATATATATATATATATATATATACAGTAGGAGGCAAAAGTTTGAGTCCAGTGACTGTATTTCTTTGTTTCAGCAGCATATATTAATATTCTACAGAAAACCTTACCGATAAGTGAACTAGAAAAAAGTAAACAAGTAAACAGAAAAATACATGCTGTACAACAACTATGAGATGTTATGATATTAATTTTTACGTATTTTAATGTGCAAACATGCATTTACATGTCATTGCTTAGTTCCCTCTTTTTTGCTCTTGAAATGACCTTTATTCTTGCTCGCATAGATTCCATAGGTTTTTTAATGTCACACGTTCAATACCTTGCCAGCATTCGTTGACCACTTGCCTCAAGTCAGCCTGGCTGGCGGGTCTGTGCCTCGCCCTCTTCCGGTTAAAACGGTTCTACAAGTGCTCCATAGGTTTTAGATCTGGAATATGAGGTGGAAAGCCATGACAACGAGATCACCAGAATGAGTTTGCTTCTAAACGATTTCTGGCACATAGAAGATGTGCATGTGCTTAGGGTGATTATCATGTAGTTAGACGTGCGATCATCTTTGTACCAGATGAAATTCCATGTCCTTGAAGAATTGGATGATACTTTTCTTTAATTAGGATCCTATTATATCTTTCAATATTGCCAAACCGAGCATGATCAAAGCAGCTAAAAGTTTGCTTGAGTAGGATTTAGTTTCTTCGAACCTCTCCAAGGTTAGTTGCATACCACCTTTTTAAATTCTCACTTCTTCTGCGAACTTACGAGGAAAGAATCCTTCAATACTTAATGGAACTATTTGTCCTTGTGCACCATCACTTTGCCCTTTTTCCTACCCATCTTGGGCAGTGTAAAGGAATGAGAACTTTATTTTGTTATAATTTAGATCATTAGGACCAAAACAGTGTGCAATTAATATAGTTTACAGTACTGAAACACTAGCACGCATGTCTTAACTCCAATACGCTGCCAGGATTTAATACTGGAATTCTACAACGACTGGACTCAAACTTTTGCCTCCTACTGTATATATATATATAATATATATATATTATATATATAATATATATATATATATATATATATATATATATATATATATATATATATACGGCATTCGCAAATACTCCAGATACTCCAGATCTAATTAGAAATGCATTATGTTGTGTAATATGAATGTAATCCCATGTAAATGTGTTCATATGCAATTTTAATTAGATTTCGAGTATCTATCTATCGATGCACCTGCGGTCAACGTCTTTGCAACGTTTATAGCTACTTGTGGCACAATATATTATAATTGAGACACAGTTTGGTAACATTCAAATTAATGTAAGTTCTATATCACAATATATAGTTAGGTTCATATTAAAAGGTGGATATTTCCAGTCATAACCAACGAACAGCTTTGAAACGTGTATTAAAATAAATTTTCCGCGAAGTTAAAAGTTGTTGTATAACAAGTTCGTTAAAAAGATAAAAACCTTTTCGATGTTATCCTAGGGCTTTCCATCATTCTGGTAAGTTACCATATATGAAAAGAGGGTTAAAAAAAGCACCAAAAGGGAGGGAAAAAACATTTTTTTGTTTTTAGATACCGATTTTAATCGCGTTGTTTGTCATTATGGCAAACGGGATCAATGTTCAAGCAGGTAAAGATTAGTTAATTTATGTAATAATTTATACAAACGCGGAATTCTGCATTCTGATCTATCCTGTCAGTTGTACATGCGCAGGCTATTATAAATTGCTATGCAATTGTGTGTCAACACCCTTATGATCGCAGTTTGATTTCTTCCGGATGAGCTTTTCTACTCAACCTAGAACTTTTTTTGCGTTTCTTACACGGCGATTCATTTCTAGGATTATCACTAGTCAAACATACATTAAAGCCTGATTCACACTAGCTCCGAAGAATATCAGGGGGCGCTTTACCTCCCCAAGTTTTACTGTATCAGGTCCTAAGGATTTGGGAGTCCCATTGTCTGAGGTCACTGGTGCGCAAAATGATTTTTCGATTCAGGATTCCCGATTTCCTCATTAGTCTTTCATCATAAATTATGCAGTTTTCGCCTCGCCTAGCCAGGATATTAACTCGCTCCATGTAAGCAAGCTCTTTGAATAAAGGTGCACACGTTACCTGGCTAAACCACGTTCGCTCTTGTCATCTATCCTTATAGCCTACGGGTAAAAACATTTAACGCGAAAGCGTATTTTATAATTCTCTCAGTGGAGAAAATCAAACATAATTACTTACTTCAGTAAATATGAGATTTGTATGATTTTCACTAGACCTTTTTCGTATATACGAGTTTCTCCAAAAAATGTAGGCCATATAAATTTATGCTACTTGCAAGGAAGCGAAAAAGATTTTCTAAACTGATTAGCAACTCTGATATTTCTTGTGCCAATTGTGCGAAATTCTGAAAAATATTTCCCCGCATGTGCATTCTTTGATATTCAAAATATTTTAAAATATATTTTTCTAAAGATCGAGGTGCCCTGCATATGAGAGGTTACTCCAGGTTACTCTCAATACCCATGCAGATATACCGTTACATTCTCTCAATAGCGGCGCATTCCCTATGCGCATACATTCTGCTGTACAGCTATACTTTTTAACATGTGTTTTCTCAGATGCTAGCAAATGCAACAACAACAATACCTGTCACGAAGACGCCACTTGTAAAAACACAACTGGGAGTCTTGTTTGCACATGCAACCCGGGTTATAGCGGAAATGGGATACATTGTGATGGTATGTATAAAAGACGAGTATATGGAGGGTCCATTTTGGTGGTCAAAAAAGTAATCAAATTGCACAATATGCATCGAGTTCTAAGCAATGGAAAAATTTGAATGAGAAAGACTTTATCCGCAAATTAAGTTTAAATATTTTTTTCTTAAGTCATTCAGAACAATAAACAAATCTTATTGAAAATTTCTGGCTTTCATGGTATCTCATTTTTTTTCTTTTAACGTTACGTCTATACTATCTTTGTCCTGACTTTGCTACTTTAATCCATTTTTTTAAATACTCCGAAGCCGGCTGTATTTTGTTTTTAATTACGACTTAACTACGCAGAATGTATTTGGGAGTTTTACACAAGCGTCGTCTGGACGGTTAATACGTGCTAATGGTTAACTAAATAATTAACAGATTTTCCAAATTGACGAATTAATATATTTGGTAGATATCAACGAATGCGATGCCAGCCCTTGCCATTTTGACGCCGATTGTCAAAACACGAACGGAAGTTATAACTGTACATGTAAACTTGGATACAACGGAAATGGAAAATTTTGCAGTGGTATGTGAAGAATTCATAGATTTAATTAGTTACACGTTGAAATGGGTCATAAACTTTGAAACAGAAATATCGGTAGTAATTTTAAGGTTGTGGATATCTGTGTATGATAATGTATATTCCATGCTATACTTTGTTCTCGTGACTGCGGAGAGCAGGGATGTGAATGAAGGTTTATAGGCAAATGGGGTGTATATTCCTTAGATTCCAGGAATATTAGCATAGCGGGACAAAACCGCAGGCTGGCTACGCTATACTGGATGGAAAAATATTTTTTGAGAGCAGATACCGAGTTCAAGATACTATTCTGCTTTGTTTAAAATTTCATAATTATGTGAAATGAATATATTTGACATTCCTAGACCAAATCGTTTGTGAACCGACTGTTAAGTGCCATATTTATGCAACGTGTGCTAATTCTGGTGGTAAGGACGTCTGTGTATGTTCAGCAGGATACTCTGGAAATGGAACTTACTGTGAAGGTATAAACATTACAATACAAGTTTATACGCTGGTCTCTAGTCCCTCGGCCCTTGTGAAAAACTACATCGTTGTCTTTTATGTCCCTATTCTCCGAGAACACACTGAATGTCGACGCACTCCATTTGGGTTTGCAAAAAACATACCAAGTTCATGATTATACGAATAAACTGCAACCTTAAATTGCATACGGAATAACTAAAATCTACCTTGTTTAATAAATAAAACCTACTTGTTTAAACACTTTAAAGGTAATAAATTATATGAATCGTTTCTCTTTCACCGAAACTTGAATTGTATCTGTGTTTTTCTGCATGATAATCTTGTTCCAGTGTTTTTTACTTTCTTTAAATTTTATTTTGATTTACATTCAGTTTATTACCGTTATCATTTCTCGTATACATCATTTTCATTCCATGTTTTTAAAACTACGCAAAAGATATAGTTAAGAGTTTTAAACGACCGGCATCTGGACGGTAAACTTACTGGTAAAGCGATAACTAATGGTTGATTAAATTGACAGATCTGCAAAAATTGACGACTTTATATATTTGGCAGATATCAACGAATGCCATATCCACCATAATTGTCATGTTGACGCCATTTGCCGAAACACAAACGGGAGTTTCAACTGTACTTGTAAACATGGATACGAAGGAGACGGAATACTTTGCACTGGTATGTGAAGAATTTTCAGATTCCAATAGTATACATGTTGAAATGTCGTAAACGAAATGTGGTAATTTTGAAGTTGTGAACATCTGTGGATTGGGAAAACTTGTCAAGGTCCATTAAGTAATAGAAAACAATCTCATACGGTTAAGGAGACATGCGAAGTTTGGGAGACGAGAAATAAGACTATAACAACTTACAACTGCATGAGAAATGTAAACCAATTGGACGCAAGAAAACAGGAAAGCTAAGGTAGCTAGCGCTTATTTCCAGGCATCTCAAGGTATTGGGATGAAAACATGTCGGCACAGTTAACTTCAGTGCCAGATCACCGACAACAGCTATCGCCGGCATGAATGGGCCAGGGGCCATACAGAAATCACCTATATACGATCGACAGGTTTAAAATTCTCGTCTCGATGCACGTGCACAATTGTGATAATGAAAATTTTCAAATACAACGTAAAATTTCCCTCGCTCGCGGCCGAGCATTTCCTACCTCTGCGTACATGTGAACACCAGCTTCTTTTTTAAATATATCCTTTTTACAGAAACCAACAAATGCAATATTTCGTGTCATTTGAACGCGTCATGTACAAATACAACCGGGAGTTATAATTGCACTTGTAACTCTGGATTTAGCGGAAATGGAACACAATGTTATGGTATGTGCAAAAGTCGAATATATAAATAGAAATTGAATCCAAGCGTTCTTGTGGCGCTAATATTGACAACGAAATAGCAGCTTGGTCTGCGAAAAAGCAAATACTAGCGTGTTTTTTCAAAGCAAAGAATACTGTAATGTAAGGGGCTCAAAGGTGACTACTCAGCCCGTTGAAAGAAGACATGGTTTTTTTTTCAGAACTCGTTTATCTATTGTAGTTTTAACTAAAGCAATATCATAATGGTATATCATTGTTAAACAACGCGTTTGATGAGAATAATTAATTTAATTTCATGAGATCCACAGGTTTGAGGTGCTGCTGGTTCTAGTTAGACAAGAAATACAATTTTTAAGGAATACAAGTATTAGTTTATAAGATAACGTTTTACAAATTTTGCCTGCAATTTCAAAGATCGAGTTGAGTGAATAATTCGAATGCCATGCACCTAACCTGGGTGCATGCATGATAAGGAAAATTAGCATGCGAAACCTGAATGCACAATCTCATAAACGTGAAATTATATTTATGATAATTAATTTAGATTTCTGAACATTCATTTAACTCTCAAGTTCTTCTAATTAAACTTACCTAAAGTTATTCAAAACATAGACAAATCAACTTTTTGGAACTTGTGGGATTTTATTATATATTATATATCTATGTTTTTTTGCTGGAAAACAAAAATACGCTCTTTGGCGCCCAATATTGTCTTTAGATAAGGACGAGTGTGAGATCAAGGATTCGTGCGATGAATACGCTCTTTGTAATAATACAGTTGGTTCTTTTATATGTGCTTGTAAGTCTGGATTTTCCGGTGATGGTCGCAATTGTACAGGTATACATTAACATTTATTTATAGCTATTTGTTTTGATACAAAATAAAACTGATCCAATCATCTCTTGATTAGAGAATGATAGCCTAAGTATGGTCAGTTTTACTGCATTTATAAATGACTTTTTCACTTCACACTAATATTCTCATAATAAAAAAACAGCCTGTAAAAACATTGCTTGCAAATGTTCCTGTTTTCTGTTCGTTTTTGTTTCCATGCATGTCTCTGTAATCTCTTTTGCTGTATTTGCAGTGTCTCGACAGCAAAATGAAGTAACAATTTTCTAAATAGACATAGACGAGTGTTTTACGGACAAGCCTTGTGATGTAAACTCAGTTGTAACAATACAGTTGGATCTTTTGCATGTGTTTGCAATCGGATTTTCCGGCGATGTCGTAATTGTGCAGATAAACATTTTCAACTAAAGCAATTTCAGATATATTTTCGCGTCAGAATAGCCATGTTGATGCATAATAATCAGATATTAATCATAAATGAAACACCAAAGTAAAGGTTTAGCTTTTACTCACCCTGTACATTTGCACGTGATATAATTACAGGCAGAAATCGTAAACATCAGTTTAAAATAGAACAGAAAAATTAAATGAAAGAAAAACTAATAGTAATTTTCATCCGTGCTCTGTTTTCAGACATGGACGAATGTATAATTGAGGATCCTTGTGATGTAAATGCTATGTGTAATAATACAGTTGGATCTTTTAAATGCGAATGCAATTCTGGATATTTCGGTGATGGCTTGTCTTGTGCAGGTAAATCTCTCTTTTCTTCAGATAAGGACGGCAGTTCTATATCACTCAAATATTTATAGCGATTCCTAAAACGCGGATACATAAACACTACTTAACTACTGTATGACATGAGTAGTTTATTCGTAGCTAATTAACACCAAATTACAAAATTAAGATTATATTGAATTAGGTTATAAAACATCGTAACCGAAATGTGGTAATTTGTGGACATCTGTGGATTGGGAATACTTGTCAAGGTCCCATTAAGAAATAGACTGAAACACTATCAGTGTTTCCATATACAGTTATCGAAACACGCGTGCATCTCAAGGCATTTGGAGAAAAACACATTGTCACCCCAAGCCTGCATGGTTCTCATATATTTCGGCGAAGTTTTTTTATTATGTCACCGAAGGTCGGCAATGCATGGCTGTGGCTGCATGTTGACAAAAGAAAAATTATAATAACTTGTAGGTACACCACGTAAGTATTAAATACTGCAAAGCTTTCGGTCCGTTAACCCGGACCTTCATCAGTGCAATTACTTGAATACACGTTTGCGCGTCACTTAAATATCATGTTAGTCGTGATTAGTTTGCTCGCGCTATTAATTAAACGGTTTCATTTAATTAAGTTCTAATTAATGCGCGCGCCCTAGACAAGTATTTGACTAAGAGACACCGAAAAGAGCACGCCACGTACTATTAAGTGGCTTTCCCTCTTGGACGATAGTTTGATGTTTATAAATTTCAATAGATTCTCTCATTTTACGAGAGACAGTAAACTTATCGTTTGCTAAAATGGTAGCATCGTTCCATTTAATGCGATGATCATAAGTCCATGCATGGTGAGCTACTGCAGACTTATCCAGTTTACCTTTCTCGCAGTTCGTCTTATGTTCTTTAAGACGTATTGAGAGATTTCTACCGGTCTCTCCAATGTAAACCAAACCACATTCACATGGAATGCGGTACACACCAGGTTTCTGTTGTTCATCGACGCCATCCTTGTGTGTGTAAAGAGCGCGAAACAATTTGTTATTGCTAAGAAATATTGTTCAAAGCAATTCTAAGCACCGTTTTCTTCTATTGCTGACATAAAAAGGCTAGGCTAAACATACACAAATTACCTAAGTTCGATCGACAGGTTTAAAATTCTCTTTTTAATGCATGTGCACAAAATTGTGCCGGATAATGAAAATTCTTCAAATACAACGCAATATTTCCCTCACTCACGGCCGAACATTTCCTAGCTCTACGTACATGTGAACACCAAAATCTTTTAAAAATATAACCTTTTTACAGAAACCAACAAATGCAATATTTCGTGTCATTTAAACGCGTCATGTACAAATACAACTGGGAGTTATAGTTGCACTTGTAACTCTGGATTTAGCGGAAATGAAACAGAATGTTATGGTATGTTCAAAACTCGCATATATATAGACAGAAATTGAATCCATGTGTTCATGTGGCGCTTTTTATGACTACTTGCATGTATACTTATAGTGTAAACTTAACTAACGTTATTAAAAACACAGACAAATGAACTTTTTGGTACTTTGTAGAATATTATTAATCTATGTTTTTTTGCTAGAGAACTAAATACGCTATTTGGCACCCAATATTGTCTTTAGATAAGGACGAGTGTGAGATCAAGAATTCGTGCGATGAATACGCTCTTTGTAGTAATACAGTTGGGTCTTTTATATGTGCTTGTAAGTCTGGATTTTCCGGTGATGGTCACAATTGTACAGGTATATGTTACATTTATTTATAGCTATTTGTTTCGATTCAAAAAAATACTGATCCAAATATCTCTTGATTACAGAAATGACATCCTAAGTATGGTCATTTTTACTGCATTTATATAAATGACCTTTTCACTTTATAAATTCTTATGTTCAGATAGACTGATATTCTCATCATAAAATAATCCAGAAAAGCATGCTTTCAATTGTTTCTGTTATCTGTTCGTTTTTGTGTCCTTGTCTCTGTAATCTGTTTGCTGTATTTACATGCAGTGTCTCTACAGAAAAATGAAGTAACTATTATATACTAAATAGACAAGCATGAATGTTATACGGACAAGCCTTGTGATGTAAACGCAGTTTGTAACAATACAGTTGGATATTTTGCATGTGTTTGCAATTCCGGATTCTCCGGCGATGGTCGTAATTGCATGTGCAAGTAAATATTATCAACTAAAGCAATTTAAGATATATTTTCGCGTCAGAATAGCCATGTTGATGCATAATAATCAGAGATTAATCATAAATGAAACACCAAAGTAAAGGTTTAGTTTTTACTCACCCTGTACATTTGCACGTGATATAATTACAGGCAGAAATCGTAAACATCAGTTTAAAATAGAAGAGAAAATTTAAATGAAAGAAAAACTAATAGTAATTTTCATCCGTGCTCTGTTTTCAGACATGGACGAATGTATAATTGAGGATCCTTGTGATGTAAATGCTATGTGTAATAATACAGTCGGATCTTTTAAATGTGAATGCAATTCTGGATATTTCGGTGATGGCTTGTTTTGTGCAGGTAAATCTCTTCTTTCTTCAGATAAGGATGGCAGTTCTTATATCACTCAAATAGCGATTCCTAAAACGCGGGTGCATAAACACTACTTAACTATACTGTATGACATGAGTAGTCTATTCGTAGCTAACACCAAAATACAAGATTATACTGATTAAATTAGGTCATAAACCTCGTAACCGAAATGTGGTAATTTGTGGACATCTGTGGATTGGGAATACTTGTCAAGGTCCCATTAAGAAATAGACTGAAACACTCTCAGTGTTTCCATACAGTTATAGAAACATGCGTGCATCTCAAGGTATTTGGGGGAAAACACATTGTCACACCAAGCCTGGTTCTCATATATTTCGGCGAAGTATTCATATATGTCACCGAAGGTCGGCAATGCATGGCTGTGGCTGCACGTTGACAAGAGAAAAAATTTTCAAAGCAATTCTAAGCACCGCTTTCTTCTATCGCTGACATAAAGGTGCTAGGCTAAACATACACAAATTACCTACAGTAAGTTCGATCGACAGGTTTAAAATTCTCGCCTCAATGCATGTGGCCAAAATTGTGATGATAAAAATTCTTCAAAAACAACGCAACATTTCCCTCGCTCGCGGCCGAACATTTCCTAGCTCAGCGTACATGTGAACACCAGCTTCTTTTTAAATATATCCTTTTCACAGAAACCAACAAATGCAATACTTCGTGTCATTTGAACGCGTCATGTACAAATACAACCGGGAGTTATAATTGCACTTGTAACTCTGGATTTAGCGGAAATGGAACAGAATGTTATGGTATGTGCAAAAATCGCATATAAATAGAAATTGAATCCATGTGTTCATGTGGCGCTTATATTGACTACTTGTATACTTATAGTGTAAAATTAACTAACGTTATTAAAAACACAGACAAATGAACTTTTTGGTACTTTGTAGAATATTTATCAACTATGTTTTTTTTGCTAGAGAACTAAATACGCTATTTGGCACCCAATATTGTCTTTAGATAAAGACGAGTGTGAGATCAAGGATTACTGCGATGAATACGCTCTTTGCAATAATACTGTTGGGTCTTTTATATGTGCTTGTAAGTCTGGATTTTCCGGTGACGGTCGCAATTGTACAGGTATATGTTACATTTATGTATAGCTATTTGTTTTGATTCAAAATAAAACTCATCCAAATAATTATATCTTGATTAGAGAATGATAGCCTAAGTATGGACATTTTTTCTGTATTTATAAACGACTTTTTCACTTTATAAATTCTCATTTTCAGAGATACACCAATATTCTCATCATAAAATAATCTGGAAAAGCATGCTTGCAAATGTTCTTGTTCTATGCCCGTCTTTGTGTCCTTGTCTCTGTAACCTGTATGCTGTATTTACAGTGTCTTCAACAGAAAAATGAAGTAACAATTTTATCTAAATAGACAAGGATGAATGTTATACGGACAAGCCTTGTGATGTAAACGCAGTTTGTAACAATACAGTTGGATCTTTTGCATGTGTCTGCAATTCCGGATTCTCCGGTGATGGTCGTAATTGTGCAGGTAGAAAATATTATAAACTAAAGTAATTTCAAACAATTTGACGTCAGAATAGACGTGGTGAAGCATAGTAATAAAAAATAATCATAAATTAAACAGTTTACACCAAAATACAGGTTTAGTTTTTACTCACCCTGTACATTTGCACGTGATATAGCTACCAGGCAGAAACCGTAATCATAAGTTTAGAGAAAAGAGAAAATTTAAATGAAACAAAATTCATACGAATTTCCATCCGTGCTCTGTTTTCAGACAAGGACGAATGTATAATTGAGGATCCTTGTGATGTAAATGCTATGTGTAATAATACAGTCGGATCTTTTAAATGTGAATGCAATTCTGGATATTTCGGTGATGGCTTGTCTTGTGCAGGTAAATTTCACTTATTATATTACTCAAATATTTATAGCGATTCATAACACGCGGATACATAAACACTACTTAACTATTGTATGACATGAGTAGCTTATTCGCAAGTAAATCAAAATTACAAAATTACATTGTGATTTATTTGGATTCAAGAATAATTGATACAAGATCATAAATACAAGAATAATAGATTGATGAATGTATAGTAAACCCTAGGTTTGCAGAGCCCTACTTACTGTAAATACTATACAGTCATAAATACCGATACTCTTCTAGCCAAAAAGTAATAAGGTTGGGCGTTTTATAGTTCTGGTAATGGAATATTATGCTAATAATGAATGTTTATGAGTATAATGGTAAGAACATTTTCACAAGGTGAAAGATGGTATGTTCCTTGTTTTATATGACATCAAGAAAAATCAACTTAAAAGTAATATTAATGATAATTAATAATGAAAATAATAATTAATAAATTACTGAAAGCAATCGTGCAATGGAAAAAAACCATATTTGTTTTCTATTGCACTGTCAGTAAAATGAAAATTTTTTTAATGCCACGTGATAAGAAACAACCAATTAAAAGACATTATATTAATGAGGTGTTATATAATATTCAAATAAGAATTGTTATGAGTTTAATGGTAAAAATAATTTAATGTGATGGAATGTTCAATTTAACAAGGAAAAGATGATTAAAATATTCATACCATAAAATTTAATGAAAACAGTAATTATTTGTTTTATTGAATAACAAAATAGATTGGTTTTTGAAATATTCATTACACTAGTACTAAAACAATGTGTGATTATAAATGCATGGTAATCTCATGGATCATCGGGCATATTTCGACTCCTTATCAAATGCGTACCAGCACGTAGCTACGATAAATACTGTGAGTGAAATAATTATAGTGGCTTTTTGGCATTTTATATAGAGGTAAAGTCATATGTTGGTAGTTTATCAATCAAAAACCTTCAATACCGTTCAATCTACAACAACGTACAGAGTCACGAGTACATGGAATTACGCGACAATTTTACAAATGCTGTAAGTATTCTTAAATACTAATATATAATTCAGTTAGAAGAATATGAACTACGTTTTATGATTTAATATAAACTACGTTTTTTGATATATTATAGGCCAAAATAAGGATTTTATAGTGTATTGTGAATAAAATGCATGATTTGTTTCGAGAATTCATCGAAATGATCATTTTGAAAATGTAATGGAGCTTATTTCGTGACCAAATACTGAATGTTAGTGATTTCAATTGTTCCCGAGGGTGCGGCTTTGTGTGAAAACGTCCATCTTATTAAAGCAAAAGCCTAAGTAGTAAACTCAACTTGCTTCCTCACGCCCCCCCCCCCTTGATTAAATTTACGTGAATATTTTTCGTGTCTAGATTAAAGAACTGTATAAGAATACTTCGTATGGCAGCTTTCTGATTGATGTTATTATAAAACAAATATAGTAAGTAGCATCGTATCGTTTTAATCGCTCTGAGTGGTATGCACGAAAATAAAAGTGTCAATTTTTCCCTAAAAGTGACACCTTTTCCTGCAAATTTACGTGGAATTGTGCCATAGGCCACGAACATATCATTATTATTCGGGAAGGGGGATGAATAAATCTGTCCGATTCTGAAGAACTTAAATTGCACTAGCTTAATCTCCGCCTTATCGATCATGAGGATCCTCCCGTCGATACGGCTTTGAGACTCGGATGTATGCCACGTGAGTGGACTTTTCTATATTTATAGGGCTGTTTTTGGCTCATTTGGTAACATTTTCTTGCTCTGATGATTTCTAATATCACAAACACCTTACCCTATAATTATTTTTAAAACACCGAAGCGTTACCAATCACTGAGAAGCCTCTTTCGCAGTATGATATGTTGACGTGGGTTTAACTTTATTTTCCTAGATCTCAAAGGGGTTCTATAATGGTTATGGTAGTTTAGTATTTTGAGAAAAACCTTTTTATTAATTTACCCTCAGTACCATCTAAACAAACAAGAAACCTAATTTTTTAACAAGTGGGCACCCCATGGAAAATGAGACCATTTCCTCGTTTACAACTGAGTAATTGATTCTTCTTCCCAATAAAAATATTGCATAACATATCTGTTTAGTCTTTTATTAAATCTCTTTTTACATAGCAACGGATCCATTCGGGTAGATTATGAAGTGATATTTGACTCCGGCGCTACAAACATCACAGCACAGTCACTCAACACAGAACTGGAGGGATTAGTAAACGACGCCAACGGTACCATTGGAAATGGTTTCGTTCTTCAGCAAGTGAATAACGGACGTCTGATCGTGGTCGAAGGTATGGCAGGACTTTTGCTGATTTCTTTTCGAAAAGAAATTTTCTTCTTGATTATGCAAATGTAGCTAGATAAAAAAGAAGCAAAATAAAGATATATATAGGAAATAAAACAAACACATTTATTCCTCTGAAAACTGCTGTAGTAGCTAAAACAAATTAAAAAAAAGCAATTTCAATTTTTTATAAAAGCAATCTCTTTAAAAAAGATCATATATAATTATTTGTTTCGCTATAATTATTACCTATAAAATGGAGATACTATTCCAATTTACCGAAATATGGTATACTCGACCATGGTCAATGCGATGTTTTGTACTATACTTCAACATCTCTATGGAGTCTATATTTCTGTATATTCGACCATGCTAAAGTCGAATATACTATATCTGATATATTGGACTATATATACCAAGTTCGAATATACCATATATTGCTTGCCATATGGTATACTCGACCATGGTCGAATGGTATGACTGAAGTAGGTACCGAAGTATGGTATATTCGAATGATCATGGTCGAATATACCATGTTCCGGTACATTCAACCTTACCTTAAATTCGGAATAATTATTATAGGAGAATGACGTATACTCTACCATGGTCGAATGTTTATGACCGAAGTAGGTACTTGATCATGGTCGAATATTCCGAAAAATAGTATACTCGACCATGGTCGAATATCCCGGAATACTCAAAAATCGATCATGGTCGAATATAATTATAGTAAGGTTTGTGAAACTTGACTAATGCAATCGCATGAATCGCATCAGTCTGGATCCGCCCTTGTCTCCAGGTACTAAAGAGCCATAACCTATGGCAGACATTGTCCACTTATAACTTCGTATTTTGTTACTTTCATTTGATGGTTAAAAATACATGCACGCGAGCTGATTTGTAATATATATTCCTTTAGTTTAGGTTATTTAAAAATATTTATAATCAGTTTCAGTGTTGATCACTTAGATAAAGACGAGTGCAAGATGGAAAAACCTTGCGATGTCAATGCTGTTTGCAACAACACGGATGGATCGTTTGTATGTAGTTGTAACTCGGGATATTCTGGCAGTGGATTCACATGCACAGGTACGCAAACAATGCACCCGTCTTCCGTCACGGACAAATAAACTTAATTGAACTTTGCGGGATATTATTTATCTCTGTTTGCTTGCTAAAGCCCGCTGCACGCGAGAGTTATCAGCTGAGCTAACGACCTTGCGAGGCAGTTAGCTCAGCCCGAAAACCATCTGCACACGTGAGAAACTTGGCTCTCTAAGCGAATTCCTCACGTAAAACTACCGGCACACTAGAGTAACTTGCTGAGCTAACAACCAGACAAGGTCTTTAGCTCATGCAGCTAATAGCTCTCGTGTGTGACGGGCTTAACGGACTAACTACCACGTATGTTATTTGATAGTTGATACCCAATAAATTATTGTTTTTAGATGAGGACGAGTGTGCGGTCAAGGATTCGTGCGATGAATACGCTCTTTGTAATAATACAGTTGGGTCTTTTATATGCGCTTGTAAGTCTGGATTTTCCGGTGATGGTCGCAATTGTACAGGTATATGTTAACATTACAGCTTTTTTAAACACATTATAATACCGACGCAAATATCTCTTTTTTAGAAATATTCAGATACACTTATATATACGTATCATGGAAATGTCTGAAAATGCGCGCATTCTAATGTTTCTGTCCAAATTTGTGTCTTTTCACACTCTGTATGGACAATGACCTAACAGAAAGATGAATTTACTATTGTATTTATTTAGACAACGATGAATGTTATACGGACAAACCTTGTGATGTAAACGCAGTCTGTAACAATACAGTTGGATCTTTTGCATGTGTTTGCAATTCCGGATTCTCCAGTGATGGTCTTAATTGTACAGGTAGTTATTATCAGCTAAAGCAATTTAAGATATATTTTCACGTCAGAATAGCCATGTTGATCGATGCATAATAATCAAAGATTAATTATAAATGAAACAAACTAATCTCCGGGCGGAATTAGTATACCCTCGCACGGTGCTCCGCACAGGCTCGGGGATTAATCATAAATGCATTTACACCAAAGTACAGGTTTAATAATTATTTTTACTCCCCCTATATACATTTGCACGTGATATACCAGGCAGAGATCGTAATCATAAGTTTAAAAATTGATACTGTAGAAGAGAAAATTTAAATGAAAGAAAACTAATACAAATTTTAACTCCGTGCTCTGTTTTCAGACATGGACGAATGTATAATTGAGGATCCTTGTGATGTAAATGCTATGTGTAATAATACAGTCGGATCTTTTAAATGTGAATGCAATTCTGGATTTTTCGGTAATGGCTTCGCTTGTGCAGGTAAATCTCACTTTTCCTCAGTCACTCAAATATTTATAGCGATCCTAACACGCTGGTATACATAAACACTACTTAATTATTGTATGACATGAGTAGTTTATTCGTGGTTAACTCCAAATTACAAGATTATATTGTGATTGCCACTAACTGTAGTTAGAAGATGGGTCTCCGGACTCTGGTATATGCATGCTGTATAATATATGTTGATAACTACAGTTATTATAATGAGTTGTATTAATAAACAATGTCTGCCAATGTTTGTGATGTTTATAGTGGTGAAAACTTACATTGGTCGCTTTTCAATTAAAAGTCTTCAATACCGCCATATCTACAGCAACACGAGCAGTTCCGAGTACATTGAATTACGCTATAATTTGACAAATGCTGTAAGTATCTTAAAAAAAACAATAATTTACTTCTAGCTTCAATATCGTATGACAGCTCTTCACATGCTCGGTCTGTATCGAAAAATATCAGTCCTCGGTCTTTTCGTACAAAAGATATTTCCCGGAAATGACAAGTCAATACTGCGCTGTGCTACTATAGCACAGTTAGATTAGTTATTTTTATGATTAGGAGCTTGTTATATTTTTAAACAATTACATTTCATCTTTTTATAATTATTCAGCTAAAGGAGTTGTATAAAAAAACCGCTTATGGTGCATACGTGGTTGATGTTGTTATTAACAAGATTTCGTAAGTATATAAATTTTGCGTAATCATGCACAATTCACAAAAGTTACCCTATTTTGAGTCATGCAATTTGATAAATTGAAATATTTGTGATGGTGAACGAGAGACAGTTCACAAATAATTTTTGTCAATATAAGTAAGGAATATAATAAAAATCAAGGCCTTTTTATCCTTAACGGAAGACAAAAGCCGATCCCAATCTCTTTTTCACCTGCGTGAAAATTAGTCATATTCGGAAGAAAGTGGTTATATCCCCCCGACAAACCTCGTTTTGCCGAGATCATAAACAAAAATACATTAAATTTTAAGGAAATATGAAAATCTACTTCTATTTCAGTCAATAATTATTTTCATTCGTTAGCAATGGATCAGTAATTGTAGACTACACAGTGACATTAAACTCTGCATCAAATGTCACAGCAGAGTTGCTCAATACAGAATTAGCACGAGTAATTAACATCACTAACGGTACCATTGGGAAAGATCTTGTTCTTGGATATATTCAAAGTGGACGTCTGTTTGTCCTTGAAGGTATTCTTTGATCCGTCTTTCAGTTAAAGTTTGTTTTAGGATTCCTCGCATAAAAATTTGTTCTTCATACAATTGTACAGCAAAGCAGAGGCGCCGAAAGAAGCTTAAGGCGGGGGGAGAAGTCGATAGGGTACATTCGAACCTTACCAAGGACGGCGAGAGATCGTTGAGGGGGGGACTAATATTTATAGTTTTTATAATTATTCACGTTCAGCATTATCAGTTCCTATCGAAATTGATTGTTTTACGGTCTGCGAACATGAGTATACTGTGTGAATATTACCCTCCCCGAACTTAAATATCTTCCGCCGTCCTTGAGCCTTACCAACCACATCGGTAAGGGGCCTAAACTTACAACAGGTCGCAGATTTTGATACGTACAAAAGAACGTTTTATTTCAATAAAACTATCAGTACGTTATAGTGACAGGGGCGTGCGTTATAGTGACAATAAAACTTGCTATATAGCAAAAAAAGATATGGTGCTCCCGCTTGCACCCATAGGTGACGGATATTGAGATGTCCCCACCGGCCATGTGGATCCGATGAGCCTGCACCAATACCGTAGCGGGAAAACGTATTAAAGGGAAAAAATAGTACAGGCGTCAGAATTATAGCACACACCTGTGTGGAGTTTTCGCACTGAGAGCTTTTACAAAGGTATTAAGCGCAGGATATAGTCTTTTATTATTCTAATGGTATATTTAATCAAACTAGAAAGGTCTACGCCCCACACGTTACGCCGGCACTTTGGCGAAGCAAAGACGGAACCCTAAACAAGCTAGGCAAGATAATTTTAATAGCTCTATAAATATAAATTTCCATGCAACATTTTAGATAAGGACGAGTGTGCAATCGAGGATCCTTGTGGTCTGAATGCAGTTTGTAATAACATTGATGGATCTTTTACATGTGTTTGTAATTCTGGATTCTCTGGAGATGGTTTGACTTGTACAGGTATATTGTCCATTAACGTAGTATTTCATCTACTCGATTTGAATGTTTTCAAAAAATTTGACAGAAAGGATTTTTCTAGAGAATGCATGGAAACCATGCTTCTTTCACAAGACACAGCACGATAAATGTAAAACGTTTGCACGTCTTTTTTATACAGATATCGACGAATGCACCAGTGGACCTTGTGAGAAAAACACCACTTGTACAAACACACCTGGCTCATTCAATTGCACATGTCAAAATACTGCATGTCTTCCCAAAGAAGATGATGACGATGACGATGATGACCTGAGTAGGTTTCGTTGATTATTTTCGCTTCTTTGTGCCATTAATAATAAAACACGAAAGAGAGCACCTTCACCATCTCCAGTCTATATATCGTAAAGAGCTTAATTTCGGCAGAAAAAAGGCTTTAGAAAGAGAGTCCTAAAGAGGGTGAAATGGGAACTGGGATTGCCCTATTTTTACGCTGGGAAAATTGAATTTTGTTCCTAGAAATAGGATTTGATCTTTTCAAAGGTTGGGATTTTTACAACTCAGACTGGGATTTCTTATAAAAGTTTTACTGGAACTGGGAATTTTCGAAAATTCGTAGTGGGAAATGCGATTGAACCCCCCCCCACTTCAGGACCCTTTCAGTAGAAAATTTCTCGGTGAATTAAGTCATCAAAGTGTGAATTGAAATCTAGAAGAATGCGGCGTACTCACGATAAAGATTGAGCAAAAAACTGTTGAAATTTCATCTTAACAAATATATGTATTTAAACATTGCTTTTTATTTTGTTAATTTCTGATTTCTATTTGTCATTACCAGGTGCTGGTATAATTGCTTTGATTGTTGTTATTCCCATCGTATTTGTCATATTGGTAATTGTACTGGTCATTTGTCAGCGACGAATAGAACAGGTTTGTCGAGAGAAAATTACTTGTGTTATCATCCACCTTAACTTGAGAGAAAATGACTTGTGTTATCATCCACCTTAACTTGAGAGAAAATGACTTGTATTATCATCCATACATTCACCATTTTAGTGACGTTAACTTTTAGGTTAAGGCCTAGCTATAACCACGATATGGCCGTTTTCCTAAAGCCGGTTCCCGCTGCCCTAAACTGCTTTCTGCACCTCCTTAATTATTAAAAAAAATTTGCAATATTTCCTGTTGTTGATTGCAAACTTTAAATTGAAAAGGTATTATTTACACTTAGGAAAAATTGGATTTGCAAATGACCTCCCTTTGTCTTATCCGTTAGCTATGTAGACGGTGAATACATTCCACTAAAACTGAGCTATATTGATACACTGTAAAATTAATATGCGACTGTCCGCGCAAAAGACTAAGCCTGCGGAGCAAAAAGAGAAAAAATAATCGCGAAACGTGGTATAGTAGTTAGCCGACCTTTTGTAACTTATTTCGTTACCTAGCATTTTGCTTTAACTAAATTGATGCATTTCATTGTAGCGAGACATGGCCGTAATAAATCACGGTGACTCCGGAATTGCCTTGCAGAGAATGAAACGTACAAATGACGAGTTCGAAAACCACGGGTACAAACATGACGACGATATGGCAGGGATAGGAAAAGTCTGAGGTTAATTCTGTCAACATTCTATTCTGCATTATTCTTAGGGCAGAAAGTTTCGATTTTATAGTGTTATTATACAAATGATAGATTTTTAGGTTACTAAATAATTATAGGGCATTACATTTTATTAAAACCCATTTTTGCCATTTGACGTGTCCTGTAAACCGGATTTTATCCTGGGTACTTTCAGTTGCACGAATCTGAGCGAAAAATTGCTGATTGTTTTATTATTAGTCGAGTCGGGGGGGGGGGAATAGTCATTTCCTACGGAATAAAATGACGCAATTAGCCTTTCTTGTGGTGACGATGATGAATCTGCCTTCATTTTAAGCCCGTTTTGCACCAGGCGAATTTATTCGCGCGAACAGATAACGCAAACCAACTCACATCACCTGATTTCAGATATCGTTTCGCGTCGTGCAAATAAACTCGCCTATATAGCAGAAAACTGGCTTTATAGGAGTAACTAGCGATTATTTTACAACAACATACTAGTACTAAATTCACTCAGTAAATTTTCTTTTGATTAATAAAGTTTGCTTTTCGTATATTGTCATAAATGGTTAAAGTCGTTTAAGTAACTCGACTGTGTGAACACCCTAAATATGGGATATTGTTCATCGTGAGAGAGGCTATTTCGCGTGTCTTTCGCCGCTGGTGGGCAGATCATTTTTGAACCTTCACGTTTGCGTTAAGACTGTTTCATTCAACGTCTAAAGATTGGGGGGAAGAGCCTGCTCCAAAGCTCCAATTGGTTCACGATGGGTCCATGGACTCCCCGAACGCGAAATGTTTAATATCTAATTATATACCTTCTGTATAATCAGGGGAAAATACTGCAATTTCATAATTAATCATGGGGTGCGATTAATCATGAGCTTAAATTGTGTCCTAATTAAGTACTTTTCCTTAAAACAAGTTGATTACATATAATTAATAAGTTATAGAACGAATGGCAAAATCATACTCGTGATTAAAACTCCCGCTACGCGGCATACTTGTATATACTCGTATGAGATTGCCATTGATTTGAGCACTCCTGTTTCACTTTTTTTTTGGACCCACGATCCCCCGGAAACTGAAACTGTCGTTCCAGGTCTGCGCTGCCAAATCCAAAATGGCCGACCATTTGGAAATCCAGAATTTAGCTGTTGGTAAAAATCGTGATTGAATTTTGCAGAAATTCGATGCAGAATGAGGTTTAAAATACGACCCAAATTATCCGCTTTTATATATGATTTTATAATAATCATTTTATAACCCATTTTGGTATTGTCGCTTCATAAAATCAAACATAAACAGATCGTCCCAACAAAAATTTTCAAAAAGCTGAATCTCAAGGACAAGGTATCAGGTAAGTGCGACCATATTTCACACATATTGGAGACACGTATCACAAAGCTGTGTGCATTATTTCATTAAATAAGTTCTTATTCAAAACAGCTAACTGAATACTGCAATTTGGAATGAATAATATTTCACTTTTAGAGTCTAGATGGCTAGATATAGCCATCTAGATTAATATTTTTAATCCATATCAATTTCACACAAACATCTGCAAACAAGCTGTTGTTCTCACACTGCTTGTCCCAGAAAGTGAGAAAATGGGACAGCTGTTTGTGATAACAAATTTTTGAATTGCCAGGCGTTTGGTGTCGCATTCGTAATATAACTGTAATTGATGCAAGGTTGAATGCTTGATATTACTGTGATATCACAAACAGCAATTCATATATTTCTATTTAAAAGAGTGCATTTGCCCCTTTACAGGAGAGGACGGAAAATCTCCTTTCCTTCTCCTGCCAGGGTCGTTCATTCCAATGCTTTTCTCAATTGCAACGCCTTACCATAAAATAGTTTGAGGAAACTTGGATTGAAATCAGACTTGTTAGAAGCTGTTAGAAGCTGTTTCTGATTGAAACGTGCTACTGACAACAACATAGAAGGACCGTATGGGTTAGGGGGGGGGGGAGGTCTGTGGTGGTGGAACAAGTAATTATTAATAAAATATTCATGTTATGCTTGAAAACAAAATTTTATTGATGTTTGAGAAATAACATATCACACATCTATTAAGGTTTTATAAAAGCGTCATCTAACATATAAAATTACAGTAGTTGAATTATATCCTTGAATGGGTGGTCCAATAACGGTTCATTCCTGGCGAATTCTTTGGGCCTATAGATTTAAAAATTAGTACTATTAATATTTGATTCTCGACAATTTTTGAGTGGATTTAGGCTGTAAAAGGAAAGTGATACTGTATCTTTACTTTGGACTGACATATTCCGAATTTTTATTGAAAGATATTGTATTGAACACACGAATTTCTGCACATACGCACTTTTGCAGTTTTCATTTTGCATTCATATTCGTCGATCCAATTGAATCGACTTAGTTTCGTTGATTTATTTTAAATTGTGATCTGTTATTTGCTTCAGTCGACTTTTTACAATTGAAAAGGAAATTGAGGAAAATATTTCACCCGATCAAAGAATGCTGCCTATTTGAAAACCACCATTTATTGCTTCAAAAAATTTATTCTCAGAAAATATACCGTGTGCACGAAAATTAATTCATTTTTGCTTGAAATTCTCATAATAACTTATTTTACTGTCTTTTGAAGTTTTACTTACAACTAGTCATATTTGCCACTAGTAGTATTTACCACCAGATCGGCTGCCGCTTCGGCTACGACTTCTGCCCCCGCTTCGACTACGACTCCTGCTTCGGCCACGACTTTTGCTGCGACTCCGACTTCGACCACGGCCTTTTCGACGTCTACGCCGGTTTTGCCGCCTCCTATAGTATCGACGACTAGGCATAGCCATTGGATCAGCAAGCAACTTGTCTGCGACAGAGCTGTAAAAAATCCGCACTATTTAGCTAATACTGTTGTTTGTGTCGATTGCACTGTCATAGGCCTGGTGTGCTTTTTGTTCCTATTACATTTAGTTTGGCATACAGGAAACTACACTGTAACTGCAAACAGCAAGTTTTTATTGCAACTTGGGGAATGATAACATTATAACGATGACATAATATGTAGCTAAAGATTACGTCTATTTCAAGTCAGTCAACGGCATGGAAGATGAGCTTTGCGTGAATAGCTCTTTCAATGCACTCACTTTTCATAAAATATTTGATTATTATTTTATTATCATAAATTAATTGTGATAAAATATTAGTTTTTCTTATGCATGGTATATACGCACAGAACAACGCTTATAATATGGATGGGTTAAAATTCCAAAATAATGGTTCATCGTATTTATAGGTTGTGAAACTTCGCAGAAATAAAGTTTCTTTAACTCTTTATTGCTAACTGAACACAATGACACTTACTTTTCCAAGACGTCGTTCACAACATTTTCATCATCTTCACCTAAGATCAATGTTGCTGAAATCAGCAGCACAAAAGCGAACAAAAATATGGATGTCCTCATTTTAGAAAATTCTTTAACTTTTCGGCAGCAACGCAAAACAGGCTCTAGTATGCATCAACTCAAATCAGGTCTTTATATAGAGGAGTAAATACAGTCAAAATTAATTAAATATATTGCTCACCAGGGTAGGCGGAAGTTATATAGAGAGAAAACACTTGAGTAACTCAAAGGCCTCGCCTCTACTTAAACAATATTAAATTAACAATATTAATAATTACAATATACACGCATCTACGATTCAAAGGACGCGTTAGGTTATAAGTAAACAAAATTTCACTGAGTAGTGCCATGGCAAACAGTTTCTAACAAATCGTTGCGTACCTCCTTAAGGGGGCAATTCACGTGATTTATTGGACATTTTTTGCTGCGATTTTTGTCTTTTGATATATGTTATCAATTAGGTAAGTTAATTATTAAGATTAGTGATAAAATAACGTTACTCGTGCACGAGGTCAAGAAACTGAAATAGAAGCAGAAATCGCCCGTATGCACTGGTCTCCTGATAAATTGCCACATAGTATAAAAATGTCTTAAAAATGTGGATAGGTATAAGTTCAGTCGATCTAGAGTGATATCGATGTATTTAATATGCTTGATTATATTGGTTTGTAACAGAACTGTGAATGCTAATCAGGTTCATGGGTATAATATGGTTTAGTTTCCATTATAATCATTGATTACATTATGTAAGGACATGCATATAGGTATAGTAAATGAATTTTTGAAACGCCGATCATGTCACGTCAGCATACAACTCCAATGCATTCTAACCTTAAATTCATTAAATTTTGCCTTGTAAATTTATATATATATACAGTAGGAGGCAAAAGTTTGAGTCCAGTGACTGTATTTCATTGTTTTAGCAGCATATATTAATATTCTACAGAAAACCTTACCGATAAGTGAACTAGAAAAAAGTAAATAAGTAAACAGAAAAATACATGCTGTACAACAACTATGAGATGTTATAATATTCATTTTTACGTATGTTAATGTGCAAACATGCATTTACATGTCATTGCTTAGTATCCCTCTTTTTTGCTCTTGAAATGACCTTTATTCTTGCTCGCATAGATTCCATAGGTTTTTTAATGTCGCACGTTCAATACCTTGCCAGCATTCGTTGACCACTTGCCTCAAGTCATCCTGGCTGGCGGGTCTGTGCCTCGTCCTCTTCCGGTTAAAACGGTTCTACAAGTGCTCCATAAGTTTTAGATCTGGAATTTGAGGTGGAAAGCCATGAGAACGAGATCACCCAAATGAGTTTGCTTCTAAAAGATTTCTGGCACATAGAAGATGTGCATGTGCTTAGGGTGATTATCATGTAGTTAGACGTGCGATCATCTTTGAACCAAATGAAATTCCATGTCCTTGAAGAATTGGATGATACTTTTCTTTAATTAGGATCCTATTATATCTTTCAATATTGCCAAACCGAGCATGACCAAAGCAGCTAAAAGTTTGCTTGAGTAGGATTTAGTTTCTTCGAACCTCTCCAAGGTTAGTTGCATACCACCTTTTTAAATTCTCACTATTTCTGCGATCTTACGAGGAAAGAATCCTTCAATACTTAATGCAACTATTTGTCCTTGTGCACCATCACTTTGCCCTTTTTCCCACCCATCTTGGGCAGTGTAAAGGAATGAGAACTTTATTTTCTGATAATTTAGATCATTAGGCCAAAACAGTGTGCAATTAATATAGTTTACAGTACAGAAACATTAGCACGCATGTCTTAACTCGAATACGCTGCCAGGATTTAATACTGGAATTCTACAACTACTGGACTCAAACTTTTGCCTCCTACTGTATATATATTATATATATATATATATATATATATATATAATATATATATATATATATATATATATATAATATATATATATTAATATATAGATAAATTTATTAACCTTTGACAACAGGCTTGTGTCTTTTAGTAGGCCTCTAGCCCACATTTTGCAACAATTTATCTCAGTTAATGAGAATTTAAATCCCTTTCTGTTGCCTGCACGACAAACAGTTAAGGTGAACATCTTTTTAATGTTTCGATTAAGTATCACAAGTCATTATTCTTTCCTAATGAGTAATAAAGCATTCTATTACCGGTATTTAAATTGTCTATATTGTTTTGTTCTTAAAATTCTCTCAATTTAATTGTGGTGATCGTAACTATAGAAAATTACGCTTTGCATATTTCATGTTTATACTTGAGTAAAAAATTTTTGGCCAACTGAAATGTCTGACATTCGATGAAAGATCGTTAAAAGATCTCATACGATATTTCTTTACACATAGAGTCAAATATTTTGTATGGTCAATGCATTATTTATATGAATAGGCTGAATAGCACGATATTTCCTCAGATATTTGGTTCATATTGAAAACAGTACAGTGAATCTCTCATCTCAGTCTAACAATTAAACGAACTTAAATTTCTGACCAAAATTTCTTGAGAAAAATGTTTGAGCCTCATCAAACTTGCAGATGTTCTTAGATTTCGATACCTTGTTACCCTCAAGGTGAAAAAGGTATAATTATTATAATGATACTGCCTCTAAGCAACGCGCGTTCATGCCTCTCCAAAAAAAATCATATCGATTTGGTTGCCGAGCAGTAAGTTGCCGAGCAGTAAGGCCGCCAATTATTTGTCATTACATTTATTTTAGGATATTATCTTATTCCTCCTATATATGCACACATACATAATTGCAGGATAACAAGTCCCTGGACAAAATAGTTGTAAACATATCGCCTTAAGTGAAATAAAAGTTATCATAAGGAATGTGGATGGCTGTATGTGTCCTAACTGTAAATAAAAATATACTAGTTTTGTAGGTGTTTAAAAAGCAAGAAAAAAGAATTCGTTGGTCAGTTGTGGTGGCCGTGAAGGTCAAACGTCGCACTTTCAACATGTCTATTTAACGTATTAAATATACTAGATAATGAGCTGAAAAGTCTCATCTAGTGTTTTAATGCGTTTAGCGCGCGAAAAGTGCAACGTGCTGACTATACCACCAACGCGTGGTACAAAAAACCAGAGCATAAAATCAAAAGATGTGATGAAAAAAGGAAGATATTATGGAAAGAAATATTGTTTAGAAACAATTGAATCTAGTGCAACTTTGCTAAGATGATATAGGTATACTGGCAAGCCGACTTATTTTATAATATGCCGGAAAATTGCTACCGCTGCGGTTTAAAGGACTTCAAACTTAATAATTACAAATTTGAAATGAATTCACACTGATTTTTAAAACGAAATATCCAGAGTTTATAACTATAAGAGCAATATCAGTAATTACAATAGGGGAAATATTAATTGCATGCATATTGTAACCATCTATAGGCTAGAACTTTTATATTAAATCAGATTAGTTGTTTTGACGGGACAGTGTTATTGTGTTATTATAGATTAAAAATCATTCAATGTTTTAGCCACGTAATCGTTTTAACTTGAAACGTGTCTGTTTCCCCAAGCCCCGTTTACACTATACTCGATATATAGGCACGGCACGTCTAAAATGGTACGGTGAGGAGGGGGGTTAGCCGTGCCGTGCCAATAAATCTAGTGTAGTGTAAACGGGGTTTTTGTCTATAATTTTTGTTAAAAGGGATGAGCTATCATTAGGATACAAATAATGATTTTAATGAGTTTCCTTACAGTACCGAGACAGCATGATACTGTAGTTCTAACAAATAGCTTCAATATTTTGCACGAGCAACGTTGACAAGTGGACTCGCAATAAAACAACAATTACTTCAATGATGATTTCCTGCCATTCGATTATTCCTGAAGATATTTCCAACAGTTCTCTCCGTTCAGCTATACGAATTTCAAATTCCAAGTAATAGTTGGGAAAATTTGTGGTAGGAAAAACCGCACTTACCCGCTATTGAAAACGTCCATCCGGGCACTGCTGAAATGGGCTTGGTACCCATTTCAGCTATGCTGTGCCAATAAATCGAGCGGTAGTGTAAACGGGGCTATAGTTACCACGTGCACTGATCACGGATTTATCATGCAGAATCTGCCCGAATGGGGGGGGGGTGGAAACAGTTTAGACGTTTGTTTTTCGAAACCACTAAGGTTAAGCGCGGCTTACAATAGTGATATCATGTAATATTTACTGTGATATTCTGGTAACTAAGTGATAATGCCAGGTGGATAGGTATTTTAAGTTGTTCGAATCTTTGCTAGCTAATCAGCCACTTTTGATAACTTGCCCGCTTAGTATGCTGGGTGTTTTAATTACAGATATATTCGCTCAACCCATTAATTTATATAGAACCCGTTGAACAATAGTACTACATCTTTAACTTCAAAAGCAATCATTTTGGCGGCTTTTTATGTAAAATATTCTTATAGAAACAAAACAACTAATGGCGTTGTTATTAAGGTATATGAAATTTATCCGTGTAATTTATTTATGTAACTTTCCATGGCATCGTTTTTTTTATGGTATATGGTATATGGTATATGGTTTTTATGGTATTTTCATGCCGGTCGCAGTTTCCTTACCAACAACACGTGCATGGGAATAGTTTTAATAACTTCATGTTACCAAGTGATATAAGCATGCGATCAGATATCAATTTATCATCGTAACGACTGATCTCGTTGAAAATCATATATCACTAGTGATTTCTCGTTTTTCAGACATTAATGTACTATTGAAGTATATAATTATTCTTTATAATTATGCTCAAGCCTTGTTAAGCACATACACCGTGTTTATAGTTTTCGTATAATATATTTTTGATGATTAGAGACAACGATTTTCCTTCTTAGTTCTTCATTGTACCTTGAATATTTATTGATTATTTATAATGTATTAAGTTTGTTACTAAGCAGTGTGTACGAAACATATTATTAATATTATGCGTAGACCAAACATGGGCCTGTAATAATTATAGAAATTGAAGCAAAAAATGCAAACATTTAATTCATATATTTCTCATTTTTGATGGTTTGAATTTGTTCAAAGAATTAGTTTAGACTTCTTAGCGTGTTTAACGCTATCAGGAATGTCTTTTGGATACCCAACAGCTTTGAATACTATGGTTTCAGACTCGTTCTCTTTTGCTGTTGAATCTAACACCAACCTGCGGTTCGTTGTCTTTGTGGCTGTGATCATTTCAATCAGGTTCGCAAGACAACCAGCACAAGCGAAGAATCCCCCAGAAATAAAAAATGCTAAACGGTATGAACGAGTAACGTCGAATATCCATCCTGAATATTATAAATAAACCATTTTAGCATTTGAGAATGTTTCGAGACAAAATATATTTAAAAATTTAGCCCGTCCACGCAACCAAGTATGGTCTTCACCCGCCCCTCCCCGGTCGCCGTCGCGTTTCTCATTGACTGCGATTTGCGAATTTTCCTGACTAAATGGCGAGCGCTTTCGAATCAAAAGTTCAATGATACAATTAATTATATCCATATAAAGAATGACATTCAGTATGGAAGATATATAGTTCGCATTTTGAGAGAAATAACGAGAAGTATTTCACTGATCACAAACCGCAATACGACGCTGCATAAATTTACATTTTAGCCATGCAGCTTCTGCGAATTTGTTCTTGGGTCAAATAAACTCAAATTTGTGCTTTGGACTTCGTGCTTGGGTCAAATAAACTCAAAATATCATCAAATAATGCCTAATGCATGGATCGAGAATCTATTGCATGGAAAGAAGCTTAAGCGGAGTTATTCCACATTTTGTACGTCAGATACCCGGCTATTTTCATATTCAAATTCATGTCTGAATCTGAATCTGAATCTGAATGTGAAAATGTATTTGAAACCGTAGAGCCGACGGTGATACTGTTTTTAAAGACATTTATAGCCTGTTTTGAAATAATATGTGAACTACTTCTCACCTGCTAAAACTGGACCGACACCCCCCGGTATACTGAGAGCCCCAAATAAGTAAGTTACTGCGTGCTTCGCGTCATCCGGGTGGGACACTTCAGGAGTTATCATAATGACACACAATGACTGGAATCCACGGGCAAAACCAAAGAAAATTGAAAAAATAAACACGTGGGTTGAAGTTTTTGCTAAAGGTAGCAATGTTATTGATACAGCCAGAGTTAGTAGTGCCAAAATGTTATAAGTATGAACACTCCAGTTGCGTTTATCGATCATCCTCCCCAAAATTACTTTTCCAGCAGTTTCCATGCTGCACATCAAGGTAATGTTGTATACGCTGACGTAAGTTGGTATGCCAATATCTTTACAAAAAGATATCTTGAAGAAATATTGAAAATTATAATTTGAAAAGAAAAATTGCAAAGGATACAATATGCTTTTCCACTACTCGAATATTTTTTTGGAACGAGATTTTTTTAGGATGTTTAAAAGATTTTTTAGGCTTTTATAAAAATTTCTCTTTCGGAAAATCTTTCAAAGAATATCATAAATCAGATGTATATATAATTCATGCCAAAAGCAGTTTGAAATCCTAACCGTTTTGTGAGAAGTTATAAAAACATAAGCTTATCTTACCAAGTGAACTTGAGGTACAAAGAGTCCAAGATAGACAAATACCATTAGAAGCACCCAAATTAGGAATCTTTTATTTTTCAACATTCTACCAAACGTTACACGGACGTTCAAACCATTCCCCTTTTCACGAGGTATTTGTTTTTTACTAGGGAACAGGGCACACGCAAACAGTAAGGGAATGAAAAATAATGAAACTATTCTTAATGTGACACGCCACCCGTAATGTCGTATTAGATATTCGCACGCCGGTCCATACCACATTGGAAAACCACCAGATGCGGAGGATACTACCCCAGTTGCTGCGGCTAAATGTCTCTGGAAACAAAATTGCAAAACTATAATGCTTGACATATATAACAAGCATGTCCCAGTGCCAAATATTACGCCATATGTCAGGTAGAACAGTGGAATGTCCTTCACAAATGAACTAAGTAGTAGACCAAGACATAAGAGAGTGCTTCCTAGGACGACAACTGGTCGAAAACTGAAATACCGAGTTAAGATACCACATGCTGGACATAAACACATGTACCAAATGAAATGAAATGAACCAATCCAGGCTGAATAAACGAAAAAATATAGTTAGCGCTGATTGGTAAATAATAAACCATATCACATATCCATATACCTAGCCGAAAATAGTAGCGATAATTGAGGGAGGGATGACCAAATTCATAGGCAAAAGGGAGGAATTGAATTCAGCACAATTGATCTATTTTAGAACAAGCTGTAAAGTGATTCATCTCCGGATTCTTGATTCAGTAACGCGAAATAGGTGTATATACGTATATTTCGGTGACTTAGTGAAATGTTTCTCAATAATTATAGCCGTAGCAGTAGTAACGACACAAATTTTTTTCTTCAAACTATGCTCAAGTTTCCTGATCAATCTTCTGAAAACCGATACCATGAGCTTTTGTTAGACACTTTTTTATTACCGCTAGACCAAATAATTTCCAAGTTGCTGTCTCCTGAATGTTTACGAGATCAAGAACGATAGAAAAATTGTCAAATGATTGCTTTTTAACAAAGAAAGAAAACCTGTTTTTCTTTTCTCTTGCTGTGATTTTCTGATAATATTGAAGTTTGATATTCCAACTCCGCCTTCATGAAATAGGGGGGGGGGGGGGCAAGGGGGAGTCTTGTCACGAAATCACAAAGGTGTTTTTAAGATTTCACGAATCACGAAGAAGATCATTTCATTTTCACGATTTTTACGACTAGTTGAGACTTTGCAGCGGGAAGACTGGGAAATTAGGCGGAAAGCTACTGTTTTGACTATTCTACCTTTCGTTTAGTTGGGGCCCAGTATTTAATCTAAAAAATTATAAATAGTGGTAAAATATTGGGGAAAATAAGATGCCTTTGCCAGCGTTTTAGGTCTTCACGAGTCACGGAACGCATTTTAATCACGATTCACGGAATGGCATTTTCTCAAATCACGCATCACAATACAGAAATGATGCTAATCACGGATCACGAAAATACCCTTGCCCCCCCCCTCAAATAGCACTTTATAATACCATACCTTTATATTATAGTAAAGTAAAAAACAAATTCCGAATAAACGGCACATCTTGAGAGTGAAAATATGAATCAAGCAAGGCAGAGGTTGAGACCATAAAATTTTGACCTTACTTTTTAAATTGTCGGCTGGTCGTGGTTTTTATATAATAGTGTTGAACTAGAAACGTAGGTCGAAAAACGAAAATGGATTGTTTTCAGGAAAGCTAATTAATCTCAAACTCTTATCTAGTAATCAAACTAATTGTTGTTGTTATGTCTCCACTTCAATATTTGTGTATCATATATTATATAACAATGTTGAGAATATAAGCAATTTCATCAATTCCATGATCTATGAGACAACAGACGCGCCGAAAGACGTCACTGTTGTTTGTTTTGTCATTCAACCACATTTTAGCTTGTGTCTTAAGCCAGCCAATAGCATTTCTTTAGTCCTACAGAGCATGTACGCGTGCATGCGTGTTATTGTTTTCCTTGCGTATATATTGAATTGACTAAAGGTGGCTGGCGTGTGTTTATTATAAAAACATGGTTATCATTCCTGAAAATATTTTGTAGTTTTGTTTGTTTTATTTCGTGTTTAGCAATCACTATATTGCAAATAGTCTTAGGGGACGCCATTAAATAGACGTATAAATTATAAATACCCATACAGATTTGTCGTTATTAATTTAGTACTTAAGTCATCGACTTTGTCCTTCCTACCAATTTTTGTTCTGTTTTCCTGAAATTCTCCCGTCCAGCTTGTGAACAAAACACCAAAAGAATTTGATATTCCAATCGCGATTCCAACAAGAAAGAATGCCCCGAGAACCACAAGCCAACTTCGTTTGCTATCGTTTTGCATCTCCCGGTTTTTGTCACACATTCCCGTGGCAAATGTACGGTTCAGTAAACTTTTTAGTACGGAATGATATCTTTCTTTCATTCAACACTATTACAAGAATTGAGCAAGCTATAAAGAGATCATAACGTGATTTTAGAAGTAATTTAAGCGTTCGTTGAAATGTTTGCAATATCCAATTATCATATCGTCAGCTACTGTTATCATATCGTCAGCTACTATTATCATATCGTGAGCTACTATTTCACTGGATATGCGGTGAGATTAATAGCTCCCACGTTATGGGTAGCTGAACAAGGGTAAAAAACGTTAACCAATCAGATCGTTGTTTACTTTCTGCACGCAAAACCAATCAGAGGGGATAAAATTAGTAACACCTAAACAGTAGGAGTGAGAAAATAACATCCTATTCTAAGCAAGTTGTGCCATTCGATATATACTTTTTCGCAAAGAAAACAACAAATTATGATAAAATGAGCCTTTCTCTTGAATTTTGTCGTGTCGTGCGAATTTTGCAGATTCGGCCTATAACGTGAAATATTTATCTTTGAATAGTCATGCTACGACGCACGTAATAATTATAACCGGATCTACAAGGTATTTTCACTACTTTCTATTATAAACCGTTTCAAAAATCTTAAAACTGTTTTTATGATACTCGATTGAGCATTTAGTCTGAAATCTAAAATCTAGTCAGCTGGAAAGCGCTATAACGTAAAATCTAAAACCTACTCGGCTAGAACGCTTTATAACGTGAAATTGATATTTTCCTTAGCCTGCTTCGACTGTGTTGCGTTGTGGATACTGTATGTTTTGCCTTTTGTGGATAAATTTTGTTTTTGTTATTTTTGGTATACTTTCGTTAACTTTCGACGAATTTATAATGCCATATTGCGATATGTTGCAGCACTCGCAAAAATTTAAGTTGTTGAAAAAATATCCTTATCTATAGGAACTTATTCAACAGAATAACCCTTCATTGCCCTTTCCTTCATTGAACCTGCAATAACCCTTCATTGCCCCTTCTCTCATTGAACCCGCAATAACCCTTCATTGCCCTTTCCTTCATTGAACCTGCAATAACCCTTCATTGCCCCTCCTCTCATTGAACCTGCAATAACCCTTCATTGCCCTTTCCTTCATTGAACCTGCAATAACCCTTCATTGCCCCTCCTCTCATTGAACCTGCAATAACCCTTCATTGCCCTTTCCTTCATTGAACCTGCAATAACCCTTCATTGCCCCTCCTCTCATTGAACCTGCAATAACCCTTCATTGCCCTTCCCTTCATTGAACCTGCAATAACCCTTCATTGCCCTTCCCTTCAGTGAACCTGCAATAACCCTTCATTGCCCTTCCCTTCAGTGAACCTGCAATAACCCTTCATTGCCCCTCCTCTCATTGAACCTGCAATAACCCTTCATTGAACCTACATAGACCTGAGGCAAAAACCCAGCCTCAATTAATTTATCCACATAACATTCATCTTTGCTGACTTTACTCTTAGGAAAAAAACAACAAAGCTATCCGGAAAACCAAAAGCTTTACAAATGTCCTAAATCTTAGAATTTATTTATGGAGCATGGACATTAATAAGAATCTTTAAGGGTTCTTTCAGCAATTTGCAAGTGTAAAGATATTTAATCTCTCACACTTTTTTCACAATTATTTGGACAATTATGTGCCCCTGGTTTTCAGTATGTTAAAAACTGGTTGCATTTGATGAGCATGCCATAGAAAATTTCCACTCATTAGTTAGCACTAGCAGAGACTGACCAAGGAGACTCTACACATATAATATTGCACTGAAAGAAAAAAAATGATGCAATCATATAAGCACAAATTTTATCATTTCAAGATTTCTTTGTCCTATCTATAAGATTATATTTTAGTGGTAAAATGAGAGTCAGCCAAATAATTGAAAGGCAAGCAAGCTGAATTCCTCATGCACAAATTTGAATCCCTTTACACCCATGCAAGCGTGACGTACAGTTCAACAACCCTAAAATAAATGACAATTAAAACATACAATAAAGTGAAGACTTGCTTAGAATGGGATGTTATTTTCTCACTCCTTCTGTTTACATGTTACTAATTTTATGCCCTCTGATTGGTTTAGCATGCAAAATGTAAACAAACGATCTGATTGGTTAATGTTTTTTACCCCTGCGGGCAGCTAGATTTTTTAATGGATACGCAGTCTCAATTTTATAAGCGATCAGAAAAGTCCGCTGAAATTCATATGCTGTACCTACATTCATAATAACAAACGACTGCGTATCACAGCGTATCCACGTACCACTCAAGACTTATACCTACAATCATATTACGTCATATATTAATTTCCTTAAGCTTACCTGTATCATTTTACAATTTAGTTTAACTTGCCCCGTTATCTTAACATATTAACTAACTCACTGCGTACCATATTCATGTTATTTAAGAATCGTTAAGAAAGTGCGGGGTATTCCGCATTCGCTCGCACAATTCTACATACCAAATCGGATTACAGACGATGATATAATGAGAATATCCACATCGCGTGACAATGTTTATGTCAGATTCCTCGCTTTTTTGGTCCATCAAATTTCTTTAAAATGTAATTCGAAAACCACTAGGTAGATAGAAAAGGTATAATGTTGCTAATGATAACAGCAGAACGTACTTGAAATGCGTTGAATTCAATGAAATATTAAATGTAAATCAGGGACGTGGCTACTAGCTATAGACTGCTTAAGTGGGGGGTGTATAATTTTATTATTATATTCATATTAATATATTCATCGACATTCACAGAAGTGGCGGATCTACGGGTGTGAAGAATAAATTACACAGGCTGTCACAGCTAAATTTTGAATTGAAATCACCTTAAAAACAACACAATCGGTTATAGATTTGAAAAGAATATTTTCGCATTAAAATCTGTGAATGTGATTCCGATTTTAAGTTGCAGAAAATTTTGGGGCACAACAATGGGTTTAAGAAACAACAATAGAGTTGAGGGCAATTCAAGCGCAGTCTTTAGGCAAAAATCCCGCTTAAGCTGTTGCCAGTGAATGAAACCATGTTGTGCTGAACACTCCTCCCTCCCAGAACATGGACATTCTCAATCTTCAGCAACTTGCTATAGGTTTCAGCAAGCAAAGTTGCCTCGGTAAATAATCAACAGCTGTTTTCCTTAATCTCCATGACATCAAAATTATGCGCTTTTGCTGTTGAATCAAATACCAAACTACGGATTGTAGTCTTTGAGGTTATCAGTTGAATCAGGTTTGCAAGACAACCAGCACAGGCGAAGAATCCTCCAGAAATAAAAAATGCTAAACGATAAGAGCGGGTGACGTCGAATATCCATGCTAAAAATGATGAAGAAACTATTTTAGATTTTGAAAACTCGAAGAGTATTTTTAATTAGCCTTTCAAATAACACTTACGGTATCAAGGGTTCAAAAAGGACAAACTCAAATCACTCCAAAGTCCTGAAATGTTTCTCATTCGCGAGTAAAGGGCTGTTTACATGAGCCCGGTTACTCGAGATTCAAGGAAGCGTGAGGTGATTTTGAGGTATTGAAATGAGCAGATAACATAATCCTGGCAGTCCTATAATCACCACAACAATAGCATGTGCTTGTTTAGTGTCTTAAAGACTTATTTCAATACCTCAAAGTTCTCTCACGCTTCGTTGAATCTCGAGTAACCGGGCTCATGTAAAGAGCCCCTAAGAATGTTTAAAAATTCAGCCAGCCTCGACAAAGCAGGTTCCCTAATGCTCCCCGCTGCGTGTCTTATAGCTTCGTGTCTTGTAGCAAACCCACTAAATACATTGCAACCCATTCCTTAGATTTATATCTTGGTTGTGAACCAAGATCAAGTTTCGAGGGTGGGTCTAGTGTAGATAGCAACTTACCCACAGTGTTTTTATCCCTCTTATATATAGAGGACAACAAAATGAATATTAAGCTAATACCTTTAAGGTTAATTGATAGATGTTCCCTGGAGTATCATTAAATTGAAATAAGCTAAATACTGGCCTATGAGCGCCAAGTAATAGTGTCCTGGCTTAATTTTAAAAGTTTTAGCTGGTTTTAAAAGACATTTGTAGCCTGTTTTGAAATAATATGTGAACTATTTCTCACCTGCTAAAACTGGGCCGACACCCCCCGGTATACTGAGGAGCCCAAATAAGTAAGTCACTGCGTGCTTCGCATCATCCGGGTGGGACACTTCAGGAGTTATAATAATGACACACAATGACTGGAATCCATGGGCAAAACCAAAGAAAATTGAAAAAATAAACACGTGGGTTTGAGTTTTTGCTAAAGGTAGCAATGTTATTGATACAGCCAGAGTTAATAGTGCCAAAATGTTATAGGTATGAACACTCCAGTTGTATTTATCGATCATCCTCCCCAAAATTAGTTTTCCAGCAGTCTCCATGCCGCACATCAAGGTAATGTTGTATACGCTGACGTAAGTTGGTATACCAATATCTTTACAAAAGGATATCTAGAAAAGATATTGAAAATTTTAATTTGAAGAGAAAAATGGCAAGAGCTACAATAATTTTTTTCCACTACTCAAATATTTATTTTGGAAAAGACTTCAGATCTCTTGCTTCCATAGTACTAGCAATTTATTTAAATTCATAATTCGTGAGGTGAAATCTCAATTCATGAAAGTTTTTTACTTAGCTTCCCTTACCAAGTGAACTTGAGGTACAAAGAGTCCAAGATACACAAATACCATTAGAAGCACCCAAGTCAGGAATCCCTTATTTTTCAACATTCTACCAAACGTTACACGGACGTTTAAACCATTCCCCTTTTCACGAGGTATTTGTTTTTTACTAGGGAACAGGGCACACGCAAACAGTAAGGGAATGAAAAATAATGAAACTATTCTTAATGTGACACGCCATCCGTAATGTCGTATTAAATATTCGCACGCCGGTCCATACCACATTGGAAAACCACCACATGCGGAGGATACTACCCCAGTTGCTGCGGCCAAATGTCTCTCGAAACAAAAAGGCAAAACTATTATGCTTGACATATATAACAGGCATGTCCCAGTGCCAAATATTACGCCATATGTCAGGTAGAACAGTGGAATGTCCTTCACAAATGAACTGAGTAGTAGACCAAGACATAAAAAAGTGCTTCCTAGGACGACAACTGGTCGAAAACTGAAATACCGAGTTAAGATACCACATGCTGGACATAGACACATGTACCAAATGAAATGAAACGAACCAATCCAGGCTGAATAAACGAAAATAGTTAACGCTAATTAGTAAATAATAAGCCATATCACATATCCATATACCTAGCCGAAAATAGTCGGGATAACTATATTCATAGGCAGAATTAGAAGGGAGGAATTGAATTAAGCACACTTGATCTATTAATATAAAGACAAGTTTCATGCAAAGCGTTCGACTCATCTCTTGATTCTTGATGCAGTAATGCGAAATAGGTTTATATACATTTTGGTGACTTCGGGAAATATTTCTCAAGAATTAGCGGTAGCAGTAGTAACCACACAAATTTTTATCTTCAAACTATGCTCAAGTTTCTTGATCAATCTTCTGAAAACCGATACCATGAGCTTTTGTTAGACACTTTTTTTCTCCTGAATGTTTGCGAGATCAAATACGATAGAAAAGTTTTTCAAATGCCTGCTTTTTAATAAAGAAAGGAAACCTGTTTTTCTTTTCCCTTTAAATGATTTTCTGATAAATTATATTAAAATTTGATATCTCAACTCCGCCTTCATGAAATAGCACTTTATATATACCATACCTTTACTAGTAAAGTAAAAAACAAATTCCGAATAAACAGGGCATCTTGAAAGTGAAAATATGAATCAAGCAAGGCATTGGTTGACCAAATTTTGACTTTACTTTTTTAAATTGCATGTCGGCTGGTCGTGGTTTTTATATAATAGTGTAGAACTAGAAACGTAGGTCGAGAAAACGAAAATGGATTGTTTTCAGGAAAGCTAAGTTGAGAATATAAGCAATTTCTTTGCTCGAGAGCCATTTAACAATTAGACAACGAGTGGCGAAGCCCGAGTTGACTATTCGCTCATAGACAACGAAGGCGAGTTTTCCCAAACGTTCACCATCACCAATAGACAATGGTTGAGTAGCCAATCAGAATGTAGGATTTGTAATAAACATGCAGTAGTCGGATGTATACTAAGATCTATAAGAGAACAGACGCGCCGAAAAACGTCACAGAAAATTTTAAGGAATTTTACTGATCAGTCATTGCTTGTGCCTTTTGTCAGCCAACCACATTTTAGCTTGTGTCGTAAGCTGGCCAATAGTACTTCGTTGGCCTTTAGATCATTTACACGTTTATGATTATTATTGTTAATTTCTTGGGAAATATTATATTGACGAAAGGAGGCTAAAGGATGTTTATTACAACAACATCGTTGTCATTCCTGAAAATATTTACTTAAATACTTTTGTTTTTTTTATTTCCTGTTTAGCAATCACTATTGCAAATAAACATAGGGGACGTTATTAAATATACACATGCAAAAATTATGAATACCCATGCATACAGATAATTTATTTTATGTCGTTATTAATTTAGTACTTAAGTTATCGACTTTGTCCTTCCTACCAATTTTTGTTCTGTTTTCCTGAAATTCTCCCGTCCAGCTTGTGAACAAAACACCAAAGGAATTTGATATTCCAATCGCGATTCCAACAAGAAAGAATGCCCCGAGAGCCACAAGCCAACTTCGTTTGCTATCGTTTTGCATCTCGCGGTTTTTGTCACACATTCCCGTGGCAAATGTACGGTTGGAATTCTATCTTTCTTTCACTCAAGACTATTACAAGAACTGAGCAAGCTATAAAGAGATCATAACATGATTTTAAAAGTAATTTAAGTCTTCGTTGAAATGTTGCCAATGTCCTTTAAGGCCAGTTTCTCACCCAGCCTACGCGTGATTTTTACTGTCTTTACTCACAGACAATGTTAATGTTTCAACACGCACTGCAAATTAGTCATGCTATGCTAATATTGGTGTTCATTGACTGTGAAAACAATGAATTTCTAAAGAAATGAATAGTGATAATAACATAAAATTTGCATAGTATGATTAAAACGGCAGGCAGGTGGCTACGCCACTGGTATTAATTGGGTTTCAATTGAGTATTAATTGAAATTTTAATGAGGTATCTTTATTATTAGGAACACGAAGTCGAGGTGAAAAAAACCTAAAAACCCTGAGAACAGCAAAAATAATGATGTCATAGAATTAGATTCTCTATCATTTGTAAAATTTGAGCCTTTCCGCGTTCCACGTTTTCGAATCGAGGAGCTTGTCGAGGAAAATCAAATTATAACCAAACAAGACGCCTGCTCAGGCGTTAACTCCGCATGCAGCGACATATAATGCAGTTAGGGAGAATGTTGCCTCCAAAGCAAAGTTATCATAAGCATATAGTTCTTAGTTTATAAATGGCAATCATGTGAATGAGCATAATGTATGACCATTGAATAAAGCGAAAACAAATCAAGATATATACGCTTTATTATACTAAAATACATAATCTCCATTTTCTTGGATCGCTCTGAAAATTTCAATCACATTGTGCTGAAATGTGCATACAACAATATACATATGAAGTAAATTTTGTGAATTGAAAGTCTGAAAAAATGCATGGGTTTTATTCATGGCAGATCAAGTCTTTTTTTATAAAAAAATATATGGTTTACACGTAAGATAATATCAGGCCTTATAATATGTAACATGCACGCAAAATCTCTCAATTCATTTTAATATTGGGTTTTGTCTGTTTTCATACATTTAGAGACTTCCGACAGTTAGGCAATTTAATTAGCACCTTCCCAAGGCATATCGCGCGTAATGCTCAATATAATTATATAGCTTGCGGTGTTGTTTGTGCGCGTGGTGAACTTTGGCTTTATGGAAGCTACAGAAGTATTGAAGTACAGATTGTAATCATTGCATTACCGGCTATCAAAAAACGATCAATTTTTGAAAGAAAGCCTTTTGAGTTTTTGACGTGAAATTTGAAGTTAATGAAATTATAGCATGCACTGAATAGTAATAATTATAGCCTTTCATGTCTGCATGACGCTCAGAAGAAATCATGAAGCGCACGTATAATAGCATTCGATTAGGCTAAAATTATATAACCCCATGCATTACAAGCCTACTATTCTAGGTTTATTTCTGTGTAACACATTCTGCGCTTCTTCTATAAAGTTGTAACATTGCAAATGTTTAATTTAATAAAATTAAGCCAAGTCCAATGTCAATGAACGAAATTCCAGCAAACGTTTCAACGAACGGTAAATCAAACGGATGACCACGCTGTTGGAAAATTTTGGAACGAACGAAATAGCGTTAACGTATGTTTCCCCGTGGAAGGTCACATATATTCACGTTCGGCACTGATTAGTTTCGTTTGAAATTGACTGTTTTTAAGCTCTGCTAACGTGAACGGTGAACATAATATTATGGCTAATTGTGGAGGCAATAATAGAGACCTTTAGCTTGGCGTTTACGACAATCCTCCAAAGGCAAACAGAAAAATTCACTTCGAATTTTCAAAGCAAATGCAAGGTTTCTGACGTCGAGAAAATTGGTGCCTTATTTTCAAACATAGAGTGATTACTGAGACAAATTGTGGGCGAGAGAGTGCCAAAAATCTAATTTTAAATGTTATTTGAAATTAGCCGTTTGCTGTTCGCGGTTTGTCATATTGTTTAAGCTAAAGGTCTCTAATATTCGTATAATTATTCACTTTCGACATTATTATTTTGATATTGACTGTCTTTAACTTTTACGCTCGGCTAACGTGAATTAATGAATATTTTCCCCCATTGAACGATCTTCCGCGTCCCCTGAATCAATGTTGATATATCGTGCGTTGTTGAAAGGTACTTATTATAAGTACCGATTTTATATTAATCAACGCCCAATTTAGATCAATGTCATGTGATGTGGCTATTTGCCATTTGTATCGCATGCTGCATTCGCCTCTATATATCAGTATTGCAGAATACCCCTCTGGCTCTACTGCATTATCATATCGTCAGCTACAATTTCACTGGATACGCGGTGAGATTAATAACTCCCATGTTATGGATAACTATATATTTTAGTGGATACGCAGTCTCAATTTTATAAGCGATCAGAAAAGTCTGCGGAAATTCATATGCTATACCTACATTCACAATAACAAACGACTGCGTATCACAGCGTATCCACGTACCACTCAAGACTTTTACCTACATTCATATTACGTCATATATTATTCTCCTTAAGCTTAGCTGTATAATTTTACATTTTATTTTAACCTGCCCCGTTATCTAAACATATTAACAAACTCACTGCGTACCATATCAATGTTATTAAAAATTCGCTCCCACAATTCTACATACCAAATCGGATTTCAGACGATGATACACTGAGAATATCCACATCGCGTGACAATGTTTATTTCAGATTCCTCGCTTTTTTGGTGCATCAAATTTCTTTAAAATATAATTCGAAAACCACTAGGTAGATACAAAAGGTAATGTCGCTAATGATAGCAGCAGAACGTATACGTACTTGAAATACATTGAATTCAATCTATTATTCAATGTAAATAATCAGGGCCGTGTCTACTAACTATAGACGGCTTAAGTGGGGGATGTATAATTTTATTAATATATTCATATTAATATATTCATCGACATTGCTATTCACAGCAGTGGCGGATCTACGGGTGTGCAGAATATATTACACAGCTTAATTTTAAATTTAAATAACAACACAGTTGGTTATAGATTTGAAAAGAATATTTTTGCATTAAAATCTGCCCAGGTGATTCCGATTTTAAGTCGCAGCAATTTATTCTTCACACCCCTAGATCCGCCACTGATTGACAGGTTCCAAGCCTCACCCAATCTTCTAGACATAATACCATAAAAGATATTATTTTTTAAACTTTCCAAAGCACAATATTTTGGGGCACAACCAATGGGCTTAAGAAGGAACAATGTAAGTCGAGGGCAATTCAAACGCAGCCTTTAGGCAAAAATCCCGCTTAAGCTGTTGCCAGTTAATGAAACCATGTTGTGCTGAACACTCCCCCCCCAGAACATGGACATTCTCAATCTTCAGGTTTCAGCAAGCAAAGTTGCCTCGGCAGATAATCAACACCCGTTTTCTTTAATCTCCATGGCATCAATATTATGCGCTTTTGCTGTTGAATCAAATACCAAACTACGGTTTGTAGTCTTTGATGTTATCAGTTGAATTAGGTTTGCAAGACAGCCAGCACTAGCGATGAATCCCCCAGCAATAAAAAATGCTAAACGATAAGAGCGGGTGATGTCGAATATCCATGCTGAAATTGATAAAGAAACTATTTTAGATTTTAGCAAGTCGCCATTATTTGAGAGATTTTTAATTAGCCCTTCGAAATAATACTTACAGTATGAAAGGTCGAAAAAAGACGAACTAAAATCACTCTAAACTCCTGAAATGTATCTCATTCGCAAGTTAAAATGTCTCAAACATAAACCAGCCTCAACAATGCAGGTTCCCTTTACGACCCCGCTCCGTGTATTATAGTTTCGAGGTTAGAGGTAATGTAGCAAACCCACTAAATACGTTACAACCCATTCCTCAGACTCATCTCTCTAAAAACCTTGGTTGTAAACCAGTAGTTTTTGTTGTAGTTGAGGGTTTATATATAGTTGTCGACTGTTTTAAAACGAATTATATAAACTTTCGTAAACTACTGCTCACCTGCTAAAACTGGTCCAAACCCACCCGGTATACTGAGGAGCCCAAATAAGTAAGTCACTGCGTGCTTCGCGTCATCCGGGTGGGGCACTTCAGGAGTTATAATAATGACGCACAAACACTGAACTCCATAGGCAAGACCAAAGAAAATTGAAAAGAGAAATATATGAGTTGAAGTTTTTGCTAAAGGTAGCAATGTTATGGATACAGCCAGGACTAATAGTGCCAAAATGTAATAAGTATGAACACTCCATTTGCGTTTATCGATCATCCTTCCCAAAAGTAGCTTTCCAACTGTCTCCATGCCGCACATCAAGGTAATGTTGTATACGCTGACGTAAGTTGGTATGCCAATATCTTTACAGAATGATATCTAAAAGGTAAATTGAAAGTGGAAATAAATAGTATTAAAAATGGTGGGTTCACTAAATTTAAGCGAATAACTCAATTTTTTTATTCCTCTTTTAATGAGGCTTCCGTTTTATGATGTCATAGACTACCGTTTTTATATGAAGACTTTGTACATATCCCTGTTATCATTTCCTTACCAAATGCATCTGAGGAACAAAGAGTCCAAGATACACCAATGTCATCAGAAACAACCAAAGTAGAAATCCTTTATTTTTTAACATTCTACCAAACGATTTCCTGATATTCAAGTCATTTTGCTTTTCACGAGGTATTTGTTTTTACTAGGGAACAAGGCACACGCAAACAATAAGGGAATGAAAAATAATGAAAATATTCTTAATGTGACACGCCATCCGTAATGTCGTATTAGATATTCGTACACCGGTCCATACCACATTGGAAAACTGCCATTTGCGGAGGTTACTACCCCAGTTGCTGCGGCTAAATGTCTCTCGAAACAAAATGGCAAAACTATTATGCTTGACATAAATAACAGGCATGTCCCAGTGCCAAATATTACGCCATATGTCAGATAGAACAGTGGAATGTCCTTCACAAATGAACTGAGTAATAGACCAAGACATAAGAGAGTGCTTCC